AATGCCTCCCTTTCTATGTTCATGTCTGTCTCTCTCTGTCTCTCTCTCCCTCTCTCTCATTGTCCCTGCAGTTGACAGAGTCTCCACCCGAGGGAGTGAGAGTGCGGGAGGGGGAGAGAGAGAGAGAGAGAGAGAGAGTGAGAGAGAGAGAGAGAGAGAGAGAGAGAGTGAGAGAGAGAGAGAGAAAGAGAGAGAGAGAGAGGGAGAGAGAGAGAGCGAGAGAAAGAGAGAGAGAGAGAGGGAGAGAGAGAGAGCGAGAGTGAGGATGGGGGGAGGGAGAGGGAGAGGGAGAGAGGGAGAGAGAGACAGAGTGAGTGAGTGAGTGAGTGTGTGAGTTAGGGGGGAAAGGAGTGAGTGAGGGAGTTGGGGAGGGAGGGAGTTGGGTCTCATGTAGCTGCTGCAGGTCAAGGACCTGGAGATTGTATTGCAAAACGTCATCGTCTCTGCCTTCGAGACCATCACAGATTGCTGGGCCGCATTCGACCTGCAAGAGGCCTTCCAGAATCTGTCGAAGAGGGAGAGTGTAAGATGCTCCTCGTCCTCGTCCTCGTCCTCGTCCTCGTCCTCGTCCTCGTCCTCGTCCTCGTCCTCGTCCTCGTCCTCGTCCTCGTCCTCGTCCTCGTTCGTCTTGTCCTACACCTGGTCGTGGTCCTGGTCTTGACCCTCGCTCAGGTGAAGCGAGTAGCCGACAAGAAGACTGTCGACTCGATCACCATCTTCGCCGAGGATCTCAACTGGGTAAGAAAGGAGTTCGATCGCAACAGGAAGAGCCCTCCTCTCGGCCCTTCCATGCCCTCCTATGCCGGCAGCGCCTTGTGGGCGAAGTCACTGCTGCAACGAATCTCCCTGCAGCATTCGCTCCTTGCCACCTCCTACCACGTGGTGAGCACGCGGGAGTTCCAGGAGGTGAACGGCCAGCTGCAGCTTGTGGAGAACGCGATGAAGGACTACATGAACAAGGTCTACAACGACTGGCAGGAGCACCTGCAAGACGTGTTCCGAGGGGCCAACCAGAACGGGATGGACGCTTTCCTTATCGTGAGGAGGCAGGAGACGATGCTGCTTGAAGTGAATTTCTCCCCGGAGCTCATCAAGCTGTACAGGGAGGTGGACGTGTGGGAGCGGGTCGGTTTCAGCATCCCCTTCATAGCGATGGAGAATGCCAAGGACAAAGACAGGATCAACGTCATTCGCTTCCACGTGCGGGGAGTTGTCAGAGACTACAATAAGATAATCTCCTCCCTCGCTTCCTGGTAAGATTCCTTTTACTCCTCCTCCTCCTCCTTTTGCCTCCTCCTCCTTCTGTTTCTCCTCCTCTGATTTATTCCTGTCCTCCTTCTCCTCTCCCTTCCTACTCGCTCTTCTACTCCTGCTCCATACATTTCCCCTCTGCTTCCTCCTCCTCCGCCTTCTCCCTCTGCTTCACTTTCATCTCAACGGCTGACTCGCTCCTCAGGGAGCGCAAACTCTTCTCGGAGAAGATCAAGTCGCTGGACCGTAAGATCAGCCCTGCTATCAGCAAGATGACGTGGCAGACCAAGGGCATCGTCGACTTCTTCTGCAAGGACACCAAGAAGCACTGCCAGATGGTCCAGCAGCTCGTGGACGATTTCAAGGTCCTCAAGGATAGCATCTTCAAGGACTGCGCCGAGCTCGGCAACCTCAGCATGATCGCGATCGAGTCGAAGAGGCTCTACAGCGCCGACGACTTCTCAAGGGCCCAGGCGAGTCACCGCAAGGTGATCATGGCCAAGGTCGAGTCGCTGCATGCCAACGTCAAGAGCACGTTGAAGAGAGTCTTCGCAATGTTCATCTACGACGGAGCTGAGAGCTCGCGCGAGTGGGAGCGATTCATCTCCCGCATCGACTCCATGGTGCAGGAGTCGCTGACGTCTGCCGTCCGCCGGTCCCTCCAGGACCTCGCCCGTGCCATCAACGGGGACAAGAAGACCGAGCCGCAGCAGCTGTTCCGCATCCGCGTCGTGCTCGACTCCTCCTCCAAGGTTGCGTTCTCTCCCTCGCTCTCGGACCTCACTCAGATGATCAACTCCTGCTCCAAGGACCTCATCTCCATGCTCGACGTCATTCCCCGCCTCCACCGCCTCGTCGAGGCTGAAGTCCGCAAGGAGCTGGCGGACAGTGTCGGGCAGGGGTCTTCTGCTGCAAAAGACGGGGAAAGGCAGGGGGGGAGGCAGGAGGATCGCACGCAGGAGAGCATAGCGACCTGCATCGCCAATGAGGATGAGATTCTCAAGGTGATGGTCGCCATTATGAGCGGGATCTCCTCCAACGTGGGCAAGATGCAGAAGCAGCTGACGTACTGGGAGAAGTTCAACCACATCTGGGAGTACGACAAGGACGCTTTCTTCCGCAGATACGCCAAGAGCAACCGACCGCTCTCAGCCTTCGAGGAGGACATCATGAGGTCAACAACCCTCGTCCTCGTCCTCGTCCTCGTCCTCGTCCTCGTTCCTGTCCGCGTCCTTGACTCTGTCTCCCCAGGTACCGCGAGTATCAGAAGGAAGTGTTCTCCGAAGAGTCCACGTCTGTCCTCGGCTTCGTCTGCATCGACTGCACGACCCTCAAGCAGGAGATCATCAACCACTGCGTCGACTGGCAGAGAAAGTTCTCTGCCCTGCTCAACGAAATGGCCCTCAAGGATCTTGACGCGCTCCTCGACTCCTTCGCCGCAGCCACTTCGAGCCTCGAGGTCGTCCCCTCCTCGCTCAACGAGCTTTCCAAGTCAGTGGGGCTGCTCAAGAAGCAGCAAGCAGACCTGCCGACCATCGAAGCTCTGTTCGAGCCCATCTATGCCAAGTACAAGCTGCTGGAGAAGTTTGAGGTGACGGTGGAGGAGCAGGAGCTTGAGAAGCTGGCGTCGCTGCAGGGCAGGTTCGAGGCCTTCCAGGACTTCCTGAAGCAGACGGAGAGGACGCTGTCAGGCTGCAAGAGGAACATGAAGTCTGACCTAGAGAAAGCCGCCCACTCCTTCGAGGCTGAGGCTCAGGCCATGCACGCGACCTTCGATAGCAAGGCGCCGACGTCGTCGGTCAAGCACAAGGCCGCACAGGCGCTGGAAGAGCTACAGCATCTCAAGGAACGGTACGAGAAGAATCTGAGCACGCAGACGCAGCTGAGGGAGGAGATGTCGATCTTCGAGCTCCCGCTCCCCGAGAACGAGCACCTCCACAAGATAGGAGGGCAGCTCGTGCTGCTCACCGACCTGTGGACCATGTTCGGAGAGTGGGAGCAGATCTGGGAGGGGTACAAGTACGGCAAGTTCAAGGACCTCAACACGCAGCATATGGAGGACACGGCGAGTCGGTTCATGAAGAAGGTAATGACCAAGAGGAAGGAGGCTGGTCACCTGCCGCTCTGGTCGGAGCTGAAGGGGCTGGTGGAGAAGTTCAGGCTAACGATGCCGCTCATCTCCGATCTCAGGAATTCAGCGCTGAGGGAGAGGCACTGGATCGAGCTCATGGAGCGGGTGGGGACGACGTTCGACTACCAGGGAGACAGCTTCACGCTAGAGCGAGTCATCGACCTTGGGCTCGACCAGCACGCTGATTTCATTTCCTCGACCTCCGCGTCCGCGTCGAAAGAGCTGATGGTGGAAGACTCGATCATCAATATTCGGGCGACGTGGGACAGTCTCAAGCTCGAGACCATCGCCTACCGCGATCGCGGTCACTTCCGCATCAAGACCGTCGAGGACCTGTATGCTGCCCTCGACGACAACGCCGTGACTCTTTCGACGCTCAAGGGGACAAGGTTTGCGCAGCCGTTCATGGAGGACATCGTGTCGTGGGAGAAGAAGCTGAGCATGGTGTCAGAGGTGCTGGAGGCGGCGCAGGCGGTGCAGAAGCAGTGGATGTACCTGGAGAACATTTTCGCCGGGTCTGAGGACATCCGGCGGCAGCTCCCGGCCGAGTCCACCATGTTCGAGACGGTGGACAAGAGCTGGATGTACGTGATGAAGAGGATGCGGGATCACTCGACGGCGCTGGATGCATGCCTCGAGGATGGGATCCTGCCGCGCCTCTCGGAGATGAACGGGACGCTGGAGAAGATCCAGAAGTCGCTGGACGCGTACCTGGAGACGAAGAGAGTCGCCTTCCCCCGCTTCTACTTCGTCTCCTCTGACGACCTCCTCGAGATCCTGGGTCAGGCTCGGGACCCTCAGGCGGTTCAGCCGCACCTCAAGAAGTGCTTCGACGCGATCAAGAGCCTCAAGATGGAGGTCAACAGGAAGCAGACGGAGGCTGTGGGCATGAACTCACCGGAGGGAGAGTACGTTCCCTTCCAGAGCCGCGTCCTCACCGAGGGGGCGGTGGAGATCTGGATGCTGTCGGTGGAGGGGGCGATGCGGCTTACCCTGAGGAAGCTCCTGCTGCAGACCCTGACAGCGATGAAGGGAACAAAGAAGGAGAAGTGGGTGACTGACTGGCCCGGGCAGCTGCTCATCACCGCTGGGCAGATCGTGTGGACGACTGAGTGCGAGAAGGGGTTCACGGAGGTGGAGAAGGGGAACAAGCTGGGGATGAAGGTGGTGAAGAAGAAGTGGATCCAGCTGCTGAACAAGTACTCGGACATGGTGCGGGGAGGGATCAACAAGGCCGACAGAGCCAAGGTGGTGGCCATCATCACCATCGAGGTGCATGCGAGGGACGTGATCGACCGCCTGCTCAAGCTCGGCTGCTCCTCCAAGAACGAGTTCGACTGGATCAGCCAGCTGAGGTTCTCCTGGGAGAAGGACGTGGACAACTGCCTGGTCTATCAGATCAGCGCCAGGTTCGACTACGGCTGCGAGTACCTCGGCAACTGCGGCAGGCTCGTCATCACCCCCCTAACCGATCGCGCCTATATGACCCTCACCACCGCCCTCCACCTCAAGAGAGGGGGTAACCCGCAGGGCCCGGCCGGTACGGGGAAGACTGAGACGGTGAAGGACCTCGGGAAGGCCATCGCCAAGTACGTGATTGTCTTCAACTGCTCCGACGGGCTCGACTACAAGTCCATGGGCCGCATGTTCTCCGGACTGGCGCAGACGGGAGCGTGGTCGTGCTTCGACGAGTTCAACCGCATCGACATCGAAGTTCTCTCTGTGGTGGCCCAGCAGATCCTCTCCATCCTCCGCTCCATCACCATGGGGCTGACGGAGTTCTACTTCGAGGGGAGCCTTATCAAGCTCGACAGCACCTGCGGCATCTTCGTGACCATGAACCCTGGTGAGGAGGAGGAGCCGTTGACTGCTCACCTGACAGAGCCGCAGGCTATGCGGGGAGGACGGAGCTCCCTGACAATCTCAAGGCGATCCTGCGACCGATCTCGATGATGGTTCCGGTGGGAGGAGGAGAGAGGGAGGAAGAGAGGGAGCGCTGAAGAGCATGCAGGACATGGCGCTGATCGCGGAGGTGATGTTCTTCTCCGAGGGCTTCATGACTGCGAAAGTTCTGTCGAGGAGGCTGACGGGGCTGTTTGAGCTCATGAAGCAGCAGATGTCCAAGCAGGATCACTACGACTACGGCCTGCGCAACACCAAGAGCATCCTCGTGGCCGCGGGAGCCATGAAGCGCAACGACCCCAACATGGCTGAAGACGTCCTGCTCTACCGCACCATCCGGGACATGCAGCTGCCGAAGCTCATCGCGGAGGACGTGCCTCTCTTCAACGCCCTCAACGCTGACTTCTTCCCCGGGCTCGAGATCCCCCCGACCGACTACGGCACCTTCCAGAAGGCCATCGAGACGGCGCTGATAGACAAGCAGCTGCAGCCGGAGCCCATCATCGTCCTCAAGACCATCCAGATCTACGAGGTCAAGCTCACTCGCCATGGTAACATGATGGTCGGACAGAGCTGCAGCGGCAAGTCGACAGCCTGGTCTGCTCTCCAGGTGCTGCCCTCCTGCCCTCCTGCCTTCCTGCCCTCCTTCCCTCCTGCCCTCCTGCCCTCCTGCCCTCTTTCCCTCTCGCTTGATGCCTGAGCCCGTGCTCTGCCCGCTACTGCCTCCCGCCTCCCGCCAACTACCCACTGCCTCCTGCCTCTCCTGACCTGGGATTCTCAGGACGCGCACAACGCCCTCAAGGCAGCGCAGGCCGCAGGCTTCGAGAGGGTCAAGACCTTCATCATCAACCCGAAGTCGCTCTCCGACGCCGAGCTCTACGGCCAGTACGACCTCTCCACCGGCGAGTGGCTCGACGGCGTCCTCTCACGCTGCATGCGAGACGCCTGCTCGGACGAGTCTCCCGTGCTCAAGTGGCTGGTGAGAGACCTTCCTCGTCCTGTCGCGGTCCTCCTGGTGACACCCCCTCCTCGCAGGTGCTCGACGGACCTGTTGATACTCTCTGGTGGGTACACGAGGGAGGGAGTGAGGGCGAGAAGCGACGAAGAGGAGAGACGAAGAGGAGGGAGGAGGAGGGAGGGCGACGAGAGAGGGCGAGGAGGGAGAGGGAGAAGGAGAGAGGAGGAGGAGGAGGAGGAGGAGGAGGAGGAGGAGGAGGAGGAGAGAGGGGGAGGAGGAGGAGGGAGGATGAAAGAGGAGTGAGGAAGGGGCTCTTCTGACGGATCTCACATCAGGATCGAGTCGATGAATACGGTTCTAGACGACAACAAGCTGCTGACTCTCGTCTCCGGGGAGCGAATATCAATGCCTCCTCAGGTCTCCCTTCTCTTCGAAGTGCAGGACCTTGCCGTAGCCTCCCCTGCTACGGTCTCTCGGGCCGGCATGGTCTACTTCGACCCCGCTGACTTCGGTTGGCGTCCCTTCGTCGCCTCCTGGCTGCAGAAGTTTCCACTAAAGGCGCACGTGCCGCAGCTGAAAGATCTTTTCACCCTCTACGTTGACCCGCTGTTTCAGCTCCACCGCAAGGAGCTCCGCGAGCCTGTTCCCACCATCCAGATGAACCTCGTCCGCAGCCTTTGCAACCTGCTGGACTCTGTGGCAAACGACGAGTGCGGCATCGGGGAGCAGGCGAGCGAGGAGGCGGCAAAGCTGCTGGGCATGTGGTTTGCCTTCAGCGTCGTGTGGTCGATCGGGGCGACGATCGACGAGGACAGCAGGAAGAAGTTCGACATGGCGGTGCGAGAGCTGGACTCGACCTTCCCCCCTCAGGCGACAGTCTTCGACTGGCTCGTGGACGGCAAGAAGGCTGAGTGGGTGGCATGGCATGACAAGATCCCCTCGGGCTGGAAGGCAGCAAACGACCTTCCCTTCCACAAGATCCTCGTCCCCACCGTCGACACCATCCGCTTCTCCTTTGTCGCCAACCAGCTCATGGCGGCGAACAAGAACGTGCTGGTGGTTGGCGACTCGGGTGTCGGGAAGACGGTGATCATGCAGGAGAGCATAACGAAGCTCTCCGGTTTCCTTCTCTCTCAGATCAACTTCTCCGCCCAGACTTCCTCGCAGCGCCTTCAGTTCATCATCGAGGGGCGAGTGGAGAAGAGGATGAAGGACGTGTTCGGCCCCCCGGGAGGGAAGAAGATGGTCCTCCTCATCGACGACCTCAACATGCCTGCTAAGGATACCTTCGGCTCCCAGCCCCCTCTCGAGCTCCTCCGTCACTGGCTCGACTACGGCTTCTGGTACGACCGGCAGAAGCAGAACATCAAGTACATCAAGGACATCCAGCTGCTCCAGCTCATGGCCTACCCCGGAGGCGGCCGATCCGTCATCACTATGCGCCTCCAGAGCCGCTCCAACCTCCTCAACGTCACGTTCCCAGCTCAAGCCCAGCTGAAGCGAATCTTCTCTCTGCCCTTGGCGAGCAAGCTGATGGACTTTGAGGACGAGGTGAAGGGCCTCTGCGACCCCATCACTACCGCCACCATCGACATCTATACGTCAGTGTGCAAGGAGCTCCTGCCGACCCCCAGCAAGGCTCACTACCTCTTCAACCTCCGAGATCTGTGTAAGGTGCTCCAGGGGCTCCTGCGAGCCGTCCCACGCGTCTACGACAACAAGACGGCGATGACGAAGCTCTGGATCCACGAGTGCTTTCGCGTCTTCTCGGACCGTCTGATCGACGACAAGGACCGCCAGTGGTTCTCGTCGCTGATGGAGTCAAAGCTGAGCGACAGCCCCTTCTCCTCCTCGCTTAGCTCCATGTTCGACGGCAACGGCCTCTCCTGCTACGGGGAGTTCATGTCCGACGAGTCCGCCAGGGTGTACGAGGAGTTTCCAACCTTCTCTACGCTGAAGCAGTTCCTGGAGGGGCGGCTGGAGGAGTACAACTACGAGCCTGGCTTCGTCGCCATGCAGCTGGTTCTCTTCAGGGACGCGATCGAGCATGTCTGTCGGGTGTCCAGGATCATCAGCACGCCCAGAGGCAACGTGCTGCTGATCGGAGTCGGAGGGAGCGGGAGGCAGTCGCTGTCCAGGCTCGCGACCTTCGTGTCGGGCTTCAAGATCTTCACCATCGAGATCACCAAGACGTACAGGAAGGTGGAGTTCCACGAGGACCTCAAGAAGCTGTACGTGCAGGCAGGGGTGGAGAGGAAGAGGACGGTCTTTCTCTTCACGGACACGCAGATCGTGGAGGAGTCGTTCCTCGAGGACGTCAACGGGATCTTGTCCTCCGGGGAGGTCCCCAACTTGTATTCCCCCGACGAGATGAGCGAGATCAGGGAAGGGATCAAGGCGGCGGCCAAGGCAGCAGCAGTGGAGGAGAACAACGACGCGCTGTACAAGTTCTTCATCGAGCAAGCTCGCAACCACATGAACCTGATCCTCTGCTTCTCTCCCATCGGAGACTCCTTCCGCAACCGCTGCAGGATGTTCCCCGCCCTCGTCAACTGCACCTCCATCGACTGGTTCGCCGAGTGGCCCATCGACGCGCTGTCGGAAGTCGCGCTGAAGCTGACGGAGGAGACGAACCTCGGAGCAGAGGAGGTGAAGGCTGCCGTTACGAAGGTCATGGCCACCGCCCACGCGTCTGTCTCCAGCGTGTCCAAGAGGATGTACCAGGAGCTGAAGCGCGTCAACTACGTCACCCCCACCAACTACCTCGAGCTCGTGACCGGGTACCTCTCCCTCCTCTCCGAGCGCCGCAAGAAGCTCGAGGACAGAGTGAACAAGTACGTCGGAGGTGTGGAGAAGATCGAAGAGGCGAAGAAGGAGGTGGAAGAAATGTCGAAGGTGCTGGTGGTGAAGAAAGCAGAGGTAGCCAAGGCGTCCAAGGAGACGGAGGAGCTCCTGGTGGTCATCGTCAAGGAGAAGGCAGTGGCGGACGAGCAGGAGAAGGAGGTGTCGGCCGAGGCAGAGAAGATAGGGAAGGAGGAGGCAGAGACGAAGGCGATCGCCGATCAAGCTCAGGCGGACCTGGACAAGGCGATCCCAGCCTTGGAGGCAGCGGCAGCAGCGCTGAACTCCTTGAATAAGAACGACATCAATGAGATCAAGGCGTACGCAAAACCTCCTCCTGCTGTCGAGATGGTCCTCGCCGCCGTTCTCATCCTCCGCAAGGCTCCCTCGATCGACTGGGCGGAGGCTAAGAAGCATCTGTCAGACCTTCGCTTCCTCGAGCAGCTCGTGGGCTACGACAAGGACAACATGTCCGACGCGCTCCTCAAGAAGGTCGACAAGTACGTGACCAACCCGGACTTCGACCCCGACAAGGTCGCCAAGGTCTCGCTGGCTGCCGGCGGCCTCTGCAAGTGGGTGCGAGCCATGTCGCTGTACGGGGCCGTGTCAAAGTCCGTGGCCCCCAAGAAGGAGAAGCTTCGGCAGGCGATGATGTCGCTCGAGAAGAAGCAGGCGGCTCTCAGGAAGGCGCAGGCGGCACTGATGGAGGTGGTGGAGAAGGTGCAAGGGCTGCAGTCGCAGTATGACAACAGCATCTCCACCAAGGAGCGGCTGGCAAAGGAGTCGGCGAGCCTTGAACTGAAGCTCGAGCGAGCAGACCAGCTGGTGAACGGCCTGTCGGGCGAGAGGTACCGATGGGAGAGCAGGTGATTCGATCGCGTTCCTCGTCCTCCTCCTCCTTGTCTGACTTGACTTGCAGCCTTGACAACTTGCACAAGGACATCGCCAACTCCGTGGGCGACTGCGTCATCGCTGCAGCCTTCCTCTCCTATGCTGGGCCCTTCAACTCGGACTACCGAGGGATCCTCGTGAAGGAGACCTGGATTCCGATGGTAGAAAAGCTCTCCATCCCCCTGTCCAAGGGCTTCGACTTCGCTCTCTTCCTCGCTGAGCCGACGGACGTCAGGGAGTGGAACCTGAAGGGGCTGCCCAGCGACGCGTTCTCTATCGAGAACGGCGTGCTGGTGACGCGAGGACGGCGGTGGCCGCTCATGGTGGACCCTCAGGCGCAGGCGAACAAGTGGATCAAGAACCTCGAGGCTGAGCGGAGCCTCAGGGTCGTCGACCTCAAGCTCGGCGACTGGATGAGGACCATGGAGAACGCTATCCAGTTCGGCAGCTCCATCCTCATCCAAGACCTCGGCGAAGAGCTCGACCCCGCGCTCGAGCCCGTTCTGTCCAAGGCCATCACCAAGCAAGGGAACCGCCTCATCCTCCGGCTGGGAGACAAGGAGCTCGACTACAACCTCGACTTCAAGCTCTTCCTCACCACAAAGCTGAGCAACCCGCACTATCCCCCGGAGGTCTCCACCAAGACTACCATTGTCAACTTCGCGATCAAGCGGGAGGGGCTGGAGGACCAGCTGCTGGCGATCCTCGTTAAGAAGGAGAGGCCGGACCTCGAGGAGAAGAACCAGGAGCTCGTCGTGCAGGTGCTGCTGTGGTTGTGCTGGAGATCAGATCCTGACGGATAGGCAGGTGGCCAAGGGGAAGAACAAGCTCGCGGAGCTGGAGGACAAGATCCTCTACCTGCTGGCGACAGCAACCGGCTCCTTGCTCGACGATGACGCGTTAGTCAACACGCTACAATCGTCCAAGACCATCTCCAACGACGTTTCCGAGCAGGTCAGACTCGAGAGTTTCTCTGCTCTGCTTCCTTCATGTCTGATTGTTTGCATCAGCTGAAAATCGCTGAGGAGACGAAAGTCACAATCGACCTGGCCCGTGAGAACTACAGGCCGTCAGCCTTTCGATCTTCCATCTTGTACTTCGTTCTCAACGACCTCGGACTGGTCGACCCCATGTATCAGGTAGACACTCAGGGCTCCTCACGTTATCTGACCTGCTTCGCTTGCAGTTCTCCCTTGACTCCTACATCACCCTCTTCCTCCAGTCCATCTCCCGCAGGTCTGCCTGCCTGCCTGCCTGCCTGCCTGCCTGCCTGCCTGCCTGCCTGCCTGCCTGCCTGCCTGCCTGCCTGCCTGCCTGCCTGCCTGCCTGCCTGCCTGCCTGCCTGCCTTTCTCTCTCTCTGCCTTCCTGCCTGCCTCTGCAGGTGCTGACGAGGCTGGCAGCGTCAAGAGCGACAAGATCGAAGATCGGCTCAAGAACCTCAACGAGTATCACACGTATGCGGTGTATCAGAACGCCTGCCGCGGTCTCTTCGAGCGCCACAAGCTTCTCTTCTCCCTCCACATGTGCTCGAGGATCCTGGAGGGGAGCAACAAGCTCGACAAGGACGAGTACACCTTCATCCTCCGAGGAGGGCAGGTCCTCCAGAAGGAGCTTCAGCCGCAGAATCCTTCCCCCGAGTGGATTTCCGAGACTTCCTGGGACAACCTCACTGAGCTGGCGAACCTCCCGGCCTTCCGCGAGATCGACTCGTCCTTCCAGCAGCTCAACAGCGACTGGCGGGACTGGTTCATGGCTGGCATGCCGGAGAGCAGCCCGTTGCCGGGAGACTGGCAGAGCAACCTCAACGAGCTGCAGAGGTTGGCTGTCCTCCGCAGCATCCGCCCGGATCGAGTAGTCTTCGCCGCCACCTCCTTCATCGTCAACAACCTCGGGGTGAAGTACGTGGAGCCTCCTCCCTTCGACCTGAACGCCATCTTCGCTGAGAGCAGCCCCGAGCTGCCTCTCATCTTCGTCCTCTCTCCTGGGGTGGACCCTGTCAACGCCCTGACCTCTCTCGCCGGCAATCACTCCATGACCGACCGGCTCAAAACTCTCGCCCTCGGCCAGGGACAGGCCCCGATCGCCAACTCGCTGCTGGAGGGCGGGATCAAGAACGGCCACTGGGTCTTCCTGGCCAACTGCCACCTGATGCTCTCTTGGATGAACTCGCTGGAGAAGGTGGTGGAGGGCCTGCGAGACGCTAAGCCGCATGCTGACTTCCGCCTGTGGCTCTCGAGCTACCCGCACCCCAAGTTCCCCATCTCCATCCTACAGGCAGGCACCAAGATGGTCACGGAGCCTCCCAAGGGCCTCAAGGCCAACATGATTCGCCTGTACAACAACCTGAGCGACGCTCAGTTCACGCGATGTCAGGCGGGGGTGAAGTACCGGCGACTCCTCTTCGCGCTTGTGTTCTTCCATGGAGTGCTGGTGGAGAGGAAGAAGTTCGGGACTCTGGGCTACAACGTGCCTTACGACTTCAACGAGTCTGACTTCGACATCAGCGAGGACTGTCTCGCCTACTACCTCGACGCCTACTCGTCCACTCCCTGGGACGCCCTGCGCTACCTGATAGCAGAGGCCAACTATGGCGGGAGGGTCACCGACGACTTCGACTTCCGGCTGGTCAGGACGTACGTCAAGAACTTCTTCGTGGACGAGGCCATCAGCTCCGAGGCCTTCCAGCTAGCTCCTCCTCTTGAGACTTACAGGATCCCCGACGACGGGCCGATGAGGACGTACACAGACTTTATCAAGGGCTTCCCGGTCCTCGACGACCCCCGGGCCTTCGGTCAGCATCCCAACGCAGACATCGCAGCGCAGATCGCTGACACAAACATCCTCCTCGACACTCTCAGCAGCCTCCAGCCTGCCTCGAGCGGGGCGGGAGGCAGCGACGGGGACGAGAAGGTCCTGCGGTTGGCCGACGATCTCGCAGAGCAGATCCCACACCTGCTCGACCTCGAGGCTGTGAAGAAGGCCAAGGCAGACGATCCCTCGGCTCTCCACGTCTTCCTCTTCCAGGAGATCGAGCGGTACAACAAGCTCCTGTCCTTCATCTCCAGATCTCTCAGTGACGTCAAGAAGGGCATCAAAGGCTTCGTCGTCATGTCCAGCGAGCTCGACGAGGTTGTCAGCTGCCTGACTAGCGGCAAAGTCCCTCCGGCATGGGGCACCTGCTTCCCCTCCCTCAAGCCCCTCGCATCCTGGATGCGAGACCTGGGGATGCGAGTGAGCAACTTGAGGGAGTGGGGGGAGGGCGACTACCCCTCGACCTACTGGCTCTCGGGCTTCAGCTACCCCACTGGCTTCCTCACAGCCATCCTGCAGACGGCTGCTCGAGCCTCTTCCGTGTCTGTCGACGTGCTTTCCTGGGAGTTCACGGTGCTGTCGCAGGAGGTGAAGGAGCTGACGACGCCGCCCAAGGAAGGAGCGTACATCCACGGCATGTTCCTGGAGGGCTGCGGGTGGGACATGGAGAACATGTGTCTTGTGGACCAAAAGCCGATGGAGCTCATCGTCAGCATGCCTGTCGTGCACTTCAAGCCGGTGGAGTCCAAGAAGAAGGCCGCCAAGGGCAACTACTCCTGCCCGTGCTACATGTATCCGGTACGAACGGGGTCCCGAGAACGCCCCTCCTACACCATCTCAGTCGACCTCAAGGCTGGAGCGTACGAGGCTGATCACTGGATCAAGCGAGGAGCAGCCCTGCTGCTGTCACTCGCGACCTAGTTAGCTTAGATGATTTAATCTACATGAGAGGTTAAGTTATGTACATGCTCCAGGTCAGTCGCTCTTCCTCGAAGTCTGTTCCTCCTCATCCTCCTCGCTTCGCTTCAGGCGGATTCTCCGTCGCAGGTTCCTGTCCTCGTACGGCACCACTGAGTTGTAGTGCTCGCCCCCGCTGTACTCGTGCATGTGGTAGCTCAGGCGCAGAGGCGGGCCCTCGTAGGGCGCTTCTGCGTCGGGAAAGAGCTGCCGGGTCATGTCATGGCGGTAGACCTCGATGTTGCGCTTGAGGGCGTGGCAGAGGGCGATGATTTCATGCTGCCCCCCCCACGCGGTCGTTCTTCCTATCCGTTTGCAGTACTCCTCGAAGGTGTCCTTGCCCAGTGAGAGGAAGTGCTTGAAGTGATCCTCGTGCTACAAGGCAGTCAGTCAAGACGGGCAAGGGAGCACAGCGACAATACCTTGAGCATGTAGTCGCACGCTAGTCGTCGGAGGCTCTTGTAGTTGTGGATCACTTCCCCGTGCCTCGCGCTTCTCTTCAGCTGGTCGCTAATCGCTGCAAACAAACAGTGCCCGTCCGCCGGGATCTCGACCAGGGACAGGCCGTGCTCAGCTAATTTCTGCGACAACACTCTGCTCTCAAGTTCCCTGTTCTGCTTCGCCCGCTTGCGAGCAAGTCGAGCCATGATCTCCTCTTCCGTAGGGTTCCTCTTGCGCTTCTTCTTCGAGCCCGCGGCCTTCCCATCTGGACGGGCGTCGCCGGTCTCTCGCTCCTGCTTCTCCTTGAGACTCCGCATGGCCGAGCCTTCCGACGAGAACTCGTCCGAGTCAAGCGCCCCCGCATTCACGATCTCTATCTCGTACTTGCTCGACAGATGTGCGAGCTTCTCGGCGCCCCTGCCTTTCCCGTCCTCCTTCCAGTGACTTCGTCTTGTCTTGCTCGACAGTGCGAAGGTCAGGCCGTCCTCCTTGAGGGTCGACCATCGTATCCCGTCCTCGTCATCCAACCAGCTGCCGCTGTCGATGCTGCTCCACTTGATGTTCTCCAAGTCAGTGTACGACGACAATTTCAGTTGCCCGCGTGTAGCGACTTGGGCTCGCAGAATCTGAGAGCAAGGTGAGCAGAGTCAGAGGTGGGAGGGCGAAGTCACATTGGAGTCAGTCAGGCGATAGAAACATTTCTCCTCGTTCTGCTTCAAGATCACCTGCTTGCATCATCAATCGAGTGTAAGAGAACTTCGCTCGACGCACCTCCTTCCTCTGCTCCTTGAAGATCGACAGCTGCCTCTTGTCCTTGTACTCGTGCCATGTCCTGTTCGAAGCTTCGTGCATGCAGACCAGTCGCTTCCGGCTGTCACTGGATGTCCAGCATTCGCATGACTCCCATGCGCCAGTCTCCAACAAGGTCCACCTGCTCCTGACGTCAGGAGAACCAAGACAGGTTCGTGAGGCAGTCAAGGCAGAGGTTCAACGCAATATTAGGGCAAGGTTACAACGACCTTCCGTTCTTCGAGGTTCCGAAAGAATATGATATTCCAAAGTCGTCAATTCTGATCGTCAACTGAGAGTTCAACACGTCAGGAGCAAGTTGTTTGAGGAGGACTTCATGACCTTTCTTTCTGTATCTACCAAGTAGATAGAGAGACATGCCTGAACCAGCATCGTGTCCGCCTTCCCATTCTCTGACACTGTCCACTTGAGACTCGGCGATGCTTGAATTGCATCTCCCATTGCTCGACTTTTGAACGTGACGCCGTCGTCGTTGGATCTCTTGTTCGCCTTTAACGTGTCAACTCGACCAACTTTCGGCTTTCGCCTCGAAGGGACAAGTTTATCACTTCCTTCTCCTGCAATCCGCAACAAGGTCACTCAAGGCACCGGACAACCCTCAACTAGAGTCCTCACCGTTACTCAAGTCGTGCGATTCGCTCGGATCTTCATCTCGATCGGCCTCTGCTGATTCGCTCTTGCCTTCCTTTCTATGTACATCTTTCTTGTTTCTTCTCTCTGGCCTCAACCCGACAGCGTCCTGGCGACTCGTCAGTCATATTGGATCAGCACATCGCCCTCGCACATTCGCTGAACTCTTAGACACGCCCTTGCTTCGAGCTCCAGCAGACGGGACATTCTCAACCTGACCATCTTCGTCGGCATACATAGTCTGTACATGACCATTCAGCTACAGGCTGAGTGTTTCCACATCGACATCCATTGCCACTGACCTGGATCTGCTGTTCGCCTGTCTGCATTGCATCTGCATTCCTTAAACCTGGATCTTGTACCGAATCCTCAAGCTCCTGGCCCACCAGCGTCACTTCAACATTCAAGTGCCTGTCTTGCCTTACTTGTTCAGATCCAGCTGACGACTGCTTGCCGACAGCTTGTACTAACGCCATGTTCTGTGTCAGCGATTGAGATTCGCTGTTCATCGTGAAGCCCATCAAGGCGTTGTCTATTGCGATTCCAGCGTTCACGGTTGGATCGTTGGCTGCTGCGATGTTTGCCTGCGACCAAGAAACCTGCCCTTGCTTTGATTGGATCCCACTTGCCGCCATCAGGCTGGATCAAAACATCATCCACGATCGCAACAAGCGCACGACATACCTGGTTTCTGTGCCAGACCCGCTAGTCATGTAACCTTCAGAATTTGAAGGAGACATGACTGGATTCGGGCCAGCTTCTCCAACAAACATGCCGGAAGATGTCACCAGACTCGAGTTGTTCTTTTGACAGTCAGTCCGAAACATCTCGACAACCAAGAGCATGTCGCTTACCATCATCTCGATACAAGGCGGAGGAGGCACCGCTGCCACCATGGCAACAGTGCTGTCTAACATCTGATGCTGAGGGCCGTACGTTTGGCGATAATCGACAAAGGCAGCAGGGTTGCCCGCAACTTGTGAGCCTGAAGGTCCTTGAGGGACAGGCAGTGGCATCCCTACAGTACTAGCCGGGTGTCCAGGCTGTCATGGATGTCAGTCGGAGAGCTGGAGTGAGCTGGTTCTCACCGTAGGGTCAGTCTGGATGATTCCTGAGCTGCCGGTCCTTCGAGCGAGATGTTCTGAATATGACGGGTGGTTGGGTAAGTTCGACCACGATGGTCCTGCTGTCAGCAACTCAATCGGGAGTAGGTGAACCGCAACGCTATCAACCTGCGAGGTTGCTGTCGGCAGATTCATTCCCGACGTTGCCATGACTCGCGGTCTCCGGCGGTTGAGACCCAGGGACGAGAAACTTTGACGCATTGAGAAATATTTGATCTGCGGGTCCCAGCTGTGGCGTCTTCTTCTTTCTGCCTCTCCTCTTCGGTTTCGAGATTAGCTGCGGGAAGCGACTCAGCATCGCCATGGCAACATATAAAAGTCCCACCTCATGGGAAATCGCTGGCGGCTGCTGGAAAGTGACATCGTCCCTCAGAGCCGGTGTTGGCGGAGTTTGCATATGGACTTCAGCTGTTCATTGTCGCGTAAATCCATGAGAATCTGAAAAATACAACTCACCTTGACTCTTTCCGATCTGCATTTGCAGGCTTGAGGCTGGCAATGACAAGGCTGTGGACGAAGAGGGCATTGGATTGGAGCTGTAGTTTGGTAACTGTGGCGGAAGGCAGACAGGATGAGCTTGTCCTGGAGCTCCAAAGTTCGGACCTGCTGCTTGAAATGATTGCGGGGGGACCTGAATGATATTGTCCATGGGCAGACTCGTCATCCGTCCAGGCATCGGTGGAACATGAGCAGGCATTTGAGGAGAACAAGAGGCCAAGTTTGCTTGTGACGTGGGGGTCCCCTGATGCAAGTGAGGTTGACCCTGTGGGGGAACATGGCTTCTATCGTACTCCAACGAGCTACTGTATGTGTAGGCAACCATGCCCTGCTGCTTCACTGGCAACTGACTGATCTGATGTGCGAATGATGTGATTCCAATAGAGGGAGGAGCTTGAGGAATCGTCATCTGCAGTATCTGAGACGAGGCAGGAACGTAATTCGGTTGTGAGACATGCGCATACGTCTGCCCCTCCATCGCGTTATACTGCATGTTGGGATGCCGTTGATACTGCTCTAGTTGAGACGTGGGAAGCTGGTTCAAAGCCATTGAGCTTATAGCAGATGATGACGTGGCAACGGTCGAACAAACTGCAACTCCTTCCTGTTCCTGTGAGTTCACATGAATGTTTCCTTGCATGCCCGAGCTTTGCGGTTGGCTGGGAGAGATTCCCTGCTTGTTGGAAGTAGCCTTTGAGGTGTCAAGAATGATATCCCTTGATGTCATCCCCTGCCTGATCGACTGGACTGGGCTTCTAAAATCCGGGTTGACAGTCTGTTGGGGCACTCAGTCAAATGCTTGGGATAGAGGATGGAAGGATTACCTTGGAAGGAGCAAGAGCTACCTGGATAGGTTGGGTTGTCTGTGCGTTTACATTGATCGCTTCTGAGTAACCCTTCTTCTGATCTTTGCGCTTGGCAGGACTCTTGACACCAACTCGTTGGGGGCCATTGCAGTTCGGGTTGACAGTATTCATCGGAATCATTGGTTGAGCTGGCTGTCGTTGCACATCGGCATTCGGTGCGAGCAACGAACTGTAGGAAAATCTCTGATCGTCTTGTGGAGCCTTTACGTTTGCACTCGCGCTCGCTGCTATATGGCCTTGTTGTGGTCCCGCCGCTTCGAGGTGGATCTGCTTCTCCTTCCCATCTGACTGGAGCTCAGAAGATGGCTCGCTTGCAGAAGCATTCTTGTCTTGAGGGAAGGCTGCGAGACACGAGTTACTCACACTTGTGGGGTCATCCAAGTCTAACGGACCTTCTGTCGGCTTGTTCTGAGTCAGCATGGCTGCGCTGAAGGTCTTGTAGTAAGAGTTCTCTGAAGGCGCCTGCATGCCTGGCTGCGGTGGAATGGGAGGGTTGGGAAGAGAATGATAGCCTTGAAAGTTCTGAGCCATCTCAGATCCTGGCTGATGCATTTGGCAGGCTCCATCATTGCCTTCAATCTCAGGAAACGCGCAGATGCCGGGAGGAGCTGATTGTGCTGTCGCCATGCCGTCCTGTTCAACAACTTTGTTGGACTTGGAAAATCGATAATCCGCTGACCAAGAATACTGAGCATCACCCGTATACGCTTTGGACAAGTTCATTTGCAGATTCGGATCGTTGTTTGGATACATTCCCATGACATTGCATGGCACATTGCAAGGGTATTGGAGCTGCTGGAAGCCCTGGGGATCGATCTGAGGGTGAACAAACGAAGGATCGCAAGTGAACGGGTCAAGCATCTGGTTACCATAGAGAGCCAAATTGTTCTGAGACTCCACCGCGATCTGCATATCGTCATACGAAATCATGTCGCCTTGCATCGGATTCGGCATAGCAGCGACGTTGAACGAAGGATCATGCTGTGGCCAACCCATCACTCCATGCATTGGCATTGGAGAGACGTTTGCATTGGCACCGTAGTACTCAGGAGCACAAGATGAGGGTGGATAGAGATTAGGCTGTTGCAGCATTTGCTTGTCTCTATTCAGCATCATGTTGTCTCGGTGTGGAGCTTGCATCGGGTTGAAATTTTGAACATTGCCGTTCGAAGAGTACATGTTGGTGACTACACCGCACTGCTGAATCGGATCGTTCTGGTTCATTCCGTTGTTTGTCTGGAAGTTGGAAACATATGACGTCGCCGAATCTTGCATGGGATGTTGAAAGGTCTTCATTTGTTGGTGCTGTTGCATACCTGATGCCAATGCTCCATCCTGGTGCACGTACGCTTCATTCCCCCCGTTGTCGTTGTAAGGCTGCATCTGCATCTCGAGGGGCATGGCCGCCATGTTCGCAAACGACGAACCTTCCACATTGTGATTGACACTGTGAGAATCCAGAGCAGACTGATTGTTCTTGGGGACCCCGTTGAAGGCTGAAATGTTCATTTGATTGCGCATGTGATCAGCATTGCACATGATGCTTTCAGAATAATTCGCAAACGGCTGCGGTAAATAGGAGTTTCCAGCTCCTGGCTGAAAATCTCCCGGGAGATTATGTTGGTTCTCCTGGTAGAGTTGAGAGCCTTGGCCCTGACCAGCGCCTGTGGCATCTCCCAAAGGTTGAGCTTGAGACAGACTGATACCCTCTTGCAGCGCTAGCCCACTTGGAGGACCTTTTTCAGCCAAGTTCATCTGATTCGAAGGGTGCTTGTTGGTTTCGCCATTCTTTTTCTGCACTGCCGTTCCGTCCAGTCGGTTTTCAGAATCTGTAGCATTCTTGTTCTGAGTTAGATAGCTCTCCTTCGAAGCGTTTTCTAGGATTTTGTTCGCAGCACCCAAACTTTCCATGGCAAGATTCCTCTGGTGCACCTGTTTCATGGCCTGCGCTGTAGCCGCCTTTCCTGACATCTTCCCCCCTCGTTTCCGAGTGTTTGCTTGCGGCGAGTGGATAAGGGCATTCGCGTAAGCTGGCTGCATTTGTTCGTTGGTGAATGGAGCTGGTTGGCTCTTTTGACTAGGTGCTGACTGTTGCATGCCTGACTCAATGGCAGCACCAGTCACTTCCTGCATCATGACTGGGCCTTTCGGATTCACATTGTTGATTCCCGGTGCTTGCGCAAAGTTGAATTGTTGATGCCCTTGTAAAATCTGAGCAGATGTCGTCGGCAATTTCGCCGTTTGCGGCAATAATTGCACGCTTTCTTGTTTCGGCTGCTTTTTAGACGCTTTCTGTGTCGATTTCTGTTGATTCTTTCTCGCAGTTGACGCTTGTAAAGGTAGTTGGGGAGTGTTTTGCATGGCTGTATGAGTTGCTTGCATGAGCAATTGATAGTCCTTCTCCCCTTCCTGTCCTGTCGGATTCTCACTGGTAGGGATCTTCTGCTCGCCCTTCTGCATGTCACTTGGCAAGTTCTTTCCATCGCCCACTTGTGCAGCCATCGGGTAAGTCGGCTGGGTCAACGGGGGCTGCAGCGGAGGGGTAGGGGGTTGTACGTTATGTTTTTGTCGCTTCCTCCCTGTTTGACGCTGCTTGGAAGTCTTGCGGCCTTTCTGATCCAACAATGGACTTTGTGGAAATTGTGGCTGGATTTGTTGCTGTGCGATCTGCTGTAGCTGAAGCTGCTGTTGGGCAAGGCTCTGATTGCGGTGCTGAGCCATGAGCTGCTGCTGATGTGAATGCTGCCCCTGCATGTACTGCTGTTGGAGTAGTTGCTGTTGCGCAATCTGATGTTGCATCTGCTGCTGCATCTGCATCTGCATCTGCATTTGCTGCTGCTGGGCCAAGTGTTGATGATGCTGCTGAGCCAATTGCTGTGGCGCAATCTGGGCATGCTGCTGCTGGACTCCAATCTGCTGCTGCACGTCCTGCTGCTGCTGCTGCTGCTGCTGCTGCTGCTGCTGCACGTCCTGCTGCTGCTGCACGTCCTGCTGCTGCTGCTGCTGCTGCTGCTGCTGCTGCTGCTGCTGCTGCTGCTGCTGCTGCTGCACGTCCTGCTGCTGCTGCTGCTGCTGCTGCTGCTGCACGTCCTGCTGCTGCTGCTGCTGCACGTCCTTCTGCTGCACGTCCTGCTGCTGCTGCTGCTGCTGCTGCACGTCCTGCTGCTGCTGCAGGTGCTCCTGCTGCACGTCCTGCTGCTGCTGCAGGCGCTCCTGCTGCACGTCCTGCTGCTGCTGCTGCTGCTGCACGTCCCGGCGCAGCTGTTCCTGCTGCTGGTGCTGCTGTTGATACTGTTCTTGTAACTCTTGTTGGACAAGGTTTAGTTGCTTTTTTCGTCCTCTCTTCTGCTTTTGTCCTGGGGGAGGCAAAGGAACAAGCCCTTTGTAGCTCTGACGCTTTGGTCTTTGACCAGGTTGCTGTGGATTCAAATGCAAATGCTTCGGATTCTTGGACTCTTCTTGTTCTTCCTGCTGTAGTACCTGTTCCTCATTTTTCTTCTGTTGTGGGGCTACAGCGGACTGCTGCAGCATCTGAGAGGGGTCTGTGTGTTGCTTATCTTTCCCAGTTGCATGCTGAGTCGCAAGCTGCTGCAGGTCCTGCTGCTGCTGCTGCTGGATGTGCTGCTGCTGCTGCTGCTGCTGGATGTGCTGCTGCTGCTGCTGCTGCTGCTGGATGTGCTGCTGCTGCTGCTGCTGCTGGATGTGCTGCTGCTGCTGCTGCTGCTGGATGTGCTGCTGGACGTCCTGCTGCTGTTGGACGTCCTGCTGCTGCTGGACGTCCTGCTGCTGCTGGACGTCCTGCTGCTGCTGGACGTCCTGCTGCTGCTGGACGTCCTGCTGCTGCTGGACGTCCTGCTGCTGCTGCTGCTGCTGCTGCTGCTGCCGTAACTGTACAGCAGCTTGCTTGTCTCGTTCTTCCAATGGTGCATGTCCCTCGAGAATCTGCGGATTCACCTCGTTCGATTCCGTTGACTGCACTTCATGATCCTCCGATGCTTTATTGTCTGCGGTTTGCAAATCTTGTTGCGCTATTATTTTTGCCTGAGAGTCGTGGTCAATAGTCGCACTGTTTTGATCCTCTTTCTGCTCTGAATTGTTTCCAACAAGCTCCGCATCTGGCTGCAAGATTTGCACTTCTACTGCACCTGCCGTGGGAGGCTCAAGTTGTTGCGGCGATTGATTAGCCGGGTCTGAAAGTGCACAGTAGCCGTCCCGTGAAGTTTCAGGGCAAGTCTGCTCCAAACCTTTCGGTACATCAAGCTTTTCGTCTGTCGACGACGAATTCGTTTGAATGTAATGCCTTCCATTCGCTTCCACATGGTTTGAGGGTATCTGCACTGAGACTACTGCGTTACCTAACGTATCTGTGACTTGCGGGGTTTTATCAGACCCTTGTCCCTCAATATCACCCTTACCGTGCTGCACCAAATCAGAACTTTCTAGTCCTGACTTGTCAGCTTGGGGCACTATGTTGGACTTTGTCGCATTTGGCGTCTCAGCAGCTGACGTAGCTTCAACTTGCGGATCGTTCATTTGGCTAGAAGTGGGGGCATGGCTGCCTTTGAGGTCGTCATCACGCAGTGATTCAACATTTGGCACAGAAATCTGCATTGGATCGCTGGATGGAGCTGTGGATCCCTCATCTTGGTTCCGAACGTCAGTTGATCCTGAAGGATCTACTCGATCAATCAGAGTGATCGTGCAATTTGAGCTTTCCTGATCCTGTAGAACAATCAGTGGATATAGAGGAACAAGAATACAGCAAGGAAAAGTGATCAAAAGCTTACACCAACCTGGACTAGGTTGGAGGGACTGGTCGCAATAGCAGGAGCTTGTATCAACTCTTCTCCAGCGCCAGCACGTTGATTCTTGAAGTTCTCTGTCTCTATTTCGAGTTTTGAATCGAGCGATTCCCCATTCTCTTTATCCTTCTTGCCACAAGTTTCGTTTTGAACATGTTCCCCATTCTCCTCTTGCTTTGTTTCACTCAAGGATTGAATCTCTGACATCTGTGGCAGACCGCCTGCTGCCTTTCCCAGTTTCACAGGATCAAGATCGTCTTGTTTGGCACTTGCAGTCTTGACGAGGTTTTCCTCCATGCATTCGTCGTTGTGATGTTCACTGCATTTTTCAGTAGCTATTTCAATCCCTTGCTCACATTCGGTTTGATTGTGTGAGCTAATGGCCTTGACCTCGTTGTCAAGGGATTCTGTAATTCCAACCTGAATAGAGCTCAAGCTGTTTGCATCCATCGGAACAAGATGTATTTGCCTCTACTCAATCCAATATGGAGCTTTAAAATGCTTCATGGCAGAAAAGACTGAGTCAAATCATGCCCATCCATGAGTATTTGACTTTAGATCAGCCAACAAGAAACGTTCCAGAAATGAAATACTGCTCGCTACATTAACAAGAGTACATCATTTTCACTCTCGGTGAGAAACAATTTGCGTTGAAACAAATCATTGGCTATGTAGGAACTTCCTTCGGAATGTTGCCACCGCACTCTACCATTCTCAATGGCTGTTGACCTACTAACACAGCACGAAAGGTCCTGTCTGGAATCCAGAGAGTGAGACCTGCATACAGATGTCAGCGTCAAAACTCAGTAATAAAAATCATGAGAAGATGCATGGTATGGAACAAATCGAGTTGAAACAGCGAAGAGCAAGTATCAGGAGACGACATCGAGACCATTCTGCAGTGTGCAAACACTTTGAGATGGCAGAAGACCGTATCGGATGAACAATGATACAACTCTCTTCTATCTCAAGAAGTGATGCAACTTCTAGACAAACACGGAAATTCGACTCCTAGCATCCGGGCAAGCATCACTGAACACACCGGACAGCCTTACTCAAGTTCACTCAATCTCTCAAGTTCACTCAATCTCTCAATCATGTGTATTACGGCATCACTTTCCCTTCTCATGGTTCTGCACATCATAATCTCTCTTACGTGACTTCCTTGGCTCTGTCCTCCCTCCTTCCCTCCCTCTTCTCCTGTCTCCTCACTTTGCAATCACACCTTGCAAGGAGCCTCTAAGCCTTCAACACTCTGCCCTGCTCTTATCTCTCTGCTGGTCTGCTCAGAAATATTTTCAAACATATTTCATCAACCTCCCCTCCTGTCCCCTTTCCCCTCCACTGTCCTCCCCCTTCCCCCTCCTTTCCCCTCTCCTCCTCCCCTGCCCCCCCCCCTCTTCCCGTCCTCTCCCCATATCCCCTCTCCCGTCCCTTCATTCCCCCTTCCCCACCCTTCTTCTTTTCCTTCTGCTCTTCCCATCTCCTCGTGCTCGGAGCACTCCGCACCCTGACCACCCACCTTTCCTTCCATTCCAATCAGCGAGTCGCCCTTGCTTCCATACTTTTCACTATAACCTTCCTCTCTGTCTCTCTTGTCCCTCCTCCTCCTCCCTCCTCACCCACTCTGCATCAGATCAATCTTCATCCCTCCACCTGCCCACCCCTTACCTCGGCTGCCATGGCTGCCCGCGCTTCTCAGTTGACTAAAATAATCTCTATGCATACATGTTAACTGAATTCTACGGCCATTGTGACGGTCACTATCCGATAGCACTACGGTATCCTGGCTGGGGCCGGGCCCCGGCGGACTGCCGCAGTGCCGCGGCCCCGGGCCTCACGCCGGCCCGCGGCGCCGCGGATCGATGCTGGCCGCGTTGAAAGCGGCTCTTGACTCATCGTGGTAACTGGCCAACGGCCAACCGTTGAACTTTACTCAAAGTTAAGTTAAAAATCAGTACGAGTTGAACGGTCTTCACGCCGTTCAGCCTGGGCCCAGTCCCTACGCGCCGCGTGCCACCCGCGCCGGCACTCGGAGTGGAAACCCGCCGGACTCCCGGAGTTCGGAACCCGGCATTCCAGGGGCCCGCCGCCCGGCCGGAGTCGCCGGTACTAGTTGCAAATATTTTAAATTGTACCATAGACAAGATTTTAGATCTGAATGACATTCAAATACCAAATTGATAAGTAAAATTTCAACATTTATCTAGGTATGAGATGGAAATCTGAGACAAAATGTATTTTATAATGGTTCTCAGTTTTAAAAATGTACGTAGTAAGACCTTCGACCCCTTTTCGTAATGATGATGGGCGGTCGAGGGCGAACGGGGAGGGATGGGATGGAGGACGAGCAGCGTCACGAGGAAGAGAAGAAGTAGGAGGAGCAAGACAGTGGGGAAGAGCAGAGTTCTCTCGTTGTTGACTCCTGTTTGAAATGTTTGTTGCTTTTGTGCCTCCCCCCCGCCCCCCCTTCTTTCCCAGCATGCCTTGCGCCCCTTCGTCTTTCTTGGTCCCACTTGCTCTTTCCCGTCCCACCTGCTGTCACCCACCCTGCCATCTTCTCATCTACTGTCCCCTCTCCATCCTTTCCTTTCCTACCCTGACCTCTACGTGTTTCAAAGACTGCTGTCTGAGTGACTTTTTGCTCCCTCAGTTCCCGGAAATACTTCGGAGGGCTCCTCTTGCGCCGTCGAGATGGATGGACATCTGGTAGGGCTGCAAGAGGATCTTCTGGACACGTTTGAGGCACAGCCAGTGAAGGATAGCTTTCACTGCTTGCCCATCTCGCCAGCAGACGTGCAGACTGATTCATGGTTGAACACCTGGGTAGATGCTGAGAGCGGGGGAACGCCGTTGGAGCCGGTTTCATCCAGGACATGGCAGAGCGGCACCGAGTTTGAAGACGTTTATCTTCCTGCTGCTCCTGCTGCTCCTGCTGCTTCTCATATGCTGTCAAGAAGTTTGTTGGCCGACCATCAGTATGCAATGTCGTACGAGGCTTCGAGGACAGTGAGGTATGAAGATGAGAAGATCTGGTCTGGATCTGCTGTCATGGAGTCATATCATCTGTCCGAAGGCGCTGTATTGGCTCCTCATGGTGAGGAGGACTGTGCCTGGGCAGACCGAGCAGGCTGTGCGGAGCGACAAGGGGCAGATATTGTTGTGTGGGGAAGACCCGACTCGTTGGATTTGGTGCAAAGAATGAATGTCAAGATAGCAAAGGAAGACAGGATGCTGGTGAAGGAGAAGAGGAGGACTGGAACGAGACGGGTGGGCAGGAACTCTGCATGCAGGCTCTGCAAGCTACGGAAAGTGAAGTGCGATAATGTCCTGCCTTGCACTTCTTGTATCTTTCTCGGGAAGGAGTATGAATGCCTCATGCAGAACTCCCTCTCCTCCCCTCCGCAGCAGAAGCCGCTGCTTCGAACCTTGGAGAGCCGGTTCATGGCTTTCGACGACGAGGGCAACTGCAACCTTGCCCTGCTCCAGCGCTCGGCCAAGACCCTCCGCATCAACATCGGGGCCATCCGGAGGTCGTGGGAGCATGGGTATCCGCTGACCACTCTCCTCCGGATTTTCAAGAGCATCCCAGGGGAGTTGCAGGACGCCATCGAGCAGGGACTGCAGGCCCTCAAAGCCATCGCCACCATCCGAGCGAAGAGCATAGGAGTTGGTGCGAGGAGCGAGGACGACGAGGTTGATATGCGGGAGCTGGAGGAAAGGATAGCCATGCGGTTCGGGGTTCGCCATGATCGCTGGTTATCGCTCAGGATCGACCGCTTGACGGGGTGCAGGAAGGACTGCATGTTTGGATCTCAGATGTGCCACTGCTTGGGGCTCAGCCCGGATGAGTTTGTTCCTCAGTTCCTCGAGAACAGGCTGGAATCTCACACTGAGTTCGACTTCATCTGCTTGTGCCTCGACATCCTCTCCAACCCCCGGGACCGCATCAGCGAGAGGTTCTGGCGCATCTCGAGGAAGGGACCCGGGGACGAGCTGGTCGCGGGCCTCGTGCGGGTCACGATCGCACGAGACTTCGACGAGCATGGCTGTCTCACACGCATCACTCTCTATTACGACGAGGTGGACGAGGAAGACTTCAGTCGCTGCCTGGCTCGCAACCCAAGCATGTGGCCGAGCCTCGACCCTCTCGCGCACGAGCTCCCGTCCTACCAGGACCTCCTGACTGGCTTCAAGAAGGACCTTCAGTTCCGCGAGAAGATCGCCTACATCCGCAAGAGCAACGCCGGGATGAAGCGGCTGGACCAGCTGACTCACAAGGTGAGATTTGCGCCTTCCTCGACGCCTCCTCATTCTCCTCACGACAGATCCGCGAGAGTTTCAAGCCCTTCCTGGAAGCCAGCAGCGCCTTGCAGGTCTGAGCTCCTCTCCTCTCCTCGACGTCCTGACGTGAGCTTGATTGCATAGGGAGACGGCAGAGCAGCTCTGAGCGTGGGACCGTTCTCATACGGCTACTTCGAGAGGACATAGCAGGAGCCTTTCTCTTCTTTCCCCTTCTCAACAACTTTATGCTTATAAAATCCATGAAACTCATCAAAAACCTCTCTTGCGCCTGCGCTGACCTCCTATGCCGACGGCTGGGTGGGGGCGGTGAAGAGAGAGCGGAAAATGGTACCCTTGAGACCCGTCAGGATCGCAGCGATGAGGGAGAGCGACATGTAGCGCAGCACGTCCCAGGTGACGGGGTAGCCCAGCACAGTGGGGGGGCGATCAAACTGCTGGATGTACCTCGCCGTCTGCTCTATGAGGACCTGCAGCTCCTGCCTCGCCCGCTCGCTCTTGGGTGTGATCATGACTGACTCCCCCAGGGCACCACCCGTTACCGAGCCCTTCATCGAGGACCGGGAGGACGGGGCCCGGGAGAAGCAGTTGTTCTGTCCTCGGAAGTTGAAGGAGCTGGTGGATGCTCGACGGAGTTCCCTCCCATCCCCTGGCTCCTCTTGCACCTCGCATTGCCCATTCTGCTCAGACTCCTCCATGCTGCCTGAAGCGGCGATGTCCAGGGAGCTGTCGAGGGGCTGGTGAACGATGCCGGAGGCGCTGAGGGAGAAGCGGAAGCGGGACATGTCCTGATCTGGATCTGCTGGAGGAGGATCGCTCTCGAGGTAGACCTGGCTCCTAGCATTCAGGCTGGCTCGGTAGTACTCCGCATGGAGGAGGTGAATGTCGCTACGGCACATGTCGTACACGGCGAGCTTCAGGTACATGATGGCGCACAGGACGCAGCTGAAGACGATGCAGTCGAGAAGGGCCCAGAGGTCAAGGACATTGATCGGCCTGGCTGCATTGCCCCCCCTTCCTCCCGCCAGCCACCAGTCGTAGTGGTTGAGGACCAGGATGACGGATAGGACAAGCAGAACGAACATCATGTAGGTGAAGACAACGTCACGTTGCGCGCTCTTGAAGCCGCCGCAGGAGTCGATCAGCAGCTGCCTGATACGACACCACAAGATGAGATCCTTTTCCTCCTGCAGCGACAAGAATGGCATGAAGCCTCTCCCATCCCATCTGCCCACTCTCTCCTGCAGTGCCTTGTCTGACCTGACCGTCCTCAACCATTTCCTCCTGTACGTGAGGTAGTAGCCCGGTGTGGTGGATGCTCTGAACAACTTCAGTTTGTAGTAGAAAGCCAGATCGTTGTAGAAGATGTCGAACGTGATGAACAGGAGCCGGTAGACAAGGTAGCCAGCCACAGCGGCAGCTGGCAGAGTCACGAAGGCATGCAGGTAGTGATCTCCTCCAAACAGCAGGTTCCATGCTACACTCCTCCTCTCCGCGTCGGTGCATGTGGGGCCGAGGACTTCAGTCCACTCCCATCCACCTGAGAAGCACTGGCCCTCCTGCGATCTTTGGCGAGAGCTCGAGCTTGTCATGTAATAATTGTACACTCTGCGCAGGATTGGGACCAGGAAGTGCAACAGTCCCATGGCACAGGAGAGAATGCGGGCAAGGTACTTGAACTGACTTGCAGGAGTGCAAAGATCCGCAATCAGCCCGATTCTCTCGACCACATGACCTTCAGGCGTGTGAGCTCTGAAGGCAAACATGGCTCTCAGATCCTCCTGCTTCGATTCTCCTGTCAGCACGTACTTCCTCCTCATTACCAGCCCCCTGTGCTCGAACGCTGAGATGGTGGCCACGATCAGCCCGACAAGCTGGTATAGGACGATCGGGCCCATGGACTCGACGATGGAGATGTTGGTCATGTACTCGGAGTAGTAGAGGTACAGCCCAAGAGACATGCAAGAGGGCAGCCAGAGTTTCATCAGGTACCACTGGAAGTCTCGGTACTGGTTGTACGGTAGCGGAAGCCAGCAGGCATCGCTCATGATCTGAAAGAGCCGTGTCTTTGACTTGGGCAGGAGGGATTGAATAATGCAGATCGGGTGAGTAATCACAGCAAGATTGTCCGCTAAGAAAGCTGCAGGGCGGCGTCAGGCGAAAGGAAAATCAGCGTGGGTCGTACCGTAGAGAAACTTCTTGAATCGAAAGCGCTGGTGTGTCTTTTCTATTCCAAACATCCTGCCCACGGCTCTACGAGAAAAGGGTGTAAAAATTCAGAGTCGGCAGCGTTGCTGCTCACCGATGGTAGTGCATGCGTCGATCCGGTGCAGCAGACTTCAAAGTCTGCGCGAACGCAACCATGAATTCCTGACACAACAGCTCAGGTCGAGGCGCTGCTTCACATCGAGCTCAGACCTTGGCTCCGAATGTGAGAGCGTTTGGATTCAAGTTGGGAAGGACCTTGAGGTTCTCAACCAGCAAGAAGAGGAATTCATCTCCAAACTCGCACTTGAAACAAATTCAGAAAGGATCATGCGCAGAGCAGCACTTGTCAAAGGACTTACCTTCCTAACAGTGGCTGTTAGATCGGAGACAGAAAGCAAGTTGCCCTTGGGACCATCATCGTCTCGACCCGTCTCATGGTATGATTTACACGGGTGGGCCCCTGCCGTCCAAGCCTCCAGTCAGAATCCATGAGCAATGCTGAGACGAGGAATACCGTCCCACGACAGATGAAAAGCGTCGTAAACAGCTCTGATTTGGTGGCACGTGGTTGTCTCGTCACTGCATCCGTCGTCAATCAACATCCATCCCCACCCTCCTCATCTGATCGCACCAACAGTCCTCGCATTTGAACGCTTCGATCAAAATCTTCTCCTGGGTGCTGGTGAAGTCGAACTTGATTTTTCCCAAGAGCTGTCCCACACTCATCACTCCAGGAGCTACAGCAACAAGTCGGGAGCTACTTACCCCTGCCAACCTGCTCTTGGGGTCAGATGAAGTTCTCTCCGGTGTGAGCAAACTTTCGATTGCAGCAGAGGCCTGAGTGTATGACATGAGTCCATTCCATCGCAAGTGCGAATCATTTCAGTGCCTTACCGTCCTCGAGAAGCTCATAGAGATCAGTTTTGTCCCTCCAGACGTTGTGCGCGTGAAGATGGAGTTGTTGGATGAGCTGCCAGTCCTCCCCAGCTGATGACCTGGCGCGATGAAAGAGGTCCTCGGTGAATTGGTCAAGGGCCTCGGCAGTTCGAACTTGTCGCCCCCACTCGGAGATCGCTGAAAGGAATGCAGTCACGACATGAGCGACCAGCTTCAGAAATGCTCACAGCGGATTCAACGCTTCTTGTTCGCTCCAGGTCCGAGAGGCTCGTACGAGATTCTATCGAGTCTGCCACTAAAGTCACTCACTTCTCTCCTCCTCCTCGGCCCTGGGTTCCTGACCTCGCCGCAAAATTTCTGTTGCGGACGGTGTTAGGCTAACAAGCTCTGATGTCTGCGAATACACGTCAGGAGACAGATCTGCACTAGCGTCTCTTACATCCATCGGCCTGTCACGAGATTGAATTTTGCTCGGGCGAGCTGGGATGGAGCCAAGAGTAAGCGATGGCTCAAGGAGGACAGGAGCAACGCAAAACAGGGAAAGCTAGAGAAAGAAACGACGGAGAGCAAACAATGGCAAGCACAACTAGTTCGAGAGAGCAGGGGTCAGCTGCCTACCCATATCGTGACTCCCATCCATCTCATCAGAGATAGAGAGCTTGCGCTTGCGAATGCCTTCATCTAGATTGGTAGAGAGGGGTGGGTGGGTGGGAGGGAGAAGGGAGATATATGAAGAAGAGACAAGAAAAGTAGATGGTTGGCAAGGTGCGACTCATTAGAACGAGATCGCATCAAGGAGAAAATCGTACTCCCATTGACGGCCATGGCGACGTCTTCAGCCGCATTTCCTACCACCCTTTGTTACATGCCGCTGATGAAAATGCAAATCGACAACCATTAGAATGCACAGCGGGTAAAATTCCTGCAGCACCGCCATCCTCATTGGCATGCACACCATGCTCGTGCTGCTGTACTGGGGGAGACTGCTCCCCATTGCCGTCCTGCCCCATCAAATGTTCTCCACCATTCTCACCCGCGTTCGCACCTTCCTCCATGGCTGTCACTTGTTTCCTGCCTCCCGCTTTCCCTCCTGCTCCTCCTCCTTCTCCCCCCCCTGCTGCTTCCCCTCCTCTTCGTCGGCTTCTGCTTTCCACCACCATCCTCCATCAAAGCCGCCCCCTGCACCCCTACCCCTACTTGCTATGAGAATCTGACCCCTACCCCCAGTGGCCCCTTGTTTACCTCCCCACCCCTTAGTCGGACATGGGACAGTATATCCAGGACCGGTAGTTTCCCTTTAGAGTACCCTACCCTATTGGTTCATTTTGTCTGGTCCAGGGTACGATCTCGCCGTACCCCCCACCTCAACTCGAATCCGCATCGCCCCTTGTCCGTAGCACCCACCCCTCATTTTCCATAGAAATCCTTATTAAAGTACCCCTGGTCTACGTACTCGGACCCACCTCGAGAGTTTCACCCCGGCCAACTCGGACCCCCTAAAATATCATGAAAAACACCACCGGTACTTTGAGGCACAGGGAAAAAATTGACGGGAATGATCCCGTGAAACTGAAATAAATAAGGTTCACAGGATATTTCCAGCAAGAACCTAATGAATGACCGTTGGAGAGCGGTTACACTCTTATCGTTACACTTCCCCATCTCCGTTACCCAAGGCATTCGAAGGGTTGCGCGGCCTTTCGTGAGGAGTCGCGCGGCTCTTGAGGGGGTGAGGGTATAAAAAGAGGAGGGGAGCGAAGCCTGCACACAAAGCAGGTGACATGCAGACCTGTCTATGTACTATAATTGGATGTGAATGAGTGGAAGATGGAAGCTGTGCCTTCCGATCTCCCTTTCAGTTCTCCTGGCTTCCCTCTTTCCCTGTCCAGCTCATCTTATCCTGTTGTTGATTGGATTTTGTTTGTGAAGTTCTGTGTCTCGCTCACTCGAGAAAGTTTTTGACTTGTTGCTGCAGCAATGATCCAGAAGCTCTTCGATCTTGAGGACTACGCCGGTACCTACCGCGAGACCCGCAACGCCTACCTCAAGGCTGCCAACCAGCTCAAGCTCGCCACCGGCCCCTACAAGGCTGCCCGTGATGCCTACGTTGCTGCCACCGCCACCTACACCAAGTCCCTCTACGAGTAAACTTGTCGTTGGTGTGCGCAGACAGAAGTTTGGTCGGCAGATTGCCAAACGTGCTAGGCTTCTTGTTGAGTAAACCTATCAAAAAAACCTTGGCAGTATGACTCTTATAAATCAACTTACATGTGATCTGTCCAAACTCAAGGGCTGATGAATGCTGTGAGGAGAGCCAGAAGCGTGTAGCCATGCTTTCACATTCTGCAACGGTATTGGTATCTGATGTCTTGGTCTGAGATTCACGGCACATTTGTCTTGTGACAGTGTTAGCGTTGAAAGGCCGCCATCTTGCAATGAGCAGAAAAGCTACTTCATCTATGCTGACGACGCTATAGACTTGCAATCGGAAGGAATTGTTGTGACTGAGAACTACAAATTTTTGTGCCTAATCAGACAGGCCATTCAGGAGATATGTCACTTATGTACATTAAAGAGAAACAATAACATCAGTGCTATCTACACAGCTGTAAGCGTCACTTCCGGCGCAAACATCTGCTTGGCAGGCGTTGCCTCCACCACACTCTGAGAACGAATTCCCTGCAGACTCGTCAGCAAGTGACGGTGAACAAGCTATCTTTCACCTTGCTCAGGCTGCTCAGCAGTGACAAGGCGGCCACCGTCACCGTGAGACCGATCCTCCTCTTGAAGTCAGAGGACGCCAGCAAGTTCCTCTCTTCTCTCTGCTCAGGCAGCTGCTGCCCTGCCGCTGCTGCCTCGTTGAGCTTCTGCAAGAACTGTCGGGGCGACTCCGTGCTGCTCATGTGTTCAGAGTGAGACCAGTCCAAATCCCCTCCTCCTCTCACCTCAGGCGGTTAGTCAGCATCGCTCCGAACTGTGTGGTCGCAAGGCCTCCCGGATTGACATGCGTGATGAGGGTGAAGAGAGTCTTGTTGGGATCCGAGTCAAGCCGACGCATAATATTCGCTCCCAGCGACATTTCCATCCTCGTGTATCCTGCAGGAGATCGTCAGAGGCCTCTTGATCTCAACTCTCCTCCTCACCAGCTTGCTTTGTCGCAAGAGGATGCTCTTCCCCGCGGTTGACCACCATCTTGACGTCCTCTCCGATAGATCGATAGTGAACTCGCGTGACGAAGTCTCTCGACCAGGGACGTCCCGATAGCGAGTGAGTGATCTGCAGACTGTGTCACAAGCAGGGAGCGGAGGAGGGGAAAATTGAAGTCAAACAAGACAAAGAAGAGGTTAAAACAGAAGAAAGGATTGGGAACAAGGAAGCAGGGTGCAGTTAAGGGAACAGAGAATAAGGAGGAAGGATGGCTGGGAAGAGCTGACAAGTGGCTGGTGGCCACAGTGGGAGGTGGAAGGTAGAGATAGAGAAAGATGATCATACCTTGGTGTTCTCATCCAGCCACTCAAGATCCCTCACTTCCTTGCAGTACTCGTTGTACTCCCGCACCCTGGAATTATCCACAAAGAGATCGTACACCTTCTCGAGGGGCGCGTCGATCACCGCCTGAGCCTTCACACATGCAAACTTCGAGGCCTTGTCGATCTTCTTGCCCGCAACTACCATGTCAGCTGGGAGGTACTTCCTCCATATGTTGATCCCCGCGTCTGCCGAGACCATCTGCCAGTCCTTGTCGTCCAGCAGAGTCTCTACGGCCTCGACAAGATTATCGTTGACCCATCGCACGTCATGCTGCATGTCGCCATGCCCCTCGAAGTTTCCGCTCCTCATCGCGAGCAGGAAGTCAGCCCCCTGGCTCATCGAGCTGCCGCATTGCTTGATCCCCTCGACCACATCCTGCAGCGGATCCATGAGATTCAACAGCCCCCCTGATTTGATGTTCTCCAGGAACCCACCACCTCCCTCATCCGATCCCCCATCTTGCACGGAGGGCTGGTTGCATCCAAAGGGGGGAGCTGCCGATGGCGAGATGGCGATAGTGTAGCTCCTTAGCGTGTCCAGCACTTGGTTGAAAGTGTCCCCTCCGAAGGAGCCCCCTTGCTCGTTGAGCTTTGAGTTGAGCTTATTCTCGACCTCCCCAAGCTTGTTCAGCCCATCCTGCATCATGAGGATGAGTGTCGCCGGCCACGGCACTTCGGCTGCAAATCGGTCCGAGTCCATCGCTCCCCCCATCCTCTCCTGCGGCTTCTCTCCTGCACTCTGGAAGTTCCGCGCCACCTCATCAACTGCCTGCTGCAGGCTGTTCCAGCCCTGCAGCGGGTTGATCCACATCTGCCCCTGCGAGGAAGCATCATCGCAACCAGCCGAGAACTCTCCGAATGCCCCCAGCTCAGACTTTCTATTCCTCAAAAGCGTGTGCATTTCAGCCATGCTTGACCCCAGTTTGCTTCCAACCTCCGCCACCCCTGCCCCCATTCGCAACTCCAGCTTTTCTCGCGCATGCTCCGCTAGTTGCTTCACAGTCCTCGACAGATCGGTGCAGAACTCGACGGCTGCGTTACCCCCTCGAAGTCTCGTGCCTGGAGTATGGGCAGAGAAGTCGAACATAGACTTCAAGGTGGAAAAATCAAAACTCTGAGAGCAAAAATCAATCGCAGGAATGCGGACATCAAGCATGCTTGTTCACCTCTGATCTTCCCACAGGCAGTAACGCCAACACCCAGACTGCCACGAGCGCTTTCTTCTTCATTGCTTCCCAGAATTTCACACGACTTGTAGCATTTCAAAGGCTAATGTGCAAATACCCAATAGTCAACCTTCCATCAAAGCCCTGAGCACCTAACAGCAGATTGATTAACATCTGTGAACATAGCAGCTCACTGAAAATAGAAAGGAGGGCTGACAGTTGCTCCATCGTTGCCTCTTTGAACTTTCTACTTTTCGTCCGAACCCAGGTGACTATATTTTGCATGCCTGCCTGTACTCTGCACTCTCAGGTCCCATCTTTCTTGGTTCGATCACCTTACTTCTAAGTACCCAACTTTAAACCATCTTTCTATCTTCTTCAGTTCTCAACTGCTTCGATGTTCTGCTTTTCCAATGCATCTTTGGATCATTTCAATACTCCCGCACGCACTCCTAATCTATCATCCCATCATCTATGAGAAGTGTTCATGTCTCAATACATCGTTTGCTAGCATAATCATACCATAAACATTTTCTTTTCTCACACAAGTAGTGCGTTCTGTCCTCGTTTCTATCCGTGTCCCTTCCCCGCTCCCCCCTCGATTCGTTCATCGCATCCTGCCATTTTTCCCTTCCGAGTCGCAGCTTGCGGGAACACAGTCGGGTCACCCCCCACCCCCCACCCCCTGTGACCACAAGGTGATTGTAGCCTTTGCATGTGAGATTTGCAGGGAATACACTTCAAAATTAATTTGTAATATTCAAATTTTATCGAAATATTTGTCATAATTTCCTGGATTCTGATTGATGAACCCCCTTTGTAAATACCCCTACCCCTCCACTTACAATACCCCTACCCAATGTTTTGTCCGAAACAAGCTCAAAACCTGGGTTGCATTCTTTTGTACCCATTTTTCACCTTGTGAGGCCAAAACTTTGATTTTTGCTCTTCTAATTTCGTTTTTTAATTCATTTTCAGGAGAAAATTATCAATTTGCAGCACACATGGAATTCCACATCTACACTGATAAACTTCAAAATAAAATTGAGTCTTTGAAAATTTGCTTCAACCTTATACTTGTAATCGAGTTGGCTTGTGACCACCCCTGCTTCCTAGGGATTTCTTTGGGATTTCACTCTCAAGGTGTGCTTTATTTGACGTCATCTACCATTGCGATCGGACCGACGTCTGCTCATCCACCGTGGCGGGATGCGGCCCGACTCCGCGCCGAACGCCGACTCGTGACGGTTCATCCGAACCGGCGTGAACTTCAACGGCGACGGCACCGCGGCCCGGGGCCCTGAACTTCGGAAAAACAATCTAAGAGAAAAGACAGCGGCAAGAACCATCCCCCAAGCCTAGTAATCGCGGCCGCAGACGGTTGACTCGATGAACTCGGAACTTTCGGAACATCGGATCATATACCGTACCGTACGGTAGGTAGGCGGTGTACAAAAGTACCGCCCGCCGTTAACCAAGTAGAGACCGTTTGAGTCAAGGCTTACCGCAGTACCGTTACTCGGGGCCGGGCCCCCCGGCCGGGCGGCCGGGTACGGTACGGAAACGGTCCGATCCCGACTGCGTATGCCACGGTGTATTGATTAGACGGTGTACTGGCAGCCGCTCTACGGTAGTCGGGGCCCGCCCCGCCGGGCCAGCCTGACAGTGATGAAGTCGTCTTTTCGCCAATAATGGCCCGACCCGGTGACCGTGGCCCTATCGGGGTGATCCCACTCCACTGATGCCACTTCCGAGTGAACGGTTCACCGGTGACCGGCGGCGTACACTTAGCCTAAGTTTGGGGGACATGCTCAGTACACCGTGGTGACTGCGGCAGCAGCCGCCTACTCGGGCCCTGGCAGGCGGCAGTGAGCCTCGGAGGATCGGATGTGACTCACACTGAGTGAGCCCGGTGAGGGTCAGTGGTTCAAAGGCTCGGAGTCGGAGTATCGCTGTCTTTTCTCTTCAGAGTCGCCGTATCATCCGGGCCTGTGCAACACTGTGACAGTGTCAGGGACGGCCGAGGCTATCTTAAGGCTCGGAAAGATAAGATAAGACCCCATACCCCACCCCGTCAGGCGGCCAATTGAACCCCGCTCCCCCCCCTTCCCCTTCCCTTACGCTCTCCGGACCGGGTACTCCCCACCGTACTGTACACCTCTTCAAAAGATAGCTTGGGGGTCCTAACTCTGAAAAAAAGATCGGATACACCTCGTCTCCACCCCTGTCTCCCCGTTCCATCCTCCCTCGTACGGTCCTCCGTCCTCCTGCCCTACACTTTCCACCCCAATCCAGTTCCGAGTGCCTCTCCCTTGTCACACGGCCCTGCGTCTCTCCCCACCTCGTGCTCCCGTTCCCGCCTCTTTGCTCTCCTTCGAACCCGGCTTCTCCTTGTCCTTTGCTGAACAAGAGCAGGCTCCTGGCTTTCCTTCTGCCCTTCTAAACGATGGCATCGGTGAATTCATTGGCCTCACAAGTTCAGGTAATTGTCTTCTGCTCCATGAGCAAACAATCTCGTCGCACTCGATCTCTTTGTGAAGTCGGTGCAGGCCATGTCGGAACAGGTGAACAACATATCCGCCAGTCTCCTAGCAGCGCAGGTAACGATGGTTTGAGTCTCCAACCCTGACCTCCTTCAGTTTGCCATCAAAAGCCAACGACAGCAGATTCAAGAACTCATTGCAGCACAGGTCAGACACCTTGCGTTGAATCTGCAAAATCCCTTGGTTCTGTGCTGAACAACTTAGACAGGCATCGAATTCAGTGATCATCACCAGCCTTCAAGCTGTACCTCTTCTCCCCCTTGCCCTTCCTCTCCTCACGGCCCATCACAGACATCATCCCATGGTGACAACGCGTGGATTCTTGGTGAGTGAGACAACACGAGCAACCTGAGGTGTCGACTGAATTGGTCGCAGCCTCAACTGCGCTGGTAGTGATGATGACCATCCCCGGCCTCGCCTTGTTCTATGGTGGCCTTGCTCAGGTGACCGCACCTTGTCCTCTCCCACACATGACGTTGCGCTGGAAAGGCACCCAACGTCTTGTCGACAGTCATGCAGAGCTTCTCAATCATGTGCACCGTCAGCTTCCTCTGGTTCTCCTTCGGATATTCCTTGTGCTTCACTGCGGTAAGTCTTGCCCCCTCTGAAACCTCGGCACGATGTTGGCCGACCATGTCGACCTCAGGGCGACGTCTTCTACGGCAACTCCTCCAACTTTTGGCTGCACGACATGACGTCCAAGAAGATGAGGAACGACTCGGAGAAGCTCTTCATGGTCTACCAGATGACCTTTGCTGTCATCAGGTGCCTTGTCCTCTCCTCTTGCTTGCCCCTGACCCACCACGACTCCAGCGCCGCCATCATCTGCGGCTCCTTCGCCGAGAGGATGCGGTTCAGCGCTATGCTCATCTTCATCGCTATATGGCACATCCTGGTCTATTGCCCTGTCGCTCACTGGTCGTGGGGCCCGGGAGGGTTCTTGAACACCGCTGGATGCCTGGACTATGCAGGAGGAGACGTCGTACACGTGAGCGCGGGATTCTCGGGCCTTGTTGCTTCCATGCTCGTCGGCAAGCGCAGGGGCATCTCCCAGGGACAAGAGATCTCTCCTCATAACGCGCTCCTCGTCTTCCTCGGAGCTTCCCTGCTGGTGCGCAACATCCTACTCTCTCCTCTCCCTCCTCACGCGCTGCCAGTGGGTCGGCTGGTTTGGCTTCAACGCTGGCTCTGCCTTTGCCGCTGATCACATGGCCATCAACGCCATGGCGACCACGCAGATGTCAGGTGGGGCTGGCATTCTGCTGGGCTCCTGCAAGCACCTCACAGCTGACGCAGGTGCATGCGGAGGGCTGGCATGGATGGCGGTCGAGTGGATCATGCGAAAGAGACCGACCGTTGTGGGGATAGTGAGGTGAAACTTACTGCCTTGACCTCCTGCCTTGACCTCCTGCCTTGACCTCTCCTGCCTTGACCTCTCCTGCCTTAACCTCCCCATCCTTGACTTCTCCGTTCTCAGCGGCTCTATCTGCGGGCTGGTGTGCATCACGCCGGGCTGTGGATACGTGGACCTAGCGGGAGCGGTTGCCATCGGGTTGATTGGAGGCATCACGGGCTTCTTCAGCATCCAGATGAAGCACATGTTTGTAAGTGACTGTGCTCTGACCCGCCATCCTCTGACCCGCCATCCTCTGACCCGCCATCCTCTGACCCGCCATCCTCTGACCCGCCATCCTCTGACCCGCCATCCTCTGACCCGCCATCCTCTGACCCGCCATCCTCTGACGCCTCTCAGGGCTTCGACGACGCTCTCGATGCCTTCGGTGTGCATGGCATCTGCGGAGTCGTCGGCTGTCTTGCCACCGGCCTGTTTGCGGACCAGGGAGTGACCAGAGACCCCAACGAGAACGGAGCCTTCTACGGCAAGCCCTCCCAGGTGGGACGGAGCTTGCACTGCTGCTGTACTTACATCCTCCCCCAGCTCTACATCCAGCTGTACGGTGTCGTCGTCGTGGTCGCCTACTGCTCCGTCATCAGCTTCCTGATCTTGAAGCTCCTCGACATCGTGAGGGAGCGCGCGGGCGCGGGCTGCTGCTCATCTTTCCTCAGGTCATGATTGCTGTCACTGGCACCGGAATCCGCTGCTCTCCCGAAGCCGAGAAGATCGGACTGGACATATCAGAGCACGGCGATTCGCTTATCAAGGAAACGCCTGTCTTCAGCCTGGGGCAGGTTCCTCTGCTGTTCCTGCGTCTCCTTGCCCCCTGCTCTCCCATGATTGCTGCCTGCTGCCTCTGAAATCATCCCAGATCAAGGTAGGAAACCAGCATGTCTTGCAAGCGGGATGGAACGAGAACACTTCGGTCGTGCCTGTCAGCACCTCCATCACCCGCGTCCAGGTGTCAGACCCAGTCCACCTGGAGGACAAGGTCCATCCTTTCCAGCAGGACGAGTGAGGAAGAGCCGCAGCGGTGATGCGGTAGGAGTAAGCAGATGTTAAGACGAGTCGTGACAACGTTTTTATCCTATGAAGATCTAGATTTCAGAGCACAGTACCTTCACTTCCTGCTCCTCCTCCCCTTGCCTCTCTCCCTGCTCTCTCCCTCTCTCCCTCTCTCCCTCTCTCCCTCTCTCCCTCTCTCCCTCTCTCCCTCCTCCTCGCTCTCTCCGATTCACTCTACCGCATCATCTCATTTCGCAAACAAGTTTCCAAGAACACAGCCCGCCTCGGGACTCCTGACCTTGTTTGTGGGGCGTGGCAATGGCTAACCAGGTAGGGAGGGGGAGAGGGGAGGGGAGGGGAGGGGAGGGGAGGGGAGGGGAGGGGAGGGGAGGGGAGGGGAAGGGAGCTCTGCTTATCACCCTCTCCCCTCGCAATATCTGTGAGCTTGCTGGTGTTCCTCGCGTTTGCGTCGACTACACTCATTTCATCTGTTTATAAGTCCTAATCTTGTGATCTTTCTTTCTCTCTCCTCACAGGTGTTCTTGCTGTCTTCCATCTTGATGGTGAGTTCCATGGCCAAGTAGCAAGTCCAACTTGATCTTCGTTCCCTCACCTCCATGGCGGCACATATGACAAGATACTCCCAGGCATCCTCCTGCATGGCGTTTCTCCACCCTCCTCCCATGTTGGCGGCAAAGCGTAGATCCATGCCCATAGACTAGCACGTATTCACTTGATTTGGATCAGGTCTTGGCGTCCTCTCCTCTCCTCGCATCTCAGGTGCTCTTCTTGCTGCCATCAGCATAGTGACGAGGAGTCAGGGGACTCCGCAGTCTCCGCCTGCCGGCATGGTCGACTTGCGCGACGAGCGTGTGAGCCTTGGCTTCTGACTCCTCTACCTTGCAGCCAGGACGATGCTGAGGATGCAAGGGGGGTCCGACAACAGGTACAACCTGCCCTGCCCTGTCCTACTTTGACTTGTGATCTTGTTGCTCAGTTGCACATCAAAGCCCGGCAAGGTTCTCTTTAGCTTCGAGGTCCGTCAGCTCCCCCTCCAACCCCCTCTTCCTACTCTCCAACCTCTCACAGCCATCCAGGAGGCCCGCAAGTACGCACGGTCCTTTGGGTTTTCAAGTAGGGAGGAGTTCGAGGAGTATGGCTGCGCTGGAGCATACAGGTTCCTCCCACGCCGAAGTTCGCAGCTCAATGCTCGTCCCAGGCTCCCGAAGCGCCCGGACCTTGTCTACCCCAAGGAATGGAAGGGATGGGACGACTGGCTCGGGACTATGCTGCCTTTTTCTGGTGAGCTCAAGCTGGGGATGAAGGTCAGCTCATGCACAGCTGGTAGAGGCTCGAGAGCGAGCTCGTATGTCCGGCATCCAGTCAGAGGAGGAGTGGCGAGCGAGAGTGCAGGAAGGACCCGGTCGTGTTGCTACTCCCCTCGATCCCTCCTCTGCCCTCTCCTTTACCTGGGCTCCCTGCTTCCCTTCCCTTCCTCCTGCGTCTCCACTACCCCCTCTTCTGGTCTCTTCGCCTGACTGCTATCTTCAGATGCATGGCTGGACGCGAGGATTCCGGTCAAGCCAGATAGCTTCCCGCCGTATGCAGAAGACTGGAAGGGTGAGGGGAGGAGTACTTGACTTGAACTGAGACGATCTGCTAGGATGGAAGGACTGGCTGGGTGTGGATTAGCTTTGAGAACAGAGTCGTAGGAAGAAGCAATGTGTAGGAGCATGGAGATAAACTTCCCAGAGATAGAAGCAAATGAAATGAGGAACGAGATCATATCGGCTCCAGGGACCTCACAAACTCTAATAATTTACTTCGAATGCTTCAAGTTTATCCACAGGCCTGCAAAGGCTCGAGCGAGGCAGCGAAAAATCTTCTCTTATACAAGGTCAGCGAGGTTCATTGGCATTTCATCAATCTGCGTCGAATAATACTGCAACAGCGCCACGTCAGCACGACCTCAGGGGTTCACATGTAGAGAGAGGTTTCAGCCGACCTGCTCAATATCACGAAGAATGCGGATGTCGTCAGCCTTGACGAAGTTGATGGCCACACCCTTCCTTCCGTAGCTGCAACCGACTTGAGACGCACCAAGAACAAGGACGAGGACTCACCGGCCAGAGCGACCGATGCGATGAATGTACAGCTCACGATTGTTGGGAAGGTCATAGTTGATGACTAGCGAAACCTGCAGGAGGTGAGCCAAGCGGATTGCGCAAGCTGGTCTGTGCCTACCTGAGAAACATCCAACCCACGAGCCCACACGTCGGTGGTGATGAGAACTCTGATGACCAGTCAGGGGCTGGAAACTTGAGAACAAGATGCAAACCTTGAGGAGCCCCCACGGAATTCGCCCATGATAGCTGCAAAGAAACAAGCTCGTCTCAGCACTTCAAGCAGCACGTTCGAGAGGAGTCAACCGTCACGATCGTTCTGCGGCATGTCTCCGTGCATGGATGAGACGGTGAAGTTGGCCTGCCGGGGTTGACAGTCACAGTCAAGACATTTAAAGCATTTACACACCTCTCTCATCTTGTCGGTCAACCAGTCCACTTTCCTCTTCGTGTTACAGAAAATGACAGCCTGCAGCCGCAAGTCAGCAAACCCCTCGAGCTCGTCGAGTTGTCAGCACTTGAGTGATGGTGAGCGTGTCGTAAAGGTCGCACAAGGTGTCGAACTTCCACTCTTCACGTTCGACGGCTGCAGCATCACAACCGTCAGGTCCACTGTAGCGTGAAACGAGATGATTCATAACCGACGAAGAATTGTTTGATTCCCTCCAGAGTCAACTCATCGCGCTTCACCAGGATGCGGACCTAATGGGATCCTCAGCTACAAGCCGCACCCAGCGCTCCCAACGCTCTTACCGGGTCCGTCATGAACTTTGCGTCATTTCCAGAACTTCTCGAGGGAGAGTGGCAGAGATGAGAAGAACCTGGTGGGTGGAGAAGGTGAGATCCGACCGTGTTGAGGAACGAGAGGGACCTGAATCTGAGGAGGTAGATATCGATACACATCGTAGATTTGCTCTTTGAATCCTTGATTCAACATCTCATCTGCCTTTGTTCAGGTGGTAAGCACACGCGTGATCAACTGTAGAGTAGAGCCCTTACTTCGTCAAGCACCAGAGTCTTGATGTTCCTGGAATGTCATGTCAAACAGGCAATGAAGAGCAGGCATATGAACCTTGTTCTGAGATTTCGACGTCTAATCATGTCAAACACACGACCTGAGCATCACTTGTCATGCAACGGCCACACAGAATGGCTAATGAAAGTTCACCGGGTGTTCCGGAAACAATGTGTACGCCGTAGTCCAGCTTTCTAATATCCTCTCCAACACTGCATTGTACGGTAAGCCGCGGCAAGTGATCCATCCATTCAATTCCAACACACCTCTTTCCACCAATGCAAGCGTGCGCCTGGATCTGCATGTAATCTCCTATCGCCAGAATAACCTTTTGGGTTTGCGTGGCGAGCTCTCTGTTTTCTTTCTCGTCAAATGACGCAATCGAGCGAGAGGAAACAAGCTGCACCTCGTCGGATTCATGATCAAAACTTGAATTTCACGCAGAGTTGTGTCGACAAGCTGATATTTCGGAGATCATCCAACGGCACCCTCTACCCTTCATACTCTCTCACCTGCAGGGCTGCGATAGACAACATAGCAGTCTTTCCGGTACCAGATTGAGACTGGGCAATCACATCGCGGCCCTGCCTCCATGTCACTTGAATGCATTGGAACTCATCCTGCAACACACTCCTCCTTCCTTTCCTTCAATGTTTCACCCCTCGTTTTCCTTTTGCCTCTTCGCCTCCCACCCCCCTTCAAGACATCGTTCATTGCTCACCTGAGACATGGGCACAATTGCACGTTGCTGAATAGCCGAAGGCTTTTCAAAGCCTGGAAAGAACAGGGGTAAGCTAACACAAAACGGATGGACATATCTGGCTGTACGAGGCAACATGCATCACAACAAACCCCTCTACATTTCCCATGATGGAGCTTTCGACTTACCATATGCATAGATGCCTCTAAGGAGGTCGTCCTTGAGCTGCATCGTGTGTTTACTAAACGTTCAGAACCACAGAGAGGTCACACCTTCAGACCATCGAAGGTGTTGATGACCTTGACTCCCTTGGAAGTCTCAAAGTCGGCCTGTTGGGTATGATGGTTAATTTCCTGAGCAACGCTGTATATCGAGACATTTTCGAGACATTTACATAGATGATTTGATAACGAGCTGCATACAGATAAAGATCCGTTTCTCGTTTTCGCAAACACCACGCAACAATTTAGAACACGAAAAATCTCTCATTCGCAGAACATCGCAGTTACATTCCATCGCACAAATGCTTTCCAAACATACGAGCATACAGATTCAATCAGCATCTTGTCTTTATCTAAGAAAAAACACAACGAAATTGAGTGCTCAATCATTACAACCAGCCTCATGTCTCTGCCTCTCAATCAGTCTCACTATCCCAACCCTTGCCCCTCCGCCACCATATACTCGATTCCATTCCTGTGCTTTTCTCTTTCGAAACCCGATCTTTCTTCATCTACCCGTCTGCTTATTTGTCTTCCTATCTTTTCAATCATTGATGGTATCATCTAGTTCAACTCCATCGCATGTCGCTTACCTCCTCTGCCTCCAGCAGCCTCTCCTCATCCGCCTTCGACATCGTCGGCTCGAGCGGCGGCTATACTACCCCTACCCCCTCTTTCTCGACATATTACCACTGGTTCTCCGCTGTACCCCAAAGAGATCCCACCTCCACCCCCAAGTATCTGGCACACTACCCCATAATGTCTTCTTGTTCTTATTGACCCCACCCACCCCACATGAAGTACCACCCCCTTTTGTCTCAGCTAGCATTCCATCATACCACCCCCATGTCCATGATCACCCTGCGATACACCCCATTTCAACCACCCCTCATTTTGAGAGTACCTACCCTCATATTTGATATTGATGGTACCCACCCTTCAGTAAATACACAGCTCTCTTTTACCTATATATGCCCCACCCCTGTCGCAAACTGGTACCCACCCATTTCCCTTACCCACCCACCCCGAATTTGCAAGGTCTCCTTCCATGTAGGGAAGGAGACCAAAATTCTTGGCCAATGCCCAAATTGGTTGTTTGATTCAACTATTGATATGTACATTTGAAAATTTAGAATAGAATGTTTAATTGAAAAAGAGATTTGATGCAATTTAGACCCCTGCCATGATCACAAGACGAAATTTCATCGGAAAGTTTCAAATCTAGAGGCAATTTTGGACACCATTTTGTAACATTTCAAATGGAATTTCGTCGAATTTCGGCCGGCGTAATCACGGCGCAGCTTACCTCACCGTGAGTCACCGGCACTGACTCAGTGAAGTCAGCAGCCGGGCCCCGGGCCCTCACACTGGACGCTGCGACCACCGTGCCACCGTGACACAGTAAAAGTTCAGTCAACTTGCAACTTAGTGACAGCCGCTGAGCCCGCCGGGCCGGGCGGCCCGCCGGCCTGCTGGCCCGGACCGACCGGGGGCCGGCGCCGGGCGCCGGGGGTCGGAACTTCAAATCAAAAGTTTCAATGACATCATATTAAATGGCAAACGACTGGCGAAAGCTCAGTGGGGCCGAGCGAGGCCAGTTCAACGGTTGCCATGTCGGATTGCCGACTCTCGGCCCGTCAGTGTTGAAGGCTCTAAGTCAGGCCTCCGGTTGAAACTGAACGGGTGGCGCAGCCCGGGTCCGGCCGCGGGGTGGCATGCCGAACTTCCGACTCATGATGATTGCCTAGCCGCCTTGACAGCATCAAAAGTTTCGTCATGCTGCAACTACCGGGTAGGACAGCCTGATAGCGGGCCAGGCCGTGATCGCCGATGCCAGGACGGTCACAGCCAGGTGGCACCGTGCAACTTGAATCTCTGACGGCGGCCCCCGCCTCGTCGAGGGTGACTCAGACGTTTCACTTTCTCCAGTCGGAACGTTTGTCCATGCAAGGCCTGAAGTTCAGCGGGTCAGAAAGGAATTGTGTTAATCGCATGCCAGTCTCACCCAACAGGCTGGCAGGAAACTGCCTGCTGAAGCCACGTGAACGCATCTACAACACTTGAATAGAACTTCAGTCCTCCAATAACCAACACAACACGGAGTCCTACCCTCCAGAGCCTGTCGGCTGCTGCTGATCCTTCTTGAGCTGCTGTCTTGTGACCTAGGAACTTGTCAAAGAAAGAGCAGAATCGAACAGGTATCTACCGTTCCATTTTGATAGCTCATTTCATACACGTTGTTGCCGTCGATTAAACGTCCTGACATAGAATTGTGAACAAACAGAATGGGGGATAGCACACGCGTGAGCTTTACCTTCTCCATGAGGACGATCTTCAGCCCACATTCCGTCGTAGATCTTCCCCGTGCTGTCAGGATAGACGAATCTGTGAGCATGACGCAGGCGATCATCGCAGACTCTTCACCTGTACGTGTATCTTCCTTTGCCGTGCATACGATCCGCCTGCCACTCGCCCTCATAGCATTCTCCCTGGAATAAGCCAAATTATCCAGAACTTCATGTTATCGTTTGACATGATCATCAGAACCTTGGCATATTTATACTTTCCAGATCCCTCACGACGGCCAAACCTGATGGCCAATATCAAGGTATATATCATCTTCATGTGTTCATTGCACCTGAATTCTCCTTCATAAACGTCACCATCCGGGTAGGAATAACAGCCCTTTCCATGCCCTTCAATCCAGTGTCAGGATCTCATCACATGGTGCTCTCCATTAATCTCACGCTTGTCGTCTGAAAAATCTCCTACGTACTTTCCACCCCCGGCATAGATATATGTTCCTGCAAATAATTGTGACAAGTTGTTCTGATATTTTCCATCACTCACCATGCCCATGCTTCCGTCCTCCCTTCCAATGCCCTTCATATCTTGCGACGTCCCGGTTAGGGTCCATCCCTCATTTATGAAACACAGAGTACCTCGAACCACTAGGATAATTGTGTACATGGAAGCCGTCAGGATACATGATCTGCCTAAATCTTCAAAGTCAGCAGTTTAACAACGCGAATGACTTTCGCTAGTGCTGTGTCTCATGGAAACCGGATTCCGGCAAAGAGCGAAGGCAGAAAATAACAAGAACGACACAAACAAACCAAGTAAAACATGTGATGTTCCAGAAATGAGATATTGGCTACTATATTCTCTTGAAACGTTCCAAAGTTCTATGACTTCGTACATTGAAGCGGATTTGTTGCTCGATGAAAAAGTGAGGAAAGGAAAACAGCAACGCGCATGACAATCGGAATGGAAAACATCTTCCTAACAATGGAAAGACATTCAAGTAAAGAAATGCGAAACGAGTTGGCAGTTTCAGAGCACAGCCAACTATACCATGGTTCAGCACATGGCCAGTCATCATTTGGATGGGGAAATCAAAATGACCTCGTCCAAACAAAAACGAACACCAACGATCTTTCCCGTAATGATAGCATGCAGCAGGATTAAGGATCAAGACCGATATGAAGAACGAGGTCTATCTTCATGCGAGGTTAAACCGCGTAATGAACGACTCGACTGGGAGGGGAGAGCAAGATCGGAGGTGAGGTTCGACGAAGAAAGATCAAAGGATCGGAGCAAACAATTCGATAGCGTAACATTCAAAGGTGGAAACGGAGTGTGCTAGGGAGAGATTGAAGGTATTTGAAGAGGAGTAGAAGCAGGTTCTGCATAGCACGCAGCTGAATTGCGAAGAGTTAGCAACGCAGCATTGTGGCATCAAATGCGTCGTAGCTTCGGCTTACGATTTTTTCGGAAAGGAGTATCGATGTCTTGAAATCATAAACAATCTTAAAACAATTTATCATAATTCGAAAATTTAACTATGATTTCATTATTATCCGAAAAAATCAGGCCAGTTCTTGAAAGTTTGTCAAACCAGCCAAAACGGAGTATGAGGGGTAGGGTGTTGTTGACAGAGGTGGAAAGCATCGACAGGGGTGGGTAGGAGGATATGGGAGGAAATACGGGGTAGCAAAAGGTGGAGAGCAGCAAGGTTGGGATAAAGGAGGGGTAGTCATCAAGAGTTTCTGGTCGCTGAAGGGGGTCATCACAAGGCCCGGCAGGGGTACTTGAAGAGGGGTTGATCTCTGACTACCGGTGGCGTTAGTACTGTTTGAAGAACAGGGTAGGGGTGGTAATTCAAAAGTTTGAGGTGGGTAGTCAAAATCCGAAACTCATACCTGGTATGGCTCCATGATCAGGGGTGGGTGGTATAAAGAAAACTCACTACGATAATATAATAATTGGGTACCGGTGGGGCGACATCGCTTTTGTTGTGGGGGTAGGGGTACTATTATAGGGATTGTAAAGCCAACCTCTGGTCATAGAGAGTTTTCGGAAATGAACATGACATTTCCCACTTTAACACAAAATATGAAATCAAACGGTAAAATTTGGTAGACAACTTCGGAATGTGTAAACTTTGCATCACATATTTTGCCGCACAAATCACTACTTTGCTGATTTGACACCGGTGGTCATCGCAAGGGATGGGGTACTATTGCTCTCCGACCCATCAGCCCACCGGGGTACCTCCGATTGACCTTTAGAAGCATAGCAAATTGAACTAAGGGGAAGGGGTGTGCAGATGGAATGACGATCAGATGGGGTAGGGTGATGAAAGCACTCCCAGTCGTGGGGTAGGGTACTGAAGATATCTCTTCTACAAAATAAAGGGGGAGGGGTGCGGTATTGCTGTCTTTGAGCACATCGAAATTGAAGTTGAATTGAATCGTTAATATTTCAAAAACAAGAACACTCAATTTGAACAAGCCTTGCTATGCACTCCTCCAGCCTCAAAAAATGCCTTTGTTGGGAGGAGGCAGGGGGGGAGGCGGCAGGAGAGTCGGAACTAGTTCACGAGCATAACATGAAGACGCCCTTGTGAACTTCTACCACGTTGGCACTTTCAGTCGTGGTTACTTTCGATGACGAGTCAACCCGATAATTGTTGCTGTAAATATCTCCTAGGGAAGGCTTGAAGGTTCTTGACCTTGTAGACGATCAGATGAAAGGGAAGAAGGAAACAGTGCTTGTATGAACCCCCCTAAAATGATGCGAGCTTACCTGTGTGAATTTGAGCCAATGCAGCTTGCCATCCATGAGGAACTGATGTTTGGTTGTGAAGGCGTCCAATCCCGAGCTTCCGTATGTTCGGCGGAGAACTCCTTTGTGGTTCTTGCATGTCAGCGAGGAGCTGACGGACGGACTCTGCTTCTCATCTATCAATCTCCTTTGCTCAAGGAGTGCTGGAAGTCAACCACACGGGAGGATGCAGGCGGCGTCGGATATCGCCTTGCTCTCGTTCTTGCTGCTGATACAGGGGATTTGGGCTCAGTCGACACCTGCCCCCTCCAGCTACGGAGGTAGCAAGGACTCACTCTCGCAGAACCAGCTGAAAGTATGGCAGGGAGATGGTGCTGCAATATCCAGATCCTCTACTACGGCGTCCCCGTCTTGATGTTGGTTGCAGTCTTAGCCATCATTGTCTGCATGAGACAGAGCAACGTATCAGCAAGATCGACCACCTCCGAAGCAGACAGAGCCCTAGCTCGTCGTCAGAGGATCAGAGAGCATGCACTAGGCCAACTCTACGCCGAAGCCTTTCCGGGTTTGATAGGCCACCAAGTTGGGAGCACAGGGGAATGACGATGGTTGCAGGGTCTGCCTTGTCGCTGATGAACTTCTCCATCATGGAACATCTCCCACCGATCCCCTTCGAGCTGAAGATCCGTGGGTAAGAGAGACAAGAGGATCCCTCTCCTTCCGACCTGCTCACATGTGATGCGGGTCAGGGTTGTCTTGTCGAGAGGGATGGAGAAGTTGAATGAAGGAGGACATGTTGCTTCTTGAGAGGCGCCTTGGTTATGTCTTCATGCTCTATTTATTAGCCGAGGAAAAAGGAGACCTGGATCAGGAGTACTTTCTCGTCGACGTTTCTGTAAATTGAATGGATTCTTAGATTCTTCCAGTAAACCACTAACAGTCTGTGTTTGCCTTGCCAGCATTTGTAATTTTCAGCCTTGCGTGCAGCGATCGACAGCAAGCTTCAAAGAGAGATGAGGAAAGCATCAATTCTTGCATGAAAAGATTCGCAGATCAAACCAATGAGGCTCCTCATGCTCACAACTTTCCTGACTCAGCACAAATCGATATCACCACAGGATCGCTTCAGCACCTGCAGGACACCTTCGTTAGGGTCCGCATGCAGTGCATTTGATGTGTTGTGCCGACCTTCTGGAGTTTATCGAGGATAGCGAGCTCTTGTAGCTCGTGGGACGACGTGCATAGTCTCCTCCCTGACACTAGCTTAGCTACTTATGCAAGCCAGTTCGTCAACCTTGGATGCGGCAGCCTCCGCTTGCCTTTTCAAAATTTCTTCTCGAAAGTTGATGGGTACATCGCGACTGCCGAGTCAATCAAAACCCCCACACAGTCAAGAACCTCACTCATGCCTCTCTTTCTTTTCGCGATCCTTGCTCTTGGACCTCGACCTGAAATTAGATTACACAGTACTCTCGAGTCGAGCTGGTGTACCTGCTTTTCTTCCGATCCCTCTCCTTCGATCGATCCCTTTCCTTCGACCTGTCGCGATCCCTTGACCTGTCGCGATCCCTTGACCTGTCTCGAGATCGATGCCGTTTGTGGTGCTTGCGACTGTCTCTGTCCCTGTCCCTGTCCCTGTCCCTGTCCCTACCACGAGAGTGGGATCTGCTCCTTCCACGACGTCCATCCCTTGCAAAAAATTTAGAACAACAGAAATATCAACGATTCGTCCCTTACTTGCTGCGATCACTGATGCATGGAAATTTGAAGGAGAAATGGAAAAAAAAATCAGCGCATTTCGTCTCTATGATAAACAAGGCATACCGGCTCTTTTCCCCTTTCTCTCGACTTTCTGTGTTGCGAGCTATAATTTCAATATCCTCCACATTGGTAACCTAAAGAAAATCATCAGCTGTTGCACAGGACATGGCAGGCAGTACTTGCTGGTTCCCATACTCTGTGAAAACAAGGAGAAAACCTGCAAAATGCAAGTTCAATGATGGGAACAGCCCCCCCCCCTTGCCCATCAGATATTTCATAGACATTGATTTCTTTTACGGTGAAGGTGAACCACAACACTGACCTCCGTCTTTCGTCTCCGAGAGGATCTCAGCTTCATATTCCTGCAAACAGACAAGTCAAACGCCGAATGACATCCTCGGAGCAGACCTCCTCGTCTTCATAAAATAGAGCCTTTACTTTCATTCCAACCTGTATCATTCGTATTCGTCAGCTATTGGACATGCTTTATCGCATGTTGTTTAAACCTTAATTTTGCTCCTCTTCTCTTTTAGCGACTGTCCACCCACATCAAATGCGAACCACCATCATCGTATTTGTGAATACCTTTTCCCTGAATTCTAATTTCATTATGGTTTCTTGCATGTCCCTTTGGATCGCGACTGGGATTCGTGGAAGGATTGTATCAAAGTAATGTATATCTTCGATCACTTCACGCGTGAACTAAACCAGTCCACAATCACGCTGAAAACACAACGACTAAGTGTTACCTGCCCGATAGTCTTCTTTTTTCCACCGGGGCTAGCATCGAATTCTATCAGACAAAACTTCAATTACCACATTCTACATAAGGTCATCCGGACCTGTGCTATCATTGATTTTGTTCTTGAAAAATCCCCACATCTCTTTTGGATCAACCACGTACCTGGCTCGACAATTCAGAGAAAGAGAGGTCCACATAAATTTCAAGCGCGACCTGACATATAGAATTCCAACAACTGGGATCATGGGAGAATCAGGATGCTCCAGAAGATCAGCCAATTGCTTGTACGTCAACTTGATTCAAAGGTCATTGCTGTATGACAAGGTCCAATGAAAAACGCTCACCCTCATCTGAAACAATCTGTAGAGCAAGCAGAAACAGGATGATGGAGAACGCGTGTTGGGTATGAATGGAGTCGCGTATGTTACCTTGAAACACAATCAGTGCTCAATGACTTTTGTTGCCAGTAATGCCTTACTTTGTTGTAAATTTCATCAACAAGTTCTTCAAATGTTGTGAATTCGGCCTGATGGTAAGCAGTTGTCAGTCCATCATTCAATACAACCAAGACATGAAAAAAAAAAAACATTAAAAAGAAGCTCAGCAACAATTAAATATCAACTGTTTACATTCACCGTTCGCATGCGATCAAGCCTCACATTCCTTTCACTACCGTCGTAACCTTGATCAACGCATAGGAATGTGCACGCAAGCACTCATACACTCAAAAAGAGAAAAAATAAAAGGAACAACAACAAATTAACTCCACATTACACAAAATCATACCAAAGCTTTGAAGTAGTCACTCGCTAAGATGTTTTCTCTCAGCACTGGATTCAGATTGTAGGCGTCATTACAAACTTGTTTGATGCGTGGACTGATTTCGCCAGTGACAGGATCTTGAACCCCATCATCGCCAGGTACAACAGCTGGAGTGGTGATCGCAGCTGCGGCTGGTATCACAGCTGCTGCTGCCGCCGCCGCCGCTGCCGAAGCCTCAGCTTCTTTCTTAGCTTGCTCAGCAGATGCAGCCTTTCGGGCCTGAGAGAACACGTAAGTCATGAACAAAGGAGGTTGATCAGACATACCCTCTCTGCAGCTCGCCGCTCAAGCACAGAGCCAGCGAACTCCGGCCTGACTTTCCCGGATGAAGCAGCAGCGGTTTGTGCAGGGACCTGTTGACCGTAATGAGGCATCTGATGCGCTTGCTGAGAGAAACTCATAGGTGCACCTTGTCCCTGAGGAACAGGGACAAAATGGCCAGTCCCTCCGTAGGGAACATGCGGTGCATACGGCTGCTGGTACCATCCCTGGTATGCCTGCTGCTGCTGCTGCTGCTGCTGCTGAAGTTGTGCAGGATCTGGAGTCCATGGGATGGCGTCGCGGGTCATTCTACAGCTCAGTCAATTAATCCACTCCTAGAACGCAACACTCCTGATGTAGCAAGCTTCAGGGGAGAGCCTGCGCCTGTCAATCACCAGTCAACACGAGCGCCATGCACGGCAGGGATATTCAAGCCAAAACGTGAGAAGGGTTCATAAGATTCGTATGAAAAAGAGAAAGGGCACGGAGACACGCGACTCCCATGTCAACAATGATGTCACGATTCTGCATTCTCGCTCACTTGATTATCGTCTTATCTCTACTGCCCTGACATTCCACCCACGAATAATAACGGAATCGCCTTCCCAGCATCTCATTCTTCCCTTGACCCATCAGACGCATAATCTCTTACGTTGTTTGACGTTCATCTACCTCTAAGAAGCAAGCATACCAGTCATACACCCTCGCAATCACCTCGCCGCCCCCTCATTATCTCACCCACTGCTGCTTCAGAATCGTCTGCATGGGAGCGGCGGCAGGGAGGATAAAAAAGAGAGAAAAAAATTTAAAAAATGAAATATAGAGTCCGGATTGGACTCTGCAAACCTGCCGTCATAGCAAAACTTTCCGACGAAGTCTTTTGACACACAAAAATTCAAAAAATATTCCTATATATTTCGAATATTCAATCAAATTTGTGAAACTATATAGCCTATTCGTTTAAGAAGCAGTCCTTTGCCAAAAGTATATGTTAAAACCACACATTATATATTTATGATCTAGGTACATTTTTGTAGAATATGAATCTTAACAAGTTTTTATTTATTATCAATATGGAGTAAAATAATTTTAGAATTTGTAAACGATGCAATGCAGGGGTACATCTTTTAAAATAGTGAATTGTAGCCTGCACGCCATTCCAAGCTCGCCTCGCCTGTGACTTGACTAATAAATCAGTCAGCAGTGTTCTCCACATTTAGCGACGGCATGGCGGGGGCAGGGGTCAGGAAGTGAGGGATGCAAGGAGAGCCATGGCGGGGACAGGAGAGCTGGTGCTGAGGGTCTGTTGAAGAATTCATAACCGTGCCAGCCATGTCCTATGATGACCACTTCCAAGCGGTGGTCACCAGAAGCTCTAATCCTCAGCGCCGCACTTCTACCCTATGTGAGGGAAGTGCGCAATGCCTGATACGTTTCTGACTTGTTTTCTACAAGGGATCTCGGCATTCTCGCTAGCAATTCTCATTGTTCTTGTAGTTCTCAATGACTCGAATCTTTCACATCGGGTTTCCCTTGAGACAAGACGCCAGGGTGCGCTAGGTTCGAGGCAGCACTCAACTGCTTTCTGGGGAATCCTGTTCCAGAATTCTGCAGTGGATGAATCAGTCAAGGTCACACATGTAGCCCGCAAACAAAGCTCGCTCGCAAAGCAAAGAAGTAAACCGACATTTCACCAAAAACAGAAAATTCTTGCCAGGAAGTTGAAATCTTGGCTGGACATGTCCAGGTCATATCGACGCAAGCAAGTCAACAAAACACCCAGCAAAGACGATCGAGCTCAAGAGGAGGACAGCCATTTTACTTCCAAGCTAGAAATGAGCGTGGCAGGGTGATAAACGTTACTTCTTCGTATCGCATCGTTGCTTATTCGATGATTCTAGATTTATGGCTCAACAAGCGGCTAGTAGGATGACAGGGCAGCCACCACGCCCTGTATGCTTCAATGTCGGCTTGATTGTCATGCCGAATGACGTGTGATGCAGATAATGGGTATTGGCGCCAACGGCTTTGTGTTGTCTATCGACGCAGGGAGGGGAAGATATGGAGATGACATGCAAGCGGTACGCGCACCTTTCCCTTACTAGCGCTTGTTCAGAAGCTTGATCTTTCCAATGTTATCCTCTATCCTACATTTCTGTCTGATCTTGCTGATTCCCTACTGGATATTCTCACAGACTTCTGATTCTTCGGCATCTGGATTATGACCTGTCTTGCCAACTGCCAAAGCCATGACGCTGTTGCCATGATTTTTGTTTATTCTTTCATCGAGGGGTTAGTCCGATATGGTAGGCTGTTGTAGATTCAGCTGACTGAATGTTATGTTTCAACTTGAATCAATCAGGCTTCAGGCTTCAAATTACTTGAAGTCACGTAAAGTATTTTAATTAAAGTCAAGGTCAACCGGTAGCCTGAGTCAGACTCTGAACTTGAAAGTTTTACACGCAGGCCCGGCTGGAGTCCCGGGAGTCCGGCCGCCCGGCGGCCCGGGCCGGGCCGACTCGGGCCGGGCGGCCGACGGCCCTCCGAGGCTCAGCCCGCGGCCGGGGGCCGGGGGCCGGCGGGCCGCCCGCGGCGGCCCCGGCGGCCGCGGCCGGATCATGCTCGGACCCGGGCACTGCGGCACCGGGCCAGCCGGGCTAGTCACTGAGTGGGACAGCCTGACGGTGACTCAGTCGGCCCGGCCCCGGCCCCGGGCCCCGGCCCGCGGCGGGGCCCGGCATCGGATGACTCCACCGTCTCGGATCGAGTCACAACAAGGACCACGTATGATGGTAGACCATCGAGTCAACACCATGGCCGCCATGGCAGGAAGGTAGGGCATGTGCCACGAGGGATAAAACGAGACGAGGAAGCAGAGGGGATGGACGTTGATGTGTTCTTCATGCTGCTGTGACGTTCATGTGAGATCCGTGCTAGCTGGTAGCTCTGACAAGACGATTTCAAGGTTCTTGGGTAGCACGGTCTTGGTTTCTATGCTGGGTATCGCGTCAACTTTCTCGCCTTCGTCCTTGAGCGGGTTGGCGCTGAGGGGAGGTAGACCTGATCTCTTGATCCGTGCTCGAGAGAGTAAAGACTGGGGTCTTAACTCTGTTTTCAGCATCCTCCACAAGCACAACGTACGCGTCAAGACTCTCGGTAGCTACGAGCACTTGGAAAGGAGCGGGTTGCGGTGACGGCTAACATGCGCTCTAGCAGGCGAGATTGCGGACAGGCAACATCTCGTTGAATATGTGCAAGAAGGAACTCACAGATAAAGGTATGATGGCATGAAGGATCAGAAACCAGAAACGTGAAGCATTTTTTTTCGTACACGAAGAGAGGGAAGAGTACGAGAAGCTGTTGGAGGAAGCAAAGAGAATTCAAGGAACCTTTAATGCCATGATCGGAAACGCTTTTGCAGGACAGGTCTGTGCATAATCCTCCTCTCTCCTCTCTCCTCTCTCCTCCCTCCTCTCTCCTGCCTCCTGCCTCCTTTCTCCTTGTCCAGTCTTAACTCATCAGTTCTTCATGATTCTCCGAATGGCAGCCCGAGCCTGAGCCTGAGCCCGAGCAGCAGGAGCCAGTGCAGGTACTACGATAAGGATCTGCAGCCAACATCTCATACTGCATTCCCTCCAGCAAAAGAAAGGGTTCGATATCCCGATCGAGGAGCCAGCATACGAGGAAGAGTCTCTGTACAGCAAGACATTCTCAGACAGTTGGAGGAGCTAACGGACGGCACGCGGCAGGTACACCCCTGAGGTCAACACGGAGGAATCAGAGCCGGTGAGGGCAGCAAGTCTCTTCACACCTGCATGTGACCCCCCAGACAGGTGGACTTGTCCACCATGACCGATGAGGAAAGAGTAAGAATCCTCGCTCCTCCCCCGCCCTCTTGTGTCTTTGCCGTTGCCTCATTCAGGCCCTTAGGCTGCGTACGAGATGTCGAGAGCTCAGACCTTGGGAGATGAGGCGTTTGAGGGCTCTGACGCTGCCATCCGGGTACGCCTCCTCCTCCTCCTCCTTGAGTCAGCAGTGGTGACAAGAATTCGCAGATGGGCGATAAGGCAAGAGCGCTAGAGCTTCACAAGTGACAGAAGGTTGCGAGGATTTCACTCTCACTAACTAGATGCAACAGCGAAGCGTACGCGATGTACGAGAAGAGCGGAATCTTGTGATCAAGTTGTTTGTCCTTGTCTTCGTCTCTAACAGCTTTCAAAGGCATCCCAACTCCATCTTCCGCCCATCCTTCATGGACAGCTTGAAGGATCAACAAGCACGAATTGATAAGATGCCATAGAGATTTGTCCTTGATTCATTTTAGATTACAGAACTCAGGATGAAATATCACAAGAACGGTTCATGTCGAAGGAGACACATGACTTTCGAACGCTGTCACTTTGAATCGAAGCCTCCGCATTTGCCGTCCCGCCTGCGCATAGTCGTACTGTGAAACATTCCGCGTAGTTTGAATATCAAAAGTCCGTTGGAAACAATAATCAATGTACACATCAGATCCTTTCAGTGATTTCATGTAGGCTGGATTTGTCCGACTGCAGAATCCTCACAACCCCCGTTCGTCCTAATGTCCAGTGTCAGCAAGCTCAACTCTCAGTCATCGAATGGATTACCTGGGATCTCCTTGTCCTTGTACATGTCTTCGGAATGGCGGAGAGGAAGTGCCTGAATGGGTTGAGTCTCGCAAACGCTTCTTAGACGCGAAAACTCACCAGATGAAGGATGGTACGGATCTGGAGATGGATGACGTAATAGAGTGGGTATACGATCCTACAGTTACAAGTGAATTGAAGAGTTCAGAATCCGCAGGCTTCCAACCTGTTCATCTACTCTGACTTCTTCTTCTTCTCTCAATTCTTGGACTCTCGGTATCTTTCTCTGCAGCACATGAATCACGACCAAGTGACAAGTTTCAGCAACCAACCTGAAGGTTACGATTCGATGAAGATCCAGGTGGCACTGAGGGGAGCGCTGCTTCTAGTCCCGACAACCAATTTTCTCCCGGATCATACCTCCCACTACCCTGCTCTGCCTCGAAGTTGTTGTAATACAGTTCTCTCCTTCGAGCTGCAACGAACCCTTCATCCGATGCCTGAGGGACAAGGGGACAAGGATTTAAACGAATCCACACATCCTTTCGCATACCTCTATGTGCGAGGAAGGACTTACATCCATATCACGTGAGCTTCGGTTTGAAAACGCCTAGGTCGCATGTTAGGACTTTTCCAGAGTAAAGGCAGCTTCATTTTAATAAGCACCTCGTCCATGAAGTCTTCGCAATCTTGCATCTCGTTCGTATGCTCTTTTCCTTCAGTCTAGCAGGTATGATTCAGTGGCGTGCACGGGCAACAAGGCACTGTACACACCATGCTGCTGTGTTGTGTGGCATTCATACTCGAGTCGCTGGACATCATTGTAGCCTCCAATGCGCCTCGCTGTTTCAGCATCCTCTCATTCATGTCTAGGGTTGTCATGCCCAGGACAAGTCCAGATCTTGTTGTGATCCCTTGAGTCTCAACCACCCCGCCAACCATCGTTTTTCCTTGATTCTCCTCCCGTCCACCCCCCCCTCGCGAATGTGAACCTGACGCGGAAATCTTTTCAATCAAGTGATGAGAACCGGATCTGCAGGGGAACATGTCAGTCCCCTTATTCTCATCAGAAAGGCGACGAACCCTTCTCTCAGATTAATCTTACGAGGCCGCGTCCAGGAAAAAATCGAGGGATGCCATGTTTGCTCTGAAGTCTCACCCTGTAACAGTTCGGATGTTAGCAGCAGTAATCAGAAAATCCAAACAACTCCGTACTTGTAACCTACATATCTGTAATCTCTACTCAGTACCCTGCTCAGTACCTTTCCCTCCATAATCTCACTCATGCTACAGGAGAAACAATCTTGCCGATGATGAGGGTAGTAACAATCTAAAGGGATTCGGAAGATGGCAGGTTGACCAAGAAAGAAATAATTTGTAAAAATCAAGCCGGTGCCTTCTACCAGAATACATCTTCGTTCGTATTGTAGGACGAAATGATATACACAATGGCAAGCACATACAACACAGAACCCCATTAAATCTATTTCAGACACGAGAGTTGCATGAAAGTCTGGATTCATAGACAAAGAAAGTGCAGACCAGTTACTGAAAACGAGAAGCAACGAACATGTATAGGGTAACGTTTTAGAAGAGAAATTATCAAACAGCTTCGTCCATTTCCAACTGCTCTGCCTTCACAAGCATCTTTGGTCAACGATTCTCAACAACCTCAATCATGTCAGTCTAGAACTATCGACAGGAAAACAAGAGACACATGAGACATTCGCCATCATAAAGAGATCCATTGACTGTCTCATACTTTCTTCTAGTCAGAATCTATCCAACCAACATTATTTCTTTTCCGCGACTTCAATCGCTCCCTCTCATCCCTTCAACTGCTTCCGAAGACTCTCCGTCTTGACTTCATCGCAGGCATTCTAGCCCTTGAATCATCGCAGAACGACACCTCCAGGCACTCATCCCTTTCCTTCAGTAACAACCATGCGTCAACCATCTCCTTCCCCCCACTGCCTCCTTCCCGTCCGCCCACTTCCCCCCTCCTCTCGCCCGTCCTCCGGCATCCTCGGGGACAAACTTGAGTGGAGCCGCCGGCGGAGAAGAGGGGGTCAGCCTCCTTTACCGAGGGGGGTACATCCACCCACCCCGGGTCTTCGGCTACCCCATGCTCTCCCGGTATCAGAGTATGATTTGATCAGTTGACTAAAGATAAGTGACTAAAATGTGTTGAGATTGCTTTTTAGAGGCGCGTATTTTTAAACCGGTAAATATTGTACTAGAATTATTTCGAAAGGACTATTTTTCGTGATTTTTTTCATTGAATAATAGACTTTTCGGTTTAAAACAACAAGAAGCAGAATTTTTGCCCCGGAAAGTACCACTCCAAAAATAGAAGTAATTGCAAGCAAACCCGCCTCAGACAATCGGGAGGACCCCCATCGGGAAATCTCTCCCTTGGCGAGGAAACCCCTACCCCAGTCCTCTGCCTGAAGCTACCTACTTTTAAAGAATTTTAAAATAAAGAAGAGTATTTTAATAATTGTACCTATACAATAGAGACTAGAGCAATTGCTTTGTACCTTTTTCGTAGATATTCATTTAAATATAAACTTTTGAAGGGGGCAGAGCCATACAAACAACAAACCTTTAAAAACATTTCTCAATACAAAACTCTGTGCATTTCAGTATACTTCAAACGATGCTAGATATATAATATGCTTTGTATAATGAGACGACTTTTAATTTGTACCATTTTGTGCATACTATATTATATAAGTTTTAGGCCCAACATTTCCTCGGATCGTCGGGCAAACGGGAATAAAAGTATTATTACTTTTTAGGAATGAAGGAATAGCGGCGAGCGGCAAACGAGCGGCAATGGATGGGAGGGGGTGGGAGGAGAGAGAGAAAGAGAATGTTTTGATGAGATCCAATCCAATGTTTTCCATCTGATCCTACCACGAGTGGTCTTGTAAATCTTGCCGGTTTCAAAAGGATGTTCCGTATCCGGCCTTCGAGAATCATCTTGTGGAGGCCTATCAGGCCCAAGGGATCAGTAATCGATTATTACAGAAACAGGGATCTGTGAACGATTTGCTTAGTGTACATGACTATGTGATGATTAGGCAAGACGCTAATGCTTTTCTTCAAAAGGTGTTTGTGGTACGAATGGATGTATATGTTTTCAGAAATCCAGGGGACCTAGAATGCTGTCCGATATCCGTTGTTGAATCATATTCATAATGACTCTGGTCGTCAAGCATGCTACATAATCAATCTGATCTCAGCGAAGGGCCGCAGCAGGAATGTGTCGACAACATGATCCGGTCGGAACCAAAATAGATGCCATTGAAATAAAGAACTTCTTTGAGGCAGAGCCATGAAAATGAACGAAAAGATTTGCATTCCTTTTGATGTAGGACGGGGGGAAGATGCGGTTAGTTGGGAGGGAGGGAGGGAGGGAGGGAGAGGGAGGGGGAGGGGGAGAGGAAGGGAGAGGTTCCACGCGGTTGGGGCAAGGAAGAGGTGCGATGCAGTTTTAATGGGCATTGAAACAAATGACACATTCCTAAACAGCATTGTAGACGACATCTGAAACCTCTTGTAGAAAAGTTTCTAAAAGATGATGAACAGGCCAAGCTGGGAGGAAGAAACAATGTCAAACGAGAAGGCTGCTGGGTAGTGGATACACCTTCAGAAGGCGGATTCTTCTCCTCCTTGTAGAAAAAGTTTCTCCTCTCGCCAATGGTCTCCAGCAACTTGTCCTGCAGCTCAGCACCAGATGTAACTTCTTCCAGAAGATGCTGTCAGGGAATGTCAGAAAAAACAGCAGAGAGTCATCATGGGGTACATGATTGGAGACGCTGAAGAGCCTGGACATTTCATGCAACCTCCTGGAATGGTTCTTAATCTCTTGGGTGTACTCTTCGATTCTCTGCGGGTATAGCTCAGTGCAGACGGTGACGCGCTAGCGAAAGAGACCTCGAGGTGCTCGAGCGCCTCCACTTGAAGCTCGCTCGTTAGCCTCTCACACCCTCTCAGCTTCGCTTCCGCGTGCTCCAATTTCAGCATCAAGGGGCTCAGGATCCTGACCAGCGTGCTTCGGGGATCAGAGGAGAGAAGGAGGTTCCAACAAGCAGCTGTGTCTCTCCGCCATCTCCTCAGAGTCTCGTTCCATCGGCTATCCATGTCGCCCGCGGGAAGCATGGTCCTCTGTGCAGTCTTGATGGTCTCACCGAGGATGCAGCCGACTTGATGTAACTTGTCTGTCTGCATGTAGTTGGTGCTGCTGCTACAAGACTCTCCTTTACTGCATCTCAAGGTTTGTGAAGGAGCAGAGACGGAGACGTCCTGAGATATCATCAGAACCTTGTCGTGTGTGGTTCTTCTTACTTCCATGAAGGCCTTGTGATCGCTGAGCGCAGCTATCGCATGCTTCCAGAAGAGCAAAACCTGTAAAGAACTGTGAGGAGGCCGATGAGGAAGTGGGAAGAAGAAACGGGAGATGGGGAAAGGTAGGGAGGGGGGAAGAGAAGCATTGTCAGAGGGAGGAAGGAAGGGAGGGAGGGAGCGGACGAGCGAGGGATGCAGGGAGGGATCGATGGAGGGAGGGACCTGTTGGAGGAGAAAGGAGAGAACGGAGGGAGGAGCATAAGAGGAAACTTACCACTTCGTTTTGGAGAAGGCAAGACGACTCGCAGTCATGCTGCTTTCGTGAGAGAAGGCCGAGCATGTAGGACAAGAGGACTGAAAGGATGAGGAGGAGGCAAAGAGCCATGTCCTTAGAGGACATCTTGCATGCCATCGATGTTGATAGAGAGCAGCAGCGTTCATGACAACACTCCGAGCACAACGGAGGTCCTTCCCCCGCCATGATCAGTGTACGAGTACATCCCTTCGACTGGCTCGTCCCTGGGCAGAAGGTTGTCTCCCTCTTTCACAAGGTTGGATGAGGATGGGACGAGGAAACAGAGGAGTGAGAGGAGATAGCGGAGGAGGAGTGATGAGGAGGTGAGAGGAGGTAGCGGAGGAGGAGCGTTGAGGGAGCTCAAGATGTCAAAAGTCACAACAACTGCTCCTTGTTCCCTCCGAGCATGCCCGTACGACTTGATTGAGCTGGGGGGTACGAGGAAGGAATATGTCCTGAGGCGGTGGATCGGGTAGGGCCAGGAGAAAACGGTAGTCCGGCAGGGAGGAGTGGATTGTGGGTGCGAGCAAGGAGAAGGGGGAAGGGAGGCTGTTGTGCAAGTGTGTTGATGGCTCAGCACCGGCAGTCAGGCAGGCAGATGAGTAGACGGTTGTTGTTCAGCTAGAATGAGCTCATCTTGTCTCTCTTGTAGATTTAGCTAAAATCGAGCATGAACACAAGAGCAACAAACTCACCACCCTCCCTCCTGATGATCCCTTCATCACCCAAATCATACTCCACCACACCACCTCTGACGGCTACTGACGGCCTGACAAGCTCGGCGGCCATCAGTCTGTCTCGCTGTCATCCTGGTCAGACCATCGGGTCTCAAGTAACCTCACCAACCTTGACGAGCTGCTCCACTCAGTGTGAGAGTCGCTGGACGGATCGATCCATGCCTGCCATCCACATGAAACAATTCCTCCTTCTCCTCCTCCTCCTCCTCCTCCTCCTCCTCCTCCTCCTCCTCCTCTGGCCATTCTCTTCTTCTGCTCCTGCTCCTGCTCCTGCTCCTGCTCCTGCTCCTGCTCCTGCTCCTGCTCCTGCTCCTGCTCCTGCTCCTGCTCCTGCTCCTGCTCCTGCTCCTGCTCCTGCTCCTGCGCCTGCCTTTGCTGCTCTGCTTTCCCCATCTTCTCGTCCCCTCTATTGAAATGCCTTTCCCTCTCAATGCATCTCATTTCGCCTTCCACAACCTGCGGCCCGGAGGCTGGCAGGATGCGAACAACATTAGCAGCTCCTTTTTGTCCGAAAGGAAGTCCTGCATGCAACACGACGATGAGAAGGAGGGAGGGAACGGAAAAAGAAAGAGACGATGATGAAGCTGAGGATCGAAACAGCTCGAGCACAACATGAGGGCGGAGAGAGGGAGGGAGGAAAGCAAGACTACCCGCTGTGACTATGAAGAGATCCTTGGGGTCAGTGGCCTGAGGGTAGACGAGCGATCAAACTCCTTGCAAGGCACCAAGGACCTTCGCACAAATCCTTGGATCTCAGCAAGACGGCAGGCACGCTTGAGCATGTTGTCGAACGTGTCCTGGACCGCGGGTATCAGGGCTGACGTGGCGAGAAGAAGGGCCCAACGTTAGGCTCCATGGTCATGAAGGTGGGGTAGACTCCCCAGAAAAGGCTCATCCTCCTAGCTATGCGAATCCTCGGGGTCTGTAGAGAGGTGAGAGGGCGGAGGAACGGAAGAGAAATCCACCAGAGCGACGATGGGTACAGTCATTCTCATCCTTGATGCCCGTGAGACCGTTCCTCCTGTTGAGGTGAAGCAGATGACAGCCTGCGCCTGCCCTTGTGAAGTGAGCAGAGGGAGGAAGGGAGGAGATGAGGAAGAGGAAGGAAGGGAGGAGATGAGCAAGAGGAAGGGAGGAGGAGAAGGGAGGTGCTGGAATTGTGCCTGCATTTCAAGGGCGAGGGAGCTTGCAGCTTGAGAGATGGCATCATATGCCAAGTGGTCCCGGGAGATATCAGCTGAGACGCCTGAGGGGTTGTAAGGGGGTGGAGGGACAAGTAAGTCAGGCAGTACGTGATTTCACCATGGAGAAGTAATGCTCGCTCTCTTCCACCCGGTCGATGACTCGCTGCTGCATCTGGACGCTCTCGATAGGATATTTGCCTGCAAGGACGGGCGGTCGACGTGTAAGCGCAGAAGAATCGAGAAGAGTTCATGTTGCGACACAAGACGAATAAGAAATGGAACACGCCTCATCGGTCAGGGGACTGCATGAGTGGGATGGTAGTAGGAGTACAATGAGCAGGGCGAGGGTTAAGAGAACAGAGAATAATAGCAACAAGGATGAGAGGAGCAGGAGCAGGAGCAGGAGCAGGAGCAGGAGCAGGAGCAGGAGCAGGAGCAGGAGCAGGAGCATCAGGGATGAAGGTGGGTACCTGAAGCGCTCTCTGCAGAGAGCATAACGGCATCTGCACCATCGAAGACCGCGGTCGCGACATCGCTCGCCTCTGCTCGGGTAGGCACGGGGTGTTCGATCATGGATTCCAGCATCTGAGTCGCCACCACCACCGGCCTGCCCATCCTCCTGCACTCGTCGATGATCTTCCTCTGAATGATGGGCACCTCCTCCGGCGCACACTCCACCCCAAGGTCCCCCCGTGCTACCATGCATGCGTCAGAGGCGGCCACGACGTCCGAGAGGCTCTGCACTGCCGCTGGCTTCTCTATCTTGGCCATGATGCTTGCTCTGCTCCCCACGAGGCCTCGCAGCTCGTGCATGTCCTCTGCCCTCTGGACGAAGCTCAGCGCCACCCAGTCCACGTTCATGTCAAGAGCAGCCACGAGGTCGCTCCTGTCCTTGGCGGTGAGGGGGGAGATGGGGAGGACGATGGAGGGAGTGTTTACTCCCTTGCGGTCTGATAGCCGTCCTCCGACCAACACCTCACACTCTACCCGCTCCGGGGAAGGGGAGGAAGTAGAAGAAGGGGAGGAAGGGGAGGAAAGAACTCTGAGCCTCAGCTTGCCGTCGTCGAGCAAGAGGATGTCGCCCTCACGCAGGGTGGAGATGATTTCTGGATGAGGAAGGGAAACTCTCTGCTCATCGCCCAGCTCCTCGACCTGCATGTCAAACACGAATCTCTGTCCCCTTTCAAGGACGATAGCGCCTTCTTTGAACTTGCCGATCCTCAGCTTTGGGCCTTGCAAGTCTGCAAGGATTCCGATTGGATGATCGAACCTGAGCCAAGGGTTTCGACTGAGAGGAGAAAGACAATGGAATGCGAGGAGGATTCGAGAGAGAGGAGAACGTATAAGAGGAGACGGGGGGTTGGAGAGGAAGAAGGAGAGGGAATCGATAGTCGTACTTCTTCTCGAGCTCTCTGATTAACTTCACGATCTTGGCTTTCTCCTCGTGGGATCCATGGGAGAAGTTGAGACGAAACACATCCTGTGATTGAACCATTCACATCCTTCCCTTCTTCCCATCCTCTTCTTTCTCTCCCTCTCCCCGCGCTCCTTTCCTGCCTTTTTCCTGCCCCTCCCGGCCTCTCCTCCTCCTCCATACCACTCCAGCAAGGAAAAGCGATTCGAGCATCTCTATGGAGCTGCTAGCGGGCCCTACTGTGGCTATCTGCATGTGACAATGAGATAGTCGGGACCATGAAAAATCCCTGACATTCCTGCTTTGTATGCTTCTTCCATCTTGGGTGGGTCTTGTCAAACGAAGCTCTCTTCTCCCTTGCAACACGAGAAAACAAACCAGAGTCAAGAGCAAGGAGACAAGATGGGAACAGGAACGAGACTACATAGACAAACAGCAGGAAAAATTGGCAAAGGAGGCGATTGGAGAAAGCTTACATGTCAGACAACAGAGGAGACAAGCCTTGCATTCTTATCAAATCAGTGTGCCTTTTCCCTCTCCCGAAGCTGATCCAGCATTATCAGCAGCGATCAGGTCGACATCAACACGCCATCACATCGGTTTTGCTCCATGAGGCCGGATGCTGAAAGGGCGAAGACAAGACGAGGACGGACGTTGCAACCTTGAGACCCCTCAGACAACTTGTCCTGAGGTGTGTGATGGTACAACCTGAATGACGTGCTGGAAAGTCTGTACGAAAGAGAGAAGCGCAGGTACAGGACAAGCATAGCAAGTAACTTGCAACAAATTCAGGAGCATCGAAACTTCGCCTGTAAGGCTGAAATACCGATACTAGTGATCGCTGATACGCCATGCAAGAGACCTGACTTGGCGCTTTCCTGTATCAATTTGACACATTGAGTCGTCAGATCCAAATCTCAAGAATCTAATGGAAGATAGGAGGAAAGCATGTCAAGAGGCTCAATCTGCTAAACCGAACAGGAAGACAAAAAATCAATGATGACGAGGGGCAAGGGGCAGGAAAGCTTTGGATGAGAAGCAAGAAATGGAGGAGGAGCGGGGAGGGGGGGGGGGGGTGGACTGAGGCTGCAAGCAGCAAACAGGATATAGGGTAGCAAGAGAAGAGGGAAGAGTCGAGGGCTGAGGGAGCAGGGAGCAGGGAGCAGAGTTGACTGGAACGATGGGCGGTTCTTCTGTGCTCCCATCTGCATACAGAAAAATCGCTAGTCGAGGGAAATCCAAAGGAATATGGATAGACTTAGCAAGCCCGCCCCAGAGACGAAGCTCGACGAGGCAAGAGGCAGCAAACATCTCTAGAGCTCTTCGGTATGATTCTCAGTGGTGGCGCTGAACGACTTTGGGCTGCTAAAGGCTGGCATGCGACACGCCGGGCCCGCCGGTGAAGGCAGCCCGACAGTCACCTTTGACCCCTCAAGCCTGTCGGACATGCCGTTCACAAGGCCATATGCAGGCTCTAGCAAAATTGGTCTTTTTTTTCTCCTTGGGAAGGGGTTCATATATACACTTCCATTCAGCTACCCCGGTTTTTGCTCTATTACTGGGGGGTAGTGAGACAGGGATAAAGTAGGGTGGGGTGATTTGAATTATACTGGCGTGGTACCCTGTCCCCCGCCTTACTTTTTGAAGCACTTCATTTTAATTGTTTAGTCAGCGCTTCAATCGTACACATCTATGTACGGATGAAGTGCCTCTGGTACAGTCTGTACTATTCTTTTAAAGTGGTTTCGACAGGCGTCTCGAATAAGCCTCCACCCTAGTGACTTCCTTTGTCTGGAGGGGTAGAGGACCGAAAGATTCTCTCATACCCGTGCATTTCACTGTATCACGGTACGTGGGGGTGCTAATGGAAAAGAAGGCATTTCGATTGCCGTTTGAGCTCACCACGCCAATACCCCCGGTTCCCCTTCATCACCTTTACGAAAGGCGGGGTGGGTAGCTAGCAAAGAATACAAAACTACCCTTTGATTCAAGAGTTTGAAATTGGGAAATAGGGGGTAGGGTGCTATCTCCACTCTCCTCTCCCCAAATCCCCCCTCCCTGGGCAAGCAAGAGATGGCTGCTTGATCCTTCACCCGCATGCAACGACAAGTCATCATGGTGAGAGGCTTCGAATCTATTGCTGCTTGAATGTGGATGAGAATTTAATCGTCTAATGTATCCATGTAGATAGACTAAGACCTTTTCTTAGTCTCTGACTTTGAAAGAAAGTTTTGAATTCCGCTTCTCTTACATGACTGCATGACAGAGAAAGCTGTCTAGGAATGAAGATGTCTTTAGAATACATTGAAAAAGATGAATACACCTTTTCTGCTCTCTTATTCGTTGTTTCAAGCATGAGAGCCGTATGTATGAGGATTCAGAGAGGAAGTATGGTTTACAATGCTGCACCATCAGTTTGCAAATGAGGTGCTTTCATGCACTCCAATCTTGCAAATATGCTAGAAAAATTCAAGTAATTGCAGTTCAGATCCTCAAAAGCAACATCTTCACATTATTTCTGCTTGAGCATGCATTCAAGATGCTCAAGGATCAACATGCTCCACGTAGCTGTGGCGACATGGAAAGTCTGTTTCAACCACAGGATGAGAATCCTACAGCAATCAATGTGGCTTACTAGAGCTACAAGCATACATTGTGCATAATTAGGTTTATTTGCAACTTTTTGATGTATCTCTGCTATGCAGGCACAACGAAGAAACCAATGTGAGGCTTATTGTGCTGACCATTGAACATGTATTTGATGCTACTTGCGGTTGTCATTGTAATGAGATTATTGCAAAGAATGATACCTCATGAATGTATAAAGATTTCTGCAATCAGATCACTACCACTTTTGATGTCGATCCCAAGCTTACAGTGAGTCGGAATGGTCTACAGGGGAAGCGATGTTTTCATCATCATTCAACCCCTGCATGCATTCTGCATTTATGTGAAATGAAAGAAGATACAGAAATGCTCTTTAGCATGGCCTCGAATGCAAGACTGAGATCACTTTATTTCACAATAGAACAAATAATACATGTGTGCATACTGTGTTGACGGTTCAAATGTCCGACATCACAGCTAGATGAACGCTCAAAACTAATCCCACGCATCAAGAAATCAACACACTCTGCAAATCTGAGAAGTGGAGACTCTCGACGGTGTTCAAGGCTTAAGACGTCTTGATTGCCTCTGGCGGCATCAGTGTTTACATGCAATCAAACATCCTAACTGCAGTAGGCGAAATGCATGCAGAAATCTTGTGAAACAATCTATGCAATGCTTGATGTCTAATATAACAAGTGAGCTTGACTAATTACGTGGATCTGCAAAATGATGCAATCTCCATCAAACAAATCTTCAAGGCATCGCATGTGGAAAATATGCAATTCAAAAATCATTCATCACAGGGAAGTATCTTATGATTATTCTGCCATAAGGTTGGTGTCAAGTCAAAATGACAAGCGATCTCCTACACTGGATTCAAACCTCATGTTTTCATCATCTTGTTCTTCATAATAACCTTTTGAACCATGGATCTCACAACGCCATTGCTGCACACTGTGTTGTCACCGAACGCATCACCACGAACCTAGCGGTCTCAGGTCTCAAACTGTGCTGACTAGAGAGCTTCAAACCTAACAAAGCCTTGCATGCTGAGATCTGATGCTGGCTACAGCAGCGGATGGTCTTACAGCGGCATCGTTGGAGGAGCAGCTTTGGTGCTACGTGCCGGCGTGTAGGGGAGACATGAGTCGGGCGTGTACGATGTTGAAAACATTTCAACCCTCTGAAATGAAAGTTAAAATACATGTAAAGGCCTAGCAGAAATGATAACTAAACTGCACTGGTACTCTTTGGAGGTATCTCTTGCTGCCGTTGAAAACTTGTTTGAATTCACACGCCACCCCAAAAAAAACTTTCTCGAAAAGAAGAGTGGAAATTAACGAAAGGGCTAAAAGTGAACGGCATGGGTCTCAAGGCGGCTGCTGACGTCAGCACGTCCCTCGGAGTTTCACAGCGTATTCGTTGCACCCTGTGGTAAAGAGTCTTATCTCTACCTGTGTACCTCCCCGACGACTCCAGGGGACGCCTGGCAAGATTGGGAGGGGGGGATGAATCTAGCCCTTGCGACCTCGAAGTTTCTCGCCATCCCTCCGAGGCTCCCTTGCTTTTGCTGCCTGCTCTTGTTGTCAGCCTCGTCTCTTGCTGTAACAGTCGTCGCTCAGCTTATATCTTCTCAATCCCTCTGGATTGCTGCAATGTACCCAATAATCGCATGTTGTCGCTTCGTTTTATGTCTGAACCTCATTTGCTTGGCATATGCGATACTTTGATGAATCAACACCTCAAGATTTTATTCTGAATTTAACAAAGTATACGAGATCCACCCTTCACTGAGATGCGCCTTGATCAAGATTGCTTGTCGTCAACAGAGAATAGAGAAGGAAGGATCACCTCGAGATACCTCGAGCAGTGTACATGGTTCTGCACATGCATTTTATGTAGCAGGGTTGTTTTGATTTTGTATGTATGTTTATATTTCTTCAGCGATAAATGGTCTAGATCGCGAATTGTACATTGAAACAATAAAAAAGATCAACAAAGAAAAAATTCTAAAAACAAATCGCCACTCTCCAAATCCATTTCATATGACGATTAAAAATTCAACGAAGATCAGAATGGGTTGGAATCTATCAGAGCTCTGCGAAGGTGAGCTCAAGCCTCCGCAGGAAGGAAGTTTATTGAGCAGGCAGAGTGGGCAGCAAGAGAAGCTATGGTTTTCTCTTGCATCCACGTAGGCAGCAGGGCTCTAACGGCTACCGGCTCTGGAGTAAGATTCCTTTTGGGCGATACTGGTGTTATCTCTTACACTGGTACGATTGGCTGAACCTTGAGGAGGAGCAGGCAACGGGTATGATTGGACACACGAGGCATGTTCGCCTTCGGGTCAGGAGCCTGAGGACCCCTTGTGGTTCCCCTCCACTGTTGAAAAATAATCAAAAACTGCTGAGGAGCTCTTTCCTTTCCTTGCTGTGTGTACCATGAACCGATAATGTGTTCGTGTTTCTTGTCCAATGGACTTCATAGCTCTACTCTTGACCTTGATTTGTGTTTGATTCAGCGGAGATGCCTTGAGCAGTCTCTGTGAGAGTTTACAACCCGTAAAGCTTCGGGGTATGACTGGAATTTTCTACAATCTATTCTACCACCACATTTGTCTCGACACAATGAAAAGGATCAATGCTCGAAAAGAGACTGCAAACAAAAAGGGAAAATCTTTTCATGGGTCTTGTATATCAACGTCCTTGTCCTGAGAAAGAAAAAATGCAATTCTATTGGGGCACATCATCCATCCATCACGAAATTCTCTCGATCGACTCAGAGTCTCTTGCCCCTGACTCGATTCCTCCTGCTGCGCTGTAGACTCAGATTGTTCTTCCCCTGATTCCCCAATACATTTCCGTGAAGCTGCTCCTTCCCATGACAACGTCGTGCCTGTAGCTGCACCAACACTAGGGCGATGATCCCTTCCAGCCCCTTGGGGAACGCTCCTAAATGAACAGCTCGATCCAGATTCCTGTCGCCCTTCCACTTGGCTGCCTTGATCGTCCGATGTACGGAGCTCTGTGCCGCTGAGAGCCTCATCGCCATGGTTTGCATCTTCTTCTTCAGCATCTTCAGTCTGAGAATTTTTGCGTTTTCTCCGACCTTGTGTCTGTAGAATCAGCCTCCTACATGAGCAACTTTGAGACATGGCACCACCCGCATCCAAAGCATGCTTGCAGGATTCACAAAGTTTTCGCACAACACAATACTCATTTTTCTCCTCCTCCGTCCATAGCGTGTGCGTCGCATGCACCCACGTCCGCTTGTTCCAGATGTCCCTCACTGCCTTGGCTGTTATCCCGTACTGAGCTGCGAGCGCATTGCTTGATTGGGTCGGGGCCCACTTGTCCAAGGGGCCTGCCTCGGCCTTGTTGGTCTGAGAGAATCGGAAGATCTCTTGAGCGACGGGGATGGTGATAGATGCACGGCCAACCATGGAAGTGGTTTATAATTAGTTTCCCTTGGTAAGCCTTTTGAACCTTGCGATCGCGCTTAGCTTCTGCAAGACTTTTGTGTTGAGCTGAACTGTCTCTCTCATATCTGATTCAACCTTGATCGAAGAGTCTCGTCGAGCGATTAGCGATCTCTTTCCTGCCTTCCGGCTTCTTGTCTCTGTCGTGCGTCCGCTTTCGATTATGAGGCCTCTTGTCGTCACGAGGCCGATCTGGAGAATTACCAGGCGTCACGCGCCAGTCCGTGACCGGTGGTCTCCGTGTCACTCAAAACCTATAATGCTGACTGGCACGGAGACCAGCAAGAAGCTCGAACTTACAGCCGTACCGTGACAACCTTTTGGGGTCATGAAAATGCCATGTCACGACCGGGCAGAGGGGATCGGTCTAAACCGGCAAAAGTGTCTCAGTATGAAAGGAGTGGATGGAAAAGCGAGGTTGAAGATGTAAACAAGAAGAGGAGCTCTCAGCAACTGAATGAGCATAGATGTTACCGCAGGGAATGAGTTGAAACCTCGGCTGCAAGAGAGTGCTTGCAATGTAGGGTTTCCGAAGGATCGTGAGATAGCGGTTATAAGAGTTATGATTTCCCCACAAACTCTGGCTTGCAACAGGTTAACCTGTATGTATGGCTGGATTAGATCATCTAAGCTTCTTGCTACCGAGCACCGAGAAGGCAAAGACTACGCTCTGTGAAAGAAGCCCCTCGATATGTTTTCTTGATAATTGAGGGTGTAAGGTATCGCATGGCCTTGCAGCCAGGACAGGTAACCTTAGACAGTTTTGAACATGCCGATAACATTATGATTAAACCTGAATTGTCTGTAAACAAATGCGGAATTGATACCACAATTTTGAGGTGATGGTTTGAAATCAAGACGGACGCACATTCACCTCACCATGACTCTGATGGGGTCTTTGTTGGAGTCGTTCAGCACTAGGTCGATCGAGCTGATGGAAGAGACCGATGGCAAAAGTACAATTAAAAGAATTTCTGTAAGCAAAAACAACAGAGAGACAGCCTCAAACTCTACAAGAATCGTTAGTTCAAACTTGTTGACTCCATCCAGCATTTTCGTTTGAGTCCTTGGACCTGCAGTAAAAGAAGGCTTGAGCTCCTTTACACAGGCTACTATAATTTCTGTATTCAATCAGACCGGGAATGACATTGAACCATATTGAGTTGAACATGGAACCAAAGCTTTGTGAAAGTGATAATGAAACAACAACACAATAATATCAAAAACATTTTATTGCAAAACCAATACAAGAATTCACAATTTGCGATTCTGTTAACCCATTCAGGGAAATTTTTCAACTAAACAAGTTTTCGAAGGAGCATACATGTAGAGATCACACATTGGGCCCTGAAACATACTTTCGTGGATGCACACATTGTGAAGCTTGCATGAAATTCTCTTTGACTTCCTTGTCACCCAGCAGAAATTGTTGTCTTCACACAAAGAATGATGTTCTGAAATTCATAGCAAATCATTGTCATACACAGAGGCTTGAATAGTTGTGACAGTAAGTAAGACTATCGTCTCACGGGTTCATCACAAAAAGTCCTATACGGTCTGGACATACCATCCAGCCATCTCGGTACATCGCATCATTCGATTCCTGTTGTGATGTACTCATATGCTCCGGAGACTGATCACCGGAAGATGCTGACTGAAGGAACCCGGATGAATCAGTTTCAAGCGCCATATTGCACGGAAAATCTTCGTGAGGTATTTCTCCATGTATTGCATCCATAAAATTGTCCGAATCATCGCTCTCGAATAAAACCTGTGAACATGCCTCATGTGGTTCTTCAGGTGTCCCAGCTTCTCCAAAACTTCCACCCCGTTTCATCCTGTCTGAGCTTTCAAGTCGTCTGCATGCACAACTCTGTAACATTCTTCCCTTACCCGCCACTGCGAGTTTACACATATCACAGAGTTTCCTTCGTCTTGAATACTCATTCTTCTCCTCCTCCGTCCATAGCGTGTGCGTCGCATGCACCCACGTCCGCTTGTTCCAGATGTCCCTCACTGCCTTGGCTGTTATCCCGTACTGAGCTGCGAGCGCATTGCTTGATTGGGTCGGGGCCCACTTGTCCAAGGGGCCTGCCTCGGCCTTGTTGGTCTGAGAGAATCGGAATATCTCTTGAGCGACGGGGATGGTGATAGATGCACGGCCAACCATTTGTGCATGCAAGGCTTTACAGGTTGTTCAATGCAGTACTTCCTGGACTTTGGCTGTTCAATAGAACAATGTATTGTCACCGGTCACGGCTTTGATGTTTTGAATACAGAAGTCAGGAAGAAGTTCAGTGCTAGCACGAACCTCTTTCAACAGGGATGGCGGCGTCAAGCCTATTGTGAAAAGCTTGTCCTTGTTTGTTTATCAACAACGGGGTCCTGAAATTTGATCCTCCGCCTCCATCCGCAATTTACCTGCATCCCCTCAGTCTCCTTGTCGGATGCTATTCCCTCGTGCCGCCACCACCCTTTGTTTTTCCTATATTTCGCCCTGAAGGTGGGGTTCCTTGAAAAAAAAATTGATTGATGATTTAACGAAGATTCTCGAAAAGCACGGATACCACGTGACTTTCAGTCACGGATACAGCTGTTGATTGTAAAACACACCCCTTCGTTCTTGTGTCCCAGCGACTTCTTGAAGGGATGAGTACAACTTGATCTTTCTCGAGATTTGCCTGCAATTGGAGGGGTGTGGCTTAAAAGGTTGTCACGGCAGATCCACCTGGCTGCTGACTACCACCCTTGTGACCTTACAGGAGCCAGTGTGGAAACACACTGTTTCGTCAATCGCTCCGAGGGGCATAAAAACGAAAGGGAAAAAAAAGTAGACGCGTCCAAGTTCGAAGACAGCGAGCAACTGCCATTATTTCACTCTAGCCCTTGTTCGCTCCTGTCCCTTTCTGTCAACATTAACATGTTCGGGTAGAGCATGTTTACTTCTTGTTTGTTGTCTCCATCATGCGACCATGCATCACACCAGCTGATAGATGATCTTGTTATGTTCAACATTTTGACGAGTGAACAGAGTGAGAATGACACTGTGAACGTAAGACGTTCTCATTGAACGCTTCGATGTGAGGTAAAAAACAATACAACACCGCTACTATGACTACCCAGAGAATTTGAATAAGACATCAGATGCATTGGAGGTTTCCAAAGAGAAATTCAGGTGTAAGACACTTTCTGACAAATGAACTTGCATCGCTGTTATATTCAAAGGCCGATCTAGCAAGTTTAACAGGAAACTGTTGTATGCACAACACAGAGATCAAGAACACGACGAGCAGAGAAGGACGAGAGAAGACAGAGTCTCAGAGATAGAAGTCTCTAAGTTTACTTGAGGTAAACTACGCACCACGCTTGCTGCGAACGCAAGGGGAGGCAGGAGGAGGAGCGTCGCTGGTGACGCGGCGCTCTAAAAAAAGAGTATCCGGAAACGTATCCCTGACTCCGGATCCTCATGGATACAACAGAAACCAAGAGATGAGAACAAAACAATCACATTGTTGAGCATTCTCCTCCAGCATTGGGAGATCACCATAGCAAGTCCTCTTTCTGGAATGGCAAGCCGCGCAGTCCGACGCTTCTAACACGAATTGGTGTAGGAAACATCTTGGATTCCTTGGCTATCCCGACTGAACTTGTGTTTCTAGCAAACAAAAAGACTATGTCGATGATTTCTAACTGCGTATTTCTTAATCAATCTTACGTTGGGTTGAGCGCTTCGTGAAATTCGAAATCTCTATTTTTGATTCTTGCTCTTGTACACCGGGTAGCAGACCCGTTTATCGAGAGCATACGAATAAACCAAACTTCACTTCCAAAATACCCATTAGCTTAAATCAAATATTTGTGGGCATAGATGGCGTCTAGGGAGCACAAACAACCACACACACATTATACAGGTATAACACATTGAAAGAACAAAACGCGTGCACGCCGCATCTCGAGAGTGACCAGACCAGCTACATGCATCAGGAGCACTGTGCACACTGAAACTTGAAAACTGTTGTGTTAAGTATCTAGGTTGCGCACTGAAACTTGCAGGCTGAGGCCCATGTAAACTGGCAGTTCAACGGTCCACAAAGAGAGAACGAAAAATTCAAAATCTGCCTGAACGGATCGGACAAGCTTGACACGCGCCAGTGGCCAGCGGCTGCCGCGCCGGGGGTGAAAGATGATTGGAAAAGAGGCTTGGTGAAGCCTGAGAGAACTTCGGAAAGGGCTTGGATCCTGTTTCGGGAGACTTTGTATTGTTGTTGATACCAGGCAACATGTAATCCTCGGAATTCTGAGTCAAGGCTTCTTGGTGATGATCAGACTTTTTTGACTGTATAATAAACAGACGCTTGCTTACTTCATACTCGATCCATCTGAGATCCGACGATCATCATCTGCATTTATCTTTCTGGAGTCGTGAGAAACTTCTTCACAGAGTCAACGAGTCAATTGTTTGCTATTTTTCCAATGACGATGATTGCTATTCCATCCGGGTTGCAACTTGTATACAAAGGTTGAACATGCCGTGAAAGTTACTCCGACAAAGCCAAAGGCTTGACCCTGACGTGACTGTCCGAGCCGCACAGGCCTAACCATTGAACGGCGACTGTCAGTGTAGTACCCGGGCCGGGACAAGTTGTGACTCAGTGTGGCGGCCCCGGAAACAAACTTTTAGTTAAAATACGGGAGTAGGAGCAGGAGCAGGAGCAAGAGCCAAAGTTAAGTTTCAGGGAGCAGGAGCAGGAGCAGGAGCAGGAGCAGGAGCAGGAGCAGGAGCAGGAGCAGGAGCAGGAGCCATGCAGGAGCAGGAGCAGGAGCAGGAGCAGGAGCAGGAGCAGGAGCAGGAGCAGGAGCAGGAGCAGGAGCAGGATGAATACGCCCTGATATGAGGGTTTCAGCAGGAGGAGGAGTGGAAAGCGCATTATCAGTTTGTGTTTTATCATTAGGGGGCACGTTGGAAGGGTTTGTAAAGGTGGATAGAGGCAAAAGTTGTAGATATGACTACATTGTAAATATGAGTTAGTACGGACTTGCATCCATTTCAATATTGAGATTCTGACAACGAAGCAGACGGATGGGCGATGAATCTTGGTTCAGAGCTCGCGAAGAAATCCTTCGGCAGAAGAACTTGCGCGATATCTCACTTTTTTCGGTAACTTGCCCAGCTCAAGACCATAGTGGCAAATCGGTTTTTATACCATGCCAAGCTTTAGCACCAGCATTAGAAACATCCTTTCGGTCGTCCAAAACAGCAGAAGGATATTATCGCGGCAACGAAACGGCAGAGCGCTGGATGCCACTGGAAGATGCTTGCTTAAATATAGAACCCTGGCCAAGAGTTGAAGGTTATGATTATGATACCTGCCGGCTTGGGCAATCGTATCAAACAAGTATTTTACCCCAACCTTCCTGGCACGGAACTGGAAACAACGAAGCTTTCCACGGATTTCCTCCCACTGCACATGATGGAGTCAGCACGGTCAACTCACTATCGCAGGATCTTTCTGATGATCAGTCTGGGATCTATGATCTTTCGGAATCAGATAAGAGCTATCGCTCGGTTCCCATGTCAACAGTTGACGAATTGGAGAGCTCCAGTCATTCTGATTTGAGCGATTTGATGCTCGGAGATTCTGGCAACACTGAAACCATCGTGGATCAGATTAACAAAGATGGTGAGGCTCATAACGATGATCAGGACCAGGCTCTCCCCTCGTTTCTTTCTCCTGAGAACAATTCCTTGCGCATAGTGTTCCGTGTCGACAAACAAGCCAAGCCGTGCTCGTTTTGTAAACAGAGAAAGTTGAAGTGCAGTCGGGTTAGACCGTGCGGGAGCTGCTCGACGAGGAAGAGGGGGGAACTTTGCGATGCGTCAATAAGTCTGATCGAAAAAGCTGATATGGCAAGCATCGTTGAACGACCTATTCAGTTTCGCAGAATTCTCGAATTTGCTGACAGCAACGGCTTTGCCACGACAATGTTGGCAGCCAAGAGTATTGGTGTGAACCACATGCTTGTTCGGAGGCTCTGGGAGAATGGGCTTGACACGAATCACATCATGAGTATGCTGGTCAGAATGCCTCCCAACGTGAAGCAAGCTATCAACAATGGATGCGATATGATGAGCAACGCATACCTGAAGCTGCTTGCTAAGACGAAGGGAAAGATTGCTGCTCCATGCCCACAATCGACCATGCATGGCCGAAGTTCCCTCATCTTCGAGGACGCGGAGGAGGAGGTCTTGCACGTTCAGCAGTTGATAGGGCACGGCTGCTGGCTAATGGTAAGCTTTGACCCTGAAACCGGGCAAAGGACCCGGTGCTCCGTGGGGCCTGACTATTCAGATTCCATGTTGGGGATACACAGCGAGGAATTCATGTCCAGATTCGCACTCAACGATCTCTGCATCCCCATGACGGAGATTGACGCCTTCTGTATAGTGATTCACAACATGTTGACCGCTTTGGAGGAGACCAACTGCATCTACATCCGATGTGACCGAAAGGTAGGGGCAACGCACACCCCCTTCATCAGAAAGCATTCGATGATCCGAGAGGACGACCGGTGGGGGAGGAACATCCGCCTTATCTTCTCCTACGAGGTTGAGACCCCACAGTCCTTCGACTTCATGCTCGAGCATCTGCCCGAGAAGGTGCGGCCTTTTTCCAGCTTCCTGGGGGACTCGAGGAAGTTTGCTGAGATTGAGGAACGTCACAAAAGCGACATGCAGTTCCGTGGGAAGATCGTCCACTGGAACAAGTCGAGCAAAAATAGAAAGCGGCTGCAGGAGTTTGGGGAGCACATCAGATCACTGTTCGAGAAGGCAACAAGCAAGATCAACAAAGTACACGACAGCATTCATGAAAAGATTTGACACTTTACGGTCAACTCAGCCTCAGCACTGGCTGAGTGTTCAATCACTGTCACCCGAGTCACGAGGATCGAACTTGAAGCAGTCTCACTCACCCGAAACTTGATTGAAAGCTCACCCGTTTCCCGGGCCGCCGGGCCCGTGACACCCGGTGACCGCTGAGCCGGGCCGGGCCGGACTCTCCGGGATGCCGCAGATTCCGGCGGGTCCGGCCCCGGTGACTGTGACTGTGCCGGTGTGATGAGGCGGCGGCCGGGCCGGCTAGGCTTGGCCCGCCGGGCCGGCTGAGAGGGCCCGGCCGCCGCGAGGAGCCTCCGGGGGAGTCCTGGTCACGCCACCGTGTGTCGGTGACCAGCAAAGCGGCCGGTCACCCATCTGAGTGACTGATGATAAACGGGGCCGGGGTAGGTTGAATAAAAAGTTGATGCGTCAGTTGCCGTCACTCGGAGTCAGTCACGGTGACAGCCACCGAGGCTCGCCGCCATTGAACAGAGTCCGGTTGCCCGGCAGTGCGGCCCGGGCGACCTGGGACCGTGACTCGGAACTTCGGAAGCCGAGCGACGGTGCCGGGCCCGCCCCCCTGCAAGGCTGGCCGAGCCGCTGCCCCGGCCCAGTGCAGTCACCCGGCCGCCGGCCGGGCCGGGCACTGACAGTGCCGCGACTCCGGCCGCGACTGCGGCACTGGCGGCACTCCGGGAGAGATGTCAGAGGCGGGCTCGGACCTGAGCCCGAAATATCACCACTGGCTGAATGGGGGAGTGGAAGGGAGGGAGGAGGGAGGAGATGAAAGAGCAGAAGCAAGCAAGAGATGATTTAAGTTCCATCAGAGGAGAAGAGATCTCTACTGAAAAGATGGAATGGATTGAAAAATGTGAGATCGGCAGGCAACATCCGATTTTTCTTTGATTCGGGCAAGTTGCCGACGTCAAATGGAGGCGGAATAGAGCTCGAGAGAGATTATAGGGATCTTGATGCATCTCGAGACAGACAAAGAAATAATCATGTGTTACAACATCGCTTATCTTTCTGACCTTTCTCTTTTGACAAGCATTTCCAGGTGGTTGCGTGATAGTATGTTCTCCTTGATTACACAGCTGCATCAACTCCCGCAGTTGTTGGGGTATGAGACCATTACCCAAGGCAGGGCCGAACTTACACTGCTCTACAGAATGGGGCCTCCTGTCATGAAGGATTGGGATGACTTGGAAGAGCCGGGAACCGGAGCAGGGTAACGTTGCCCTCTGCACATCACGGTCTCGTCTGATGTCGGGTATGCGCAGGAACTGGTACTATCCTGTACTGGACAGCGAGGGGTCGACAGTCTGCTATGAGTACATGAGTATCAAGCTGCAGAATCCTGAGATGCAGCAGTGGGGCTGTCGGGGAGAGTTTCCTGGAAGCGAGTTCCGCAGAGTCAGCCCCACACCATCAGGTGAGAAGGGAGGAGGAGGGCGAACGTGGAGGAGGAGGAGGGTAGAGGGGAGGGTGGGAAAATTGAGAGGGCACAACAAGGAACGATTGAAAGGAAGGGGGGCATCGTGGTGCACGGAAGATTGGTACAGCTGTAGAGGAGGAGTGGCGATTGAGCCAAAGGGGAGCGGAGAGCGGAGGAGAAGAGTGTGTGGTAGGTTGAATTTGAAAGGGGGTGGTGCGATCTTTGCTAGTTCGGATCGGTTCCTGAGAAGACCTGTCTTTGCTTGACTAGTCTGCAGGACGATCAGTCTGCGGGTCGAGAACCTGGGACTCGTCAACCCTTCAGCATGGATGTCAGGAGACGGTGTACTGGATGCCTTCGGCACATCCTCGGAGCATGTGAGGTCCTGGTTTTGCTCATAGAGGGGAGATGCCGAAGTTTTTGTGTGATGGTAGTAATCTTTCTGCTGTGTAAAGTAAACGATATTTCGCCGCTTCTTGTGAAGGAGCCGGATAGTTTTCTTGGTTGAGGGAAGTTGATGTTCTATCTCATCTGAGTTGCTCGCAGTCCAGCCGTCGATAGTTGGTCACATGACTTGCAAGGTGCACAAGAGATTAGTGAGGCTGAAGATTCAGCTGCATTCGATGAGAATGCTCGAGGGAGATGAAGTAGGATAGCAAGAGGTCAAAGACGTCGCTCGTGTTTGCGTGCTGCACGTTACATATCCAGCAGCAATCGAGCAGGGGAGGGTGACGGGGTCGACGAGAGTGAGGGAGGAGCGAAAGTTCAGAAGTCGGCAGGCAGACACGCGTAAGGTGACGAGAGCAGTTGCTTCATCAGACAAACGAAGGTCTCTGACCGATGAGGATCCCTGTATCAGCTGGACGAACAAGTCAGACGCCTGGGGTATTGGAGGGGACGTCCAACTTTCTTACCCGCTGCCACACACAGAACGCTCTTGTCTCGCTGGGACTTGTCGCAGATCACGGCTCCTACGTCGTTGACAGCCTGCGAATAACCTGCGGCACTGACATCAGCCCATGGCACTCATGAGGGGGGAAACAGACGATGGAAGGCGAGGGGGACGATGATCGAGCTGGAAGACAGCGAGAAGGACAAGACTGTTCCGTCCTGCCAGAGCAACCAAGATATCAGTAAGGAGTCCTTGCTGGTTGACAGAGCACATACAATCGAGCTGCTGACGAAGGTTCGAGCATCGTCGCCCATCACTTCACTTATGGCGCTCACACAGCCCTGGCTCACGAGTCTCAACGGGTCTGCCTCGGAACAAGACAAACTTCAAGACCTTGTGAAAACCGTCCTTGAAGTCTTCCGATGCATGGGCAGAGACAAACGACTTCTCGTTCCTGCTCCACATGTTCAACAAAAACATCACATTCTTCAATCCTGTCTCTCGCGCCTTGCAGTATCCTGTCCTGTCTTGTCCTGCCTTCTCCTACCTCTATCGCTACATCATGCGCGAAGCATCACCTGATGTCATACACGAGTATCGGGCCCTCCTCACACCCTGCGATTACGTAGCTCCCGAAGGGTTGGATGGCCACAAGGCTGTCAAGTTGAGGTAAGTCGGCAGCACTTCTACTCCTCACCTCCTTCACTTGTGTCGCTGCGCGTTGTCGAACGTCTTGGGCTTCAAGTCTTTCGAGTTCGAGCTCCACATCTTCAACCCTCCAGCAGAACCTGAGCAGAAGGCCTCAACACGGCAGAGGAGGGAGGTGGAGAGGTCACCGGCAGTGAAGAAGAAGTCTCCTTGGCTGTCAAACTTGAGATCGTTGATGGACACCCAATCAGCATTTTCAACCTGCGTTCAGGTGAGGTTAAGTGAAGAGTCTCGTCCTCCCTCTTCTTATGAGCACCACAGCCATCATCTCCTTGGCCGAAAATCTCCACCTCCACCGCAATCTCAATCATCGTGGCCATCATCATCGCCGTCATCGTCGTCATCGTCGTCATCATCATCGCCACCACCACCACCACCATCATCATATCACCACCACCATCAGTCAAACTATCTCTCCTTCCCATCGCTTCCAAATGCTTCTCCTCACCCTCATCGTTGCTTCTTCCAGTCCTCCGGAGCTATTTCTCTGCACCTCAAAAATATTTCCATCCTCTCCCGCAGACAAAACTCTCATGCCGCGCGATCTGTGACCAGATATCAGCACCTCTCATCCTATTGGTCCAACCACACCCTCCCCTTGCGTTCTTCCTCCTCTCCCCTCCCCTTCCTGTCCCCTCTTTTCCCTTTCCCGTCGCTTCCTCTTGCCATCCATCCTCCTCTTCCCCTTCTTCCAACAGACGCACTTGGGATCCAACGAGATCGCACTGCAGCTGCACGAGTGGAGCGGCGCTCCTGCTCCTTCCTTCGCGTATGCCTCCTCGCCATGAGAGACCTGTTGGTATCGGTCAAGGAAGGCAGGGAGCGAGGAAACAAGCAGCAGGAAGTGCTGGAAGGTCGAGAAGCATCAGGGGATGCAACAGGCAACATTGAAAGAGAAAAGGAGGATTACCCCCCAGAGCTCCAAACTCTCGTCCTCTCCTGAATCCATTCGCGCCTCGCTGAGTTGAGCATGCAGGGAGTAGACGCTTCCCTTCCTCGTCCCAACCCACAGAGGAACGCCAGTCTCGTAGCTGACATGCGGTATGCTCTCGATGCAGCTCACACTAGCGTTCAGACTGTAGTCTTCCTGAGAGTATCGCGCTGTGTCAATGCAGAAGAAGAAAGACAAGGGGGAGGTGGAGGAAGAATCTGGGAAAGAAGGACACAGAAAAATGGGGCAGCAATAGAAAGAGTGAAGGTGAGCGAAAGGAAGAGGGAAGGGGAAGGGGAAAGGAAAGACAGGGAGGAGAAAAGAGGAGAGAAGATCTACTTACCTGCTTCATCAACAGGTTCGCATGCCGAGTTTCTCCGAGCAGACCAGCATTCCAAACCTTAGGGAGGGAAACTATCAGGGAGTTTGATGTCATCAGGTAAAGTAGGAAGCATCAACAGTATGTGGGTATAGAATGAAGCGAATAGACATCAGGCGGGACTCGTGGTGTTGACAGTCTGTGTTCTCTGTCAAGAAGGCTTTTCGTCACTTACACGAATCTTGTTGATGGGCTCGTCGTGCGTCCCGGATATGACAATGTTGCCCCAGCTTCCATCCTGTCTGGCAGCTGAAAATCGACAGTGTCAGAGGGCAACGACACAAGTGCTTCTGTCCTGCACACCTCCAGAGAGAGTTGATATCTTCACGGCTGCATTGGACGAACAAACCATGTCAGAAGCATTTCTCCAACAACTACAACTCTACACTCCTTGCAGTTTGAAATGATGGAGTCATTGTGTTTCCATAGTCCATAAAATATTTCAAGAGAGAACGATAAAGTTCTTTGTTGTCGATTTGTGCCGGACTTTATCCTATCCTACAGGATCCCAAGGCTTCCGAAGTTCGATGGGAATCGGATTTCACAATCGATGTCTCATAACAAGACCAAAGATAAGGTGGCGTAGCTCATATCTGATCTACATTCCATTCATTCCTGAGTAAATATGTCTCCGTCGCGATCCTTGCCCTACCACTTCCTCCTCACTTCCCACTGCTCTCAACAAAGCAGCACTCAGTCCTTATATCTCCTCTCCTCATGCCTGTTGGCGTGAACGAGACTTCAACACTCACTTGCTACACTCTCAAGAAAACTCGCATCTTCAGCCTCCTCCACCATCTCACCTGATGTTCGCACTCCCGCATGGTTGCCAAACGAGAAGTCGGCGAGCGGTGGAGGCGGCATGGCAGGACGGGATGAGAGGGGATGAGGGTACTCCTTTGGCAACATAGAGCTCCCCTCAGAGTTTTAAGAACCCTGGGGTCTGCAGAGGGGTGGGGTCAGTTACGCGTGTGGATGGTACAAAAGGATACGTTCAGGGTGGGGTAAAAGCAGGTCAAAAAGGGGGGTCATCGTTTTTCGAGGAGTTGGTGATTCTGGTAGTCAAAGGGGTGGGGTAGGAATGGCCCGGGCGGGCCTTCTATTGGCCACTCAAGAGGATGGATTGGGAAGGGCAACGGGGGCGGGAAGATAATATTGCCTAAAGGTGTGATATTTCTTAATTGACATAATAGGAAAAAATCCATATGATCTGACCTTTGTCTGACGTTACTCCTTTGTATTATTGCGCCGGGTACCCATCCTATACCCCAGAACCTTCTTGCATTCACCTCTAAGATTAGTAGAAGACCTAAGAAAAAGGCCAGCTTCACCCCCTCCCTCAAAATTAAAGGGGCACAGCCTCCGTCTACCCAGTCCTCTCTCGGCAGAAGCGTGACCATGGCCCGGAAGGAAGAAGCCCCTGCGGCCCGGGCGGGAGGAGCCCCCGGCATGGAGGCGGAGGGGCTAGCAGATCCCGCCATGGCAGAGCCAGCCGAAGATGCAGACGTCGTCCAAGACCCCAAGGCCTCACCCAGCGCAGAGACTAGCGCCAAGGAGCTGCCAGAGGGCGAGGGCAAGCCCAAGGCAAATGGCAGCGAGGCGACCGGCAGCTCCAAAGCCTCCAAGGATGGCGCGAATGACACCAAGAAGGAGGAGAGCTGTGCTACGGTGAGTTTGTCTCTTGTCTGAGATCCCTTGTCTCTCTTTGTCCGGCACGGGCCTGCCCTGACTCTGGCTGTATGCGAAGGACGAAACGAAGAAGAATGAGGAGGGAAGCAGCAGCAACCAGGCGCAGAGCGGAGGGACGAGCAAGAGCGTGCCTGAAGCCCAGCTGGACGATCAGCCTCGTGACGTGACATGCAAGTGCGGCAATACGGGCCTTTACCTCAAAAGGAAGTACCATGACCTCCCGGCGATCGAGATCCTCGAATGCAAGGCCTGTCAGGAGACGGTCGCCGTCTGCGGAGCATGCGGGGCGAAGATGAGCTCCGAGGGGGGGCATCTGCGCAGGCATGTTCGCAAGCACATCAAGGAGTCCGAGGAGTACCGTGACCAGTCAGGAGATGCCAAGGAGAACATGGCGAGCCGACTTCGTGGGCACAAGGGAGCCAACGGAGACTCCCCAGCCCCGGCCAAGAAGCAGAAGGTGGAGGGGAAGGAGCAAGAGAGCACAGGAGAGGGCACCCCGACCGCGTCGAAACCCTCCAGGAAGTCAACCTCCAGTACCCCTGGCAAGCCGAGGATCCGTGCTTGCTTCGACTGCTCCAAGGTGATGGCGATGGGTGGGAGGAAGGTGAGGAGGTTGATGTGTGCGCAGATGAAGCTCAGGTGCGATGGAGAGCGCCCTTGCTCCTCGTGCATCAAGGTGCGAAGATGCTTCAACTGCAGTTTGACTTGTGTGCTCACCTGGGAAGCAGAGTGGGAAGGAATGTAAGGAGAAGCCCCCCAAGACGCCTGATGCCAACGCCAAGGTTGTCAGCAAGGTGCGGGGACTTGCTCTTCTGGTCTCCCTCGCTTGCTGATCTTCTACGGCAGTCCCCAGCCACTCCTGCCCCTCCGTCGGAGACCAAGATGCACAGATCGAAGGCACTGCACGACAACGACGACTGGTGCAGAGTCTGCAAGCTCGGAGGTCTGTATGCTCGTGCCTGCCTCCCCTTCATGTGCGCGAGCTCACAATGAGGCAGGCGACCTGCTGCTGTGCGATGGAGCGAACTGCAGATGGTCCTTTCATTTAGGTTCTGCCCTTCTGTTGCTGGAAGCTACGGGTGACGCGATTTTCAGACTGCCTCTATCCTCCTCTCAGCAAGCCCCCTTCCGGTGAGGTTTCAGCACCGCTGGTCTCCAATCTGACGGCCCTGCAGGAGAATTCCTCTGCCTCAACTGCCAGGACAAGAGGCTCAATGACAGCAGGCCGCCAGTCAAGGTCGCCCGCACCCTGAGCCCTTATCATGTGCGACGCTGAACATCTGCCAGGTCGTCAAGCCGAAAGCTCCGAAGGAGGTGCTTGCATGCCGCAGGCTGTCGGGAGACGTTTGTTGATCTCGAAATTCCTCAGGCTCAGACCTCGGGCGCTGACTCGCCCGTCCCACCTGTACCGCCAGCTATTCCCCAGTCGGACTCTCCCAACGATGTGAGAGTAGCTGGTGCGGGCATGGCAAGCAGGCTGACGGGTCTAGCAGATGATAGACCCGTCCAACATCGCTCTCAACCACGGGATCTTGAAGGACGATGCCACTGTCTGGTGTACGATCTGCAACAGGTGAGATGCAGTGAAGGCGCAACTGAGATGTCAACCGGGTTGCGCAGAGAGTTTCGTTCTGCCTGGGCATTTTCCCAGCACGTCCGCATATCGAGGAGGTCCCTACTTGCACTTATCATGTTCCAGTCCCAACGATGTTGCAAACAGGCACGGTGGTGGGCGAGCAAAACGTGGAGAAGGGAAGAAATCCAAGAAGAAGTATGTCTTGAATTGTTTGAATCTTTCCTCTGAGTTTGATGTCTCCCTCTCTCTTCCCCTCCCTGCTTGTCTCTTTTCCACCTCCTTTCTCGCTGTGCTTTCAGGCTGCTGCAACAGTCTGGATCAGGAAAGGATGTAAGCTGTCCTTGTTTCCCACGTTCCCCGCAGACCTGACGCCTGTCCAGGCCGACCAACTTGACGACGGTGAAGAAGACACCGAAGAAGAGCTGGAGGACAGCATCCTGAACGAGAGCACGAGTGCTGATCCGCCTGAGAAGGAGACTGGCGATGGCAAAGACACGGACGTCAAGGTAACCTGCTCCTGCTTCACCTCACCTACTCACAGCGACTCCCTTTACTAGATGAAAGATGCTGGGGAAGTCGTTGCTGAGATCAATCCTCCTCCTCCTCCAGAGTGATTGGACAGATTTCTTCTTCCCTTCCCCCCCTCCCATCCTCCCCTGCGTGCACTTACTGCTTTCCGAGTGCATGCCATCATTCAAATTGATTTTTGAACTGAGCTCCCGCCGGTCGTGAGCCGCGTAAGACTTAAGTGACTGAACATTGAACCCCAGCAATAAACTGGGTTCTCAGACCCTCTCTCCTCCCTGATTGCCTTCAGCTCGGGGCAGCGACCAACGTCCCCACAAGACTCTCAGTCCGATCAAAGTGACTGCCTAACTTTGAGTACTAAACTGAAAGGAGATCACCTATCATAGTATCATCACGTCACTAGTAGTGCCACTCAGCCACGGTCGGACTGGCACTGACCGTCCGGGGGCCTGAAGCCTTTCCGAGCCCGCCGGGCATTTCAGTGACTGCTGGGCGGGCTCGATTGGAGGATCGTCGGGGAGACATGGAGTGGTGGGCGACGAGGGGAGGAGGAAGAGGAGCGCAGGGAACGGCATTCACAGGTGAAGCATGTGAACTTATGTGTCGATGCGTCGCTTTGTTTGTCTTGGATATGATAAGAATGTTGGGTCAAGGCAGAAGAGTTTGGTTTCCTCGAAAACGTCTGATCACTTGATGAGACGGAAGATCTTTGAACAAGCAGTTTGTATTGCATCTTGATTTGATCAAGACAGTGTCTTAGAGAGGTCTCAAGTTAGTTCAAAAGTGTCATGAGTCTGATAGAAGTTGAAGGTTGCAGCTGACGAGACCATGTTACTAGGGGTAAGACTGAGATGCGACCGGAGGCTGATCCCGTCGTGGTGTGGATCCCAAAGGATAAGGCGGTACAGGACCATGGAGCACAGGATGAGTCTCAATCACCTGCCGCCTGTCGCAGAGATAGAATGGAATTCGCTGTCTTGTTTTCCCTCCGCTACAGAGCAGGGGGCGATGACAGCTTGCCTGAATGGCGACGTGGAGTATGCGGTACCTGAGCTTGTGCTGGGCGAGGAGGTCAGAAACTCATTTGCTCTTTCTCTGCAGATTCTGTTCGTCTCTGGTCTTGCTGGGATACTTCTTGCTCCGAGCTTGCTCTCCGTGATGGAGAAGATCTCGAACTTTGTGATAGACAACGACGAGCTTGACTCGGTTTCTGTTTCCTCCATCACTCGCGTTGACCAGTTGAGAGTGAAGGAGCTAGAAGCTGGAGGGGTTGAGGGCATTGGAAGGTCGAAACCTGGAGACGTCAATGAACATGAACATGCATGTCACCATGACACGATGAAAGTACTCTCGGAGTGGGGAGTGATAAGGAACAGCAAAGCAGTCAACCCTTACGACAGTGTCCTCCCCACTGAAAACCGTCTGCTCCTGCTGCTTCGTTGCAAGTCCCGTTGGACTCATGGGTTTGGACCGAGTGTCGCATCATGCTGGGACGATGACGGCGAGTCTTCCGGCATGACTTTGCCAGAGTTCGAGCTGAGGATGATCGTCGAGTCCTTTGGCAGCGACGGAGCTCGGGTGAAACTGGTGGGGATGAACGACAGAAGGGGAGTGGTGCTCTCCTTGTCCATGAGAGAGCAGCAGCGGGACGGATGGGACAGTCTGCTGAATGCACACCTGACATCGGCCCGCGAGAACGAGCTTGGCCTGCTCTGTCAGGCTGTGAGAAGGTGAGGACTTCTGCAGTCATGTGATTCGTTTAGCTGCGTGAAAACAGGTCGGTGCTCTCGCACTCTCTCATGTACAATATAGCTGGTGGAAGTGACATCATGCAAGGTTTGCTAGCAATGTGACGATCCAGGATCTGACGATATGATTCCTTCCAGTCTTGTCGTTGTCCCTTAGTGAAGAGGGATTCACAAACATCGTGAAGGACCGACCATGGTAGCAAATTTTCCGTAGCAAAGAAGCAACTGACAATTTCCCAATCCTTCTCGTCCTTCTTCACCTTGGTCCTCGACTTCGCTTCTACCGTCTCTTCCATCTTCTCCTTCTCAATTCCCCCCATGATCGGCCGTTCGTTTTTCTCCCGTCCATACTCTCCCACATTCATACATGTCATTTCCCTTTCTCTTGTTTGCATTCCTCCTCCTTCTTGTCTTCCTCTTCCTCTTCTTCGTCCCTCTCCCTCCCTCCTCCTGCTCTGTCCTCCTGCAACGACAGGAGGTTGCGGGTAATGAGTCTGCAAGAGTCCCAAGTGAGTTTCTTTGCCTCGGGCAACGTTCCTGACTGTTCCTAGGTGAGCAAGGAAAGAGTGGATACGAGAATTCGAGAGCTTCAGGCGAGGAGGATAGGGATTGGAAGAGGAAGAGGAAGAGGGAGGGGGAGGGGAGGGGAGCGGGGAGGAATTTCTCTGACCATGTTTCTAGCCGTTCTTGCGGAAGCTCAATGGGATCAGAAATGACAAGAGAGCTGAGGTGAGATGTATTGAAAGAGAGGCCGTTACTGATCTGGTGGCCACCAGACTTGTCTCTGTCTTGTCGAGGATGCTTTTGATGAACATCCTTCTCCTACCATGCTTGCTCTTGTCTTGCAGGTGATGAAACAAAACGAAGCAGAAGGAAGGGAGGAAGGAAGGAGGAAGGAGGAAGGGAGGCAGGCAGGCAGGGAAGGGGTGAGAGAGGGAGCGAGGACAGATGGCCCTATTACGAATGATTCTTTCATGGAAACCAGAGGGGTTCTGCTGTGGGCGATGAAGACCTTTACAACATTGCCGGGTCAAGGAGGAGGCCACGAGCTGTGAGAGTGAGAAACGTCGGCGGCAGCTGCTGACTGGGGTGAGCAGGGGATACTGAGAACTTTCTCCAACAACGAGAGAAAGTTCAAGACGGCAACTGCCATGGAGCCGGAGGTCGCGAGTGACGATGCGAGGGTGCGGGCATGACCTGCTATGAAAGATCTCCCTGCTCATGGCCAACGTGGCGAAAATCAGAGAAGATGCCATCGTCCTCGACCCTTTCTGCGGATCCTGTGATGACCCCCGATGACCCCCGATGGAGAGGGAAGCTGACCTGCTGCCGTCAGGCTCGCTGCTGCTTGCTGCTGGTATCATCCTCCGAGGGAGGGTGAGGTGGCTAGTTTCTAGTGCTTTCCAGCTGATGGTTGCAACCTTAGTGCCAGCTCTACGGTTACGATGCGGATGGAGAGATCATGGGGATGTTGGAGAAGATCAGCTCTGACTTTGTGAGGCAGAGACGGCAAGGCGATGTAGCTGATGGACTTGTATCAGGCCCATCACAGCATAGCGCCTCCGACGATAAGAAGGGCTGGCATCGAAACCCTCGGGCAGGACTCAGACTTCCGGAGATTGAAGTTCAATGCAATCATCACTGACCCTCCCTATGACATGAATGCTCAAATTCTTGAGAGTGAGGACAAGAGGAGCAGGAAAAAGAAGTGGAGGGAAGTGGAAGGGCAAGCAGACAGTGGTCAGCGAGTCCCGATGCTCATCAGATGTCTCTTGGACATCGCGCACCAACGGTTGACGAGGTTAGAGATGCAGTGATCCTGCCAGAGCTGATGAAACGTGATCAGGCAGGGTACACTTGTTTTCTTCCTGCCGACAAGAGGTGCAGGGGTTGAGTGGACGATAGATGGTGATTTTCGATCTCAATCTCACTCGCTGACGTGCTGCGAATCTAGACGATCATCCTCTTCCTGGCCTTCCTTGCGGCACCTGGGTTCCCTTGCGACCCCCAAGCTTCCTGTCACTGACATGCAAGTGCCCGCAGGATGAAGGGACGTGGCGCTATAAAAGTCTTCGAGTCGTTGCTTGCTTCCCGCAGACGTTTTCAGACACATTCAAGAGGTTGTTTCCTGTGAGGAGAACCTGTCATGATCGCAATGACTTTGTTTTGGAAGATGGCTCATAGTCATGGAGCGAGATTGAGATATCCCTCCGCTCGCTATCCCACCAGTGTGTCAATGTCGTTAATGAAACAGTGTATCATTCCCAACCACCACGCCTGGGGTGTGCTGTGGAACAAATGTCGAACCTCCCGAGCTCCATGGAGTCAAAGATACCCTCACTTCCGTGAAGATGCTCCCCACTCCTTTGCTGCTACGACTCGTAGTAGTATGTAGGTAGCAACCAAGGGACAGATGAAGGAGGAAGAACAAGGGGAGAGGGGAGGGTTTACTCCATGCTCCTCGATGCATTTGAGTGGGCGCTCAGCCACTGGCTCCTTGGCTTCAGATGTTCTCTCCTAACCTCCCTGTACAAGATCCCTGGCTCTCCCTTCCTGGAGATCCCGAGCCTCACCGTCGATCCTGATCCCACCATGACACACGATAACGTCGAGCAAGCATTACCTTCTTCTCCCAGCAGAGCGCGAGCCAGCAGGCTCGGGATGTCACCGGAGAAGCTCATCTTACCGGACTGGGGCTACATGCTTCAAGGTTCGCAGCAGCAGGGACAAGATTACATTGTTCATGAGCTCGCGCAGGTCGAGGTCGTCGACGAAGAGGATCGAGTCTCCTATCTGCACCTTACCGTCTCTCTCCGCTGGCCCGTCCTTTGCCAGGCAGATGACTACCGCTCCCTGACAACCCTCGCGTCAGCCTCTCCCTCTCCTGACTGCGCTCGAGAGCGTGTTGAAGGGATACCCGTCCTTCAGCCAGCATCTGCGAGTCGAGCCCCATCCCGATTCCGCACGGCGAGGAGAGAGGCCTTGACTCGTGCAGAGGACCTCTCTTCTTGTGTCTCGTCTCGCAGCAGCTCAGGTTGAGCAAGGAGTCGCTGCTCTCAGGCGCATCATGGCTCTCGGCGGCACCCATTGGATACAACCTGCAAAAAAGCAGAAGCTAGTCATCTGCTGCTCCCATTGAAGCCCTTGCTCCTATGGGGAGGAAAGGAACCTTGCATGGAAAACTTTTGAAAGCACAAAATCTCCCTCCCTCCCTCCCCTCCTCCGTCTTTGTCATAGCATCATTCCTTCTACTGTGTCGTGTCTCTTAACTACCTGCTACCACTATTCCCTTGCAGTTTCGAGGCTCTGCCTGGCTTGCTCTTCCTCTCTTTCTGCAGGGCTCATACTCTCTCGTTCATCCGAAGTTAGCATGATGCCATGAAGCGCGGGGGAGCCTGCTATGCTGAGCGCGGCTTCAGTTTGAGTAAGGACTGTATCAGCGCCTGATTGCGATGGCACTACCTTGGCGGTGACTACCGGCGGTGCGGCCCCGTCTGCCCGCGCCCCCCGGGCCCCCCCGGGCCCCCCCGGGCGCCGCACGGGCTGTGACGGGAGTCACTGAGTCACTGAGAGTCCGATGATCGGATCACCGGGTCTGGGAGTCCGAGCCGCCTGTACCGCCCGGCATTGCCCGGTGCCGCCAGAGAGAAAGCACCGCCCATTCTGGGGTCAAACCTCCGACTCGCACGTGCCTCACGTTTCTCGTGTGTTTTGTTGAATTTTTTAATTTTTTGTGATTTTCAGAGAGAGTTCTTGGTTCGGATTCACATGTTAGTGTGAAATGAACTGAGCAAAAAAAATATTTTCTTATCATTATATTCGGTCAACAGAAAACTGATTCATACATCTCGGAGTGTAATTAATAAATAACATTTCTTCATGACACATCGCGCATGTGTCCATCTGCTTAACTCTTATCAAGTTTTCTACATACTCAACATCAATGAAATCTTGCATGATCTTGTCAATGCATTACTCACATAATTTCATACAAGATGAAAGTATCTCAACGCTCTATATATCGGATGTTTATTCGAATAGCAGAGTCAAGTTTAAACATTTCTCACTACAGAGCCATCTAGCCAACACATCGCAGTCTTGACAACCCTCAAGTTTTTCATTTCCTCAGAGCTCACTAACCTGGCTGAAATCAAATATAAGAATCACCAGTTATCTGATGCTGAGTCTTGTGTAAAGGATTGACACTGTAAATGTTGAATGGCTGCTTTCAGTCATGGTGATCCAGGCCAATCCTTCTTGTGCTATGGCGCAACTTTGACAGTCTTTCATCCGATGACCAAACTCCTGCACTCCGCTGGTCTCGTCATTCCTTGACAATGGACTTCGCTGTCCTCACAAACATCCACATGGTCTCGGGTCAAGCCCGACCACGCACACTTCGCTCCCTTCCTCGCCGCCTCTCCATCCGTATCTCGAAAGCGCGTCCTCGTCCTCCACCTTGCTTACCCTGAACCTCTCAACATTGTCCTTGGGGACGACAAAGACGATCTCAAGCTTCCACTGCTCCCATCCTTCGATGCTCAAGGAATCCAGGCAGTCCGAGAAGTACCGCAGCTTCAGGTCATGAGCCTCTCTAGACGTCACCTGCACAAACCGCACTAACTTGGAGCTCCAGTCTACAATCACAGCATCATATCCTCCCTGGTTCCATGCCACGGGCTTCAGGCACACGCGCTCCTTGCTATTCTCCCCAGCCTCATAAACATCTGTTGGATCAAAAGACTCCACTTCGCACCTTGACCACTCAACATCTCCTCCTTGGATGGTGGTTAGCTTTAGCGGTCCTGGCATTTGCTTTATCCGAGCAAAGAACAGCATCTCGAACAACACTCCCCGTAGTACTGGGTTCTCAGCCATGTTGGTGAGCTCTTGTATTTTCCTTACGAAGGACTCTCCAAGCTTCTCCGCTAGCTCCGTGGCAGCAAACCTGCTGACAAGCCCCCAGTACACCTTCTTTCCAATACGGTGCTTCCCATGCAGTAGATTCACAAACCGTTTCGATTGCTCACCAGTAGAAAACTCCATCAGGCTCGGAAAATCGTCCACATCGCTCATCGCATCACGAAGGCTTTCGATCGCTTCCTCTGTCGTATATTCGAACATGAGCCGGCATGAGCCCCCGGCTACCCGATACTTGGACTCGACTTCTCTCGTCCTTCTCTCTTCTTCTGTCTCACGCCTTCTCGTTTGTTTTCTCTTGCCCAGACTCGTTCCCATAGCCTCAGCCACACTCATGTACAGCAAGTCGTACTTAGCGGCATCCTGGTACTCCTCCAGCGTCCAAGAGTAAACCTTCATCTCTTTCACCTTTTCTATTCTATCTTGCTCGTCGCTCTTCTTTCCTCGAGAAATCATCGATGTAGTGACGGCAAGTCGCCGATTCTCCCTGTCAAAGTTGCGCCATAGCAGGCAAATGCTCAACACAACATCATATTCATGCACCCCCTACACGTAGCCGTCCAACGAAACAAGATACTTCCGTCGCTTGTCAGTCCATCCCTGAAGAATCTTCTTCACCCCGCTGGCCACCTCGTCCGAAGACAAGTCGCATCTCCTTTGTTGCCCATCGACCACTTGTATACAACTGACGATCCCCAACTTCCACAGCCGCACGAACATCACACACCACCCTTCCTCAATGCTTTTTGATAGTATGAAACATATCGTCGTCGTTGTCTTCCCCGTCCCTGGAGGACCCAAGATCCAACCCATATATCCTTCCTTGCAAACTTTCTCCTCCAGGAAATCCATCTGCTCATTGAAGCCATCCCTGCAGTAAAGCACCACCTTCCCTGCTGTCCCAGGGTTCCAGTTCATGATCGATCGATCGACACTAAAGAGTTTGCGATTCTCCTCATAGCCCAGCTCACTAGCATCCAACGGTGTCTCCATCCACTGAATCCCGTGGTTAATCTCTTCCTTCGTTAGCCGATCTTGCTTTTCCTTTCGCAGGTCCTGCTTTTCCTTTCGCAGGTCCTGCTTTTCCTTTCGCAGGTCCTGCTTTTCCTTTCGCAGGTCCTGCTTTTCCTTTCGCAGGTCTTCTTCTTTCTTTCGCAGGTCCTCTTCTTTCTTTCGCAAGTACTTCTCTTTCTCCTCGACATCCCTCAATATATCCTCCCAGTACCTCTGGCCCGCCCCCTTGTCAAGAAGCTGTATCCTTATGCCAGCCTTCTTCGTCTCCAAGACCTTGAGCTCCTTGGCGATTCCCCGTGCTTCCTCTTCTTCCTCATCTATCTTCTTCGTAACATTCTCCAATTTTCTCTCGACCTTGGCTTGTTCTTGTCGTAGTCTTGCCTCCGCGATATCCTCCTCAACGTCCTCCAGGTCCATGTTTGCATGCGGCACCCCTCCCCCTCCTCGAATCACCGCGGGAATCATGTGCTGAGCGCATCCGCGCGGGAAATGCTGTCCAAGAAGTGCACATGCACATGTGGTCAGAAGCACTAGTCCTGCAATACTTGAAACATTGAATCAACAAGACCTAACGTCCGGAACAAACCTGCTGCAATCCTCAGGAGACCCGATGTCATGCTGCAATCAACCGGATGTCCTGACCTGACCGTGTGATCAAACAAAAACAAAGATCACGATGAAGTGACGGGGAAAGATAGAGAGGAGAGGCCGAGCAAGAACAGAGGGCAGAGCGCGGAATACGACCGAGGAAAGGGAATGGAGAAATACAAGAAGTAAAGTAGAGCTATGCGATCTAGGTAGGATTCAACACATTTGTTTTCTGTCAGGTTTATAGTTCAAACTATGAATCTAGTACTAGGGGTTTGGGGGGGTGAAGGCGTGTAGAATTAAAACATTTTAGAAGGTACCAGGAAACGATACTGAGCTACAAAAACATCCCAAATCACTGAGTCACTATTCACGGGTTTCAAATATGGTTTTGAATTTCAACAGTACAAAATCTCAACTTGCGCGAACTTGATCACCGTGACGGCCGTGTACTACGGTAGTCACTTCACTAGCCAGTGACCCGGCGGAATGATTTTCCCATTCACCACCTCGAGTCAGTTTGAAAACCGTATGATAGGACGAAAACTTGACCCGGCAACGCGGCGGTGCCAGTGACGGGCCTGGTGCCAGCCGGCAACTTTAGTTCAGAGTCTCAGGGGGCCGGGCCCCCGAAGGCCCGGGCCCCGGGCGCCGGGCGGGCACTGTATGATCCAACAGCCAGTGTGACCGTCGTCCCGACTCAATGGCAAAACTTGCCACCGTATACGGTCGGTGGCACCCGTCAGCGGCAACCGTATGGCGCATCCGAGTCCGACTCAGTCCCGTCTCGGCGATGCGGGCCGGGCCCGGCTCACTGAATGGCACCGTGCCACGCCGGTGGCCCCGCCGGGCCCCGGGGGCGAGTCCGGTCACGGCCGGGCGGCTCCTCAGCCTCACCGAGTCAACCGTTGCCACCGTGACCGGCGTCCCTCGGGCCTGCAGTCCCGGCGAGTCCGTCACTGTCGGAGTGCCGCCCGCCGCGCCGGCGGCCCGCCGCCGGGCGGCCCGGCCGGCGTGCCCAGGCTGACGGGAGTCAGTGAGGCTCAGCCTGACGGTGAGGTGTGATCCGGGGCGTCACGCCCTCGGAGTCGACGGACTCGGCCGGGAGGCGAGCGGCCTTCGCCGGCGGGGGCGGTACCGTCACGGCCGTTGACTGCATATTGGATTTTTACTAAAGCCTGTGACATAGGCTTTGAGTCCGTTCAGTAAAGGCTCACGGTGATAAAAAGATAAAACTTGAATGGTCGCCGCGCGTCACTGTGACGGCCGCGTCCGACCGTCCGACGTCACGGGTCGAGTCCGGGCCAGCGATCAGAGTCGGTCAGGCTGCCCGGCAGGAACCTCCGACTCGCCTCGGAGGCTCCCGGCTACCAGCCCGGGCTACTCAGTAGGCTACTCACTGATGAGTGGCAGGCCCTCGGCCGAGCCCGCCGGGGCCCGCCGGGCCGGGCCTGATTGCCGTACCCGTGCCGTACCCGGACGGCACCCGGTGACCGTACTACGCCGCCGGGGCGGTTCCACGGTCACTGGCCAACTCAACTTGAAGTTCAATAAAGCTTCTCGCCGAAGTTCAACGGTTTGTTTACTTCTACCTTCAAGTTTTACTCAAAGTTGAGTTCAATCAAAAAGCCGAGCTCCGACGGCGACTCAGGACTACCCCGGCGAATCCCAGACATCCGCTTCGAGCAGGGTGGGGTGGTAGAAGTAAACAGTCGAACGGTCCGAGTCAGCGCGGCCAGGGCTTGCCCAAAGTTACCACTGCGATCAGTGTGGGGTGGGTCCTACGGAGGATGCGGAGGGGGGTCCCTGTCACTTCCCGGCGGGCACCGACGGTCCCCCCACGGTGGCCAAAATCAGTACCGCTCCGTCCGAGCCGCATCACCCGTCCGTCACAGCAGCTGACTACCTACCACTGAATCTGAGAACGGTGAACGGTACTACCCACCCCCCTTGGGACTTCCGAAGGTCTGAGTCGTTGGACATGTCGGAACTTGACCCGGAGGTGAAGTGGTCATATGGAAGTCCTATCAGACTACGAATTTGGGGCAGTAGCATCATAGGAGCAACTCAGTGAGACCAAGAAAAGTACCTTATGGGGTGCTAGGAACAGGTCCTATGAAAAATATGTCCTAACACCACAACAGACTCAGACCCCCGTTTGAAAGGCACGACTCGGCTGCAGTATGACGGGTCATCACGGGTCCTAGGGGGTGTGTGTGTGCGTCCTACGTAGTACGGTGGGTGTCCCTGTTTTGTAAACTTGATACCAAGCAGACCCCTAGAATGATGTGGTTCATGAATATCTGGGGTCCATTCTGTGGCTGTCATACCGGTGATTTTACACACAAGAACACCGGTGGTCTTGCTGCAAACGAAAATGTAAAGAAGATATTGTGGCGTAGGGGGTAGGTAGTAACTTGTCGAGCACAGGAAAAAGAAAAGATGCTCGAACGGGAGCGAAAGAGTAGGGTAGGGTAGTTTCGGTAACTTAGTGGTACCTTCAGGAGGGGTGGTACCGCACCCGAAAGGCAACTTCGATGGGGGTCAATCAAGGTCAAAGTTGATTTCTGTTCGCAGGGAGGTGGGGTACGAGAGTGAGGAGTCGAAGTGCTGACCAAGGGTGGGTACCATAAGGAAAGGAGGGTAGGGTGTCACACGGAATATAAAGGACGGGCCTCAATTGGTATAATGGGTGGGGTACAAAGTATAGCGGTAGGTGGGGTACAAGCAGCACTGGACATGTGGTGGGGTACTACCAATGACCTCACTGAGATGGGTGGGGTGGGTCGGCAGGGTTGGATCCAGATATCAACTTGCATTCCGCGTTGTCCTGTGCGGTGACGTCGGATCCCTCTGCTGCCCTCTGCTACCCTCTGCTACCCTCTGCTGCCCTCTGCTACCCTCTGCGCTTGCTCCTCCTCGGCTCTGTTCCTCCAGACGTCCTTCCTCCTTCCTCCCTCCTATCTTGTTTCAACACTCGATTCTTCTCCAGTCACACTGCATCAAGCTCGCTGTGATCTTCAAGTTTGAGACACCACGAATTGAGGTCAGAGAATTACCTGAACCACAAATCCAATGGAAAGCTTGCTCTTGAATCAACAGATCAGTCTAGGGGAAAATGGGCTATTTGCAGGAAATCGCCTGCCTCTGCTGCAGGCATTTGAACCCCTTCAACCGAAACTCGCTCCTCTCCGTCAGCCCAGCTTCCTCTTGGATTCTGCTGCCCCCTCCATCCCTCCTCCCTCCCAGGTGATACAACTTGGCCTGACCCTCGAGGACCTTATGTACATGGCCCTCAACCCTCTTCCCGACCGTCAGCTCTCCATCCCCCAGCCGCTGCCGTGCTCGCCACCCAGCCCCCTCATGGCCGTAGCGAAGCCCGAGGCCGTGAGGCCGCAGGCGTCCGAGGAGTGTGCGGACATGGTGGAGGAAGCCGACGAGGAGGAGGAGGAGGGCGACGGGGAGACGCTGGACAAGCGGGCAAGGCACAGCATCGCATGCAAGTCAAAGTCTAAGCTAACGCTAGCGGAGAAGCTGGAGATGATCCGTCTAAGAGACGAGTTACAAGTGTCGCAGGCTTACCTGGCGTATCGTTTCGGCAAGAGCCGGTCTGCCGTGTCCAAGATTCTGAGGGTGGAGAATATTGCGAAGCTCAAGGCGCTAGCAGGGGCAGGCGTACACCGCAGCATAAGGCGATGCTCGTCCAACCATGACTCGGTGCTGGAGCAGCGGGTGCACGAGTTTGTGGAGAACAATTTGCACATCGAGAAGCGTCGCGTAATGATCCGAGATTATGCTCAAACGGTAGCGACTCAGATGGGGCTATCGAACTTCAAGGCGACGCGGAGCTGGATCGGGCGCTTCATGAAGCGTCATGGATTCAAGTGAAGACAGCTTGTATGCTGCATTCACGACCTTTGTTTCTTGTTGGTTTGATAACGCGCTGAGAATGATTTGAATGAGTAGAAGTTTTTTTGATTGAACATGATTGTAATTTTAGTGAGCCTCGACTTCTAATCTTTGAACTGAATTGCTTCCTTTCTTCGATTGCCTTGCGACGCTTACAATTTGGAAGACACTTCAATTTATCAGCAGACAATCCTTAGCAGTTCTCAAATTCCTCCTAGGTTTGGTGTGAATTTCCGAACACGTCCCTTTCCTGTCATCCCCGGAGGCTTCATTTGTTGCCTTGCCATTCGACAGATCCGAGACCGGAGGAGCTGCAGGTGTTGCAGACCTCTCGATGAAAGTGGCTCAACTTTCGAGGTGAAGACTGCATCAGTCGAAGACAACACTACGAACATTGAAGTCGTACTTATCTCGAATCGATTGTTCAGACGCTCTCATGTGTTGTGAATCTCGTTAACATTTTATGAGTTCCCTTTAGCTTCTTTCACAAAATTCACAGTCTACATCTCAGCACTAACTGCGCGGCAGAGAAGATGATGCCTTGATCTCGCCAGTGAGTTCCGCCCACCGCTTGCACAGCGACACAGAGAGTCGACAGCCCACAAGACAACCAAAGTTCGTAAGGTCTTGCAGGACGTCGGCGCTCTCGCATACTTTTTTCTCTCGTCTGCCACTCAAAACTTCCAAGACAAGAGAACGCGCCTCATCGATGCAAGCTGATTCGATTTCACAATCGAAGCTCACAGGATGAAGGAAGAAAAATGCCACAGGTACAAACATTGCTCATGAAACATTTGCACGAACATGCCACTCCAACTCGTACGGCCCCAAGTTGTGGCGGTAAAATTGAACACATTCTACTGTTTTGATGCCTGCTCGAAGTCTTCAACAAGCTCGGGAACCTGCTACCTGTCAGAATCTCCGACAAATCCCTTCCAAACATTTACATCGTCGTCGTCCTTCGCGTCTCCGCTGCCTCCTGCGGCCTGTCCCGGGCCAGTGAACTGCTCAGCAATCTTCTTCAAGTTCTCCAGGTTGTCAGGTCCAAGCTGGTTGATGATGCCGGGAAGAAGATCCTGGAGCTTCTTGTTCTCGGCAGTGCCGCTGATGACGTAAGTGTTGGCACCGATGGAAGCTTGGACTTGCTGCCGACCCATGGTGAGTGCTACAAATTAAACTAGGAGGAACAGGAGCCAGGAGGAAGAGGAGGAGAGATTTTGGCTATCATAGGTTAGAAACCTCTCAGCATATCAAGGCCTCCCGTAGTGTTAGCCAGGAGTGTTGGGGAACATAAGGAAGGTTCAGGATGCATTTATCTACATTCTGCCTGCTGGAAGTGTCCCCGGGGAAGAGAAACACACGGGGAGGAGGGGGAGAGGATCTTACCTTGGGGTTCTTGAAATGGATGACTGATCCGTTGTCACGGAACAGATTGACCTGTGCGAGGTTGAGCAATCGACCCGTCGTTGCACATTAGTGCTTCACCTCCTCGATCCCTGGGATGTTGTTCACGCCGAGTCGTTTCAAGGTGTTTTGAAGGCGCTTGTCGTCTGCCAGCAAACGAATGAGACTTTCTGGTGCTCGCAATGAGTTTGCAACGAGCCTACCTGTGGTGGCTGACTTGTGGACTGCCTTTTTCTTTCTACGAACTGAGCCCTTGCCACCGGTTCGGACCTTGACGCCAGTGTCAATCTCTGTTCAATCCAAGAGTGATTCACTTACAGAGGCTTTGAGCTTCTCTAACTTGTCTTGATCCACTGGCATATCTCTGTCTTCACCAATCGTCAGAAGATCGCAAGTGCTTCACATTTCGATTGACAAATCACAACACCAAGCTTTCGGCTCTTGCCGAAAAGCAGTGCACCAAAACTTCCTCTCGATTCGCAGTACTCTTAGTATTTCTTTCCCCTTAGCATATGCCATGCATGCTGTGAAGCGAAAGTTTGGTATCTCTCCTCTCACCGGGCTGAGGCTGTTTCGACTCTTCCCGCTTCAAATGCTGATTTTCTTTCCTAGCCCAAATATAACAAGCCGCCTTTCTATGCTTCCTGCATTCACTCCTTCTGCTCTCCCTCCCTCCTCCTTCCTCCCTCTTGTCTGCTCCACGTCTTCTGCTCTCCTTCCCCATAATCGCAGGCGGCGCGTGCAGCTTGATTGAGTAAAAAAAAGGCGGGAGATCGGGGGTGGTCAGTTGGGGGTGGGGACTAATGAGCAGGTATGGTAGGTGGTGAAGTTTCCACGGGGTAGGGTCCACAATCCTTTGCAACAAGTTTCGGTTATCTACCAAACTGTCTGTTTTTATTTTATATCAATCAGTAAAATTAGCAGTAATATGCTCAGTATTTTGGACAATTCCAGTCCTCGATCTGATGTGAAGGATCATGGGGGGTGATATCAAATGGGAGTGTGGATCAGGGGGGTGGTATGCGATGGGGGTGGTCATGTTGCACGACAAAAATCTTCGTTCGATCAAACGTTGAAACTTCAGAACTTTGGAAGTTTGATGATACAGAACTTTTACTCCAAGTTTCAAACTGCATCTGCACAAACTTTGGGGGGCCAGAGCGGGGATGTGATGCCCTGGCTATTTCCGGGAGGATTTTAGTGCACCGCCGAAATGTTCGAGCTGTTGAAGCAAGAGATGCTTATGGACGACCGCATGGCGGGTATGAGCAACGTGAGCGAAGGCTTCTGGATGGGCAAGAACAAGATCAGAACCCCGGGCAGGTGAGATCCTCTCCTTTTCACATCTCTTGCCCTGTTGCGTTGTCGGGGGATGGCGGGAGCTGAAAAAGTGTTTGCAGGTCCGGAGGTTGCAAGTATTACTGTGACAGGCAAAACTTGTCGAACGTGAGTGTCTTGTGTTTTGCTCCTCCCTCTTTGTTTCGAAGATCTGCCAGTTCTCATGGGTGTTCTTGATGTCCTTGTTGTGATCATTTGCCATCCCTGATGGAGGGATAGAGTGATGTTCGGGCGTCGTTGCGAAACCCTCTCCTCTGCTCTGTTCGATGCATCATCTCCTGACTTGCTGCGACTGACTTGCTGATCTCCAGGGGTTCATGTCGACTGAGGGCTCCTTCAGCCGTGCCGGGCACCCCCACTGGTGATGTTTGCGAACTGTTGCTCCATGGAGGCTGACAGCAACTGTGCAGGGACGGGCGCGGATCGCACTACGACATCATGCACTAGGATGTTTCAGCTACAGATATCTGTCATGTCTAGTAAGAGTGTAACTTTTGGTGTCCGCCCTTGCACGGGTGGCAAGTTTTCTTTACCCTTCCACAAAGAAATAGAAATTCAGTGTAACTCAGTCATCTGTGTCCTCCTCCTCCTCCTCCTCCTCCTCCTTTTCCTTCTTCTTCATCTCCTTCTTCCTACTTTCACTCTCTTCTGCGAGACGAGGCTTAGTCTAATGCAAGCAAGGAGCAACTTGGAAACCTGAGGAGTCGCTGGGCTCCGGTACCCGTTTGCCGGCTGATTTCACGCGGGTCAGAGAACGCACGAGCAAGGCGCTCACTCACCCTCCATGGAGTCTTCAGCTTGCATCATCGTCTTTCCCATGAACTCTTGCGACGAGTGTCCGGAGTCCGAGTGAGAGGAGAACTTGTTCTCCTCCATGATCCTCCTCATCTCCGAGGACTCGAAGGACGAAGAGTTGCCTCCTCCTCACTCCTGTCAACCTTTCCCCCTCCCGTTCGCATGCTAACACACCTCGGATCTCGGCGCTGTCGATCATGTCCAGATTCAGCTGGCTGTCAGGTTCAACCTCTTCCACGTTCAGCATGTCCTTGAGATTGTTCGCCATTCCTTCGCTGCTCCTGCACTGTCACATCGAGCGAGAAAGCCCTCAAGGTTCACCCTGAGCTCCTTCCTCCTCCGTCTCTGCCATCTGATGTCTTCTCCCTCTTCTTCTTTGCCCTTGCTCGAGTCAGTTGGTTGCGAGTGAGATGAGTGAAATACTTGTTAGACAGTTCCTCCTGCTCCTCGTCCTCCTCGTCGTCCTCGTCCTCGTCCTCCTCCTCCTGTCCTGATCGAGAGGTCAGTGGAGGAGAAGCAAGACGAGGAGGAGGAACGGGAAGTTCACACCTGAGCGGCTTGTATCTCCTTCGTCATCCTCGTCCTGCTCTTCGCTGCTATCGCTCTCGTCTGCTTCGACCCGCCTCCCCTTAGCTCCCCTCCCACTGCATGCAGCATGTCAGCGATGCGGCCACTAGACCGCGTTTGATCGCTGCTCTCCCTACATGGATCGGTTGGGAGCCCGGGGCCCCGATCCCTTTCTGAGTGCATTCCTCGCATGCTCCTTCATCTTGCTCGTCTCCGCCTTCTGATTGCAAGCATCGACCAGTCAGAGTGTCCCTCGCATAGGGAGAAAAGAGACGAACACACAGCACTCACCCCCTGTCTCTTCGATCGGTCTTCGCGCAGCTTTGCTTTCTGCTTCCCTCCTCCCTCTCCTCCTCCTGCACCTCCAGTGCTTCAGTGCGCTCAAAAGCTGCATCCTTATCTCACCTCGCAGACTGACGAGCATGGGAGGATTAAGTTGGACTTGCTCCGTCCTCTCGATCCAGTTGACTTTCCTCTCAGCAGCACAAAGATCAACTTCTGCTCGCACAGCACAATAAGTTCAACGCTCCTACCATGCTCTCTTCCTCTCCCACCTGTACCGAGGCCGTTCGCCTTCCCTCCCATGAAGAAGGAAGATTCGAGGAGGAGCAGGGCGAGGAGGGAGGTTGTCGGCATCCTCCGAAACCACTGGATCCTAAGTAAACCCAAGAAGATCAACGTGCGAGGAAGGGATGCGAAGGGGACGAGCAGCGTGTGCGCTACTTGAGCGATTGAGCACGGATCTCCACAACTCCTAATGTTGTGCAGTCAGCAATCAGGACGAGAAAGAATAAGACACGTGTCAAGAAATCCTAGCTTCCTCTCCTCATTTTTGACAGTATCATCTTTCCCCATCCCCTCTGCCGTTCCCTCCTGCCCTGGCCCCCTCCCTCCCTCCCCCCCTCTTCCCTCTCTCCCTCCCTCCAGTCTCACTATACCCTCGCTCTCCCTTGTCCTTCCTTCCCTCGCTCTCCCTCCCTCCCCCGCTCATCATAGCAGCATGGGAAGCCCTGGTATCCATCAGGTGTTGGTGCTGGCATGGGCGGTGCTAGGTGGAGAAGCGAGTGGAGGTATGGAGGATGGCGATGGAGCCCGAGGGACGGAAAAGGGGCAAAGGTGGGGGGAGGGAGGGGCGAGGGGGAGGAGGAGGGGAGGGGAAGAAGGAGGAAGGAGGAAGAAGTGGGTGCTGTAGGAAGTTGTGATGGTGGGGCCCGCCGGGGTGGGCGGAGCGGGGGGAGGGGGGAGGGAAGAGGGGGGATTGGAGGAGGATGTAATAGGGTTTTTTAGTGAGGCAGGGGCGTATTGGAGGGAACGGGGGGAAGGGGATGGGGGGAGGGGGGGGGGGGGGAGGGGCGGAGAGAGCAGAGACAGAGCCGAGGAGCACGGGAGGAGAAAATATGAGCGAGCAACATCCCGTCTCCTGCTCCTGCTCATCATCATCATCATGTATCTAGAGAAGCAACATCATCATGTCATCTTTATCTCCCTCATCGTTTATAGTATCGTTGATACAGCTCTGGGTCATGCTCGAAGCCATGACGCCGCGCGTAAGTGTTGCGAAGACCGTAGTCCAGCCCTGCCATTGCACAATCACTCTCCTTGTTTACCCCCTCCCCCTTCCTCCTCTTGCATCCTCCTATCCCTCCGTTCTCTTGCCCCCTACTTCGTCCTTCTTTCATCTCCCCTCCCCTCCTCCTCCTGCCATGAACCCTTGCTCACTCGTCCATCTCCTCCTCACTCATTATGCCCTCCTAGCCTTTCAGACCCGCCTTCCTCCTCCTCTCTGTGCTTGCCTGACGTGGCTGGAGCAGGAGCCTTGTTGAAGGGTTTGTATCCGAACCGCCGGAGCATCATGAAGAGCGCTCGCTCGCTGACATGACCTCAGACCCTTTACCATGAACGGGCAGATACAACACGAGCCCGAGGAGGAGGAGGAGGAGGAGGTGGTGGTGGTGGAGGAGGAGGTGGTGGTGGTGGAGGAGGAGGATCAGCAGCACGAGCAGCAAGATCAAGAAACGGGAAGGAGAGGGAAGGGAAGTAGCGAGGGAGAAGGGAGAGAGAGAGGGCGAAGGGGTGGAGGAAGCTGAGGACCTGAATCTCTCAGGGTCGTCCTCGAACCAAGCCTTGATCTCCGTCCACCACTGCTGCGTATCATGCACTATCCACCTGGAGAAAGACTGAGCGAGGAAGAGGAGGAGGAGGAGGAGGAGGAGGAGGTACATCTTAATGCCGAGAGGGTTGGTCTTGTCCTCGTGCTCTGGGCCTTCCTGTCTCAACCGTCAGCCAGTCCTCCTGTCCTGCATGGAGGCGCGGAGGACCGCGAGGGGCTCGAGCGTGACGATGCCTTTCCTCTGCATCCTCTCCAAGAATCCACGGAAAGCAACGACTTGATTGGCCTGCGAAGGCGTGAGGTTGCGAGCAGGGAGGTCAAGTCAGTAAAGAGATTGTTGGAGGAGGTAGGGAGGGAAGGAGAAGAGAAAAGGCGTCTATGACGAGATGGTAATCTCCTCGCTACTGCAAGCCTTCAACTACATGACTGAGAGGAAGAGAGCTCCATGGCAACCAGTCTTGTGTCTTCCTACAAGGAACCATGCACACACGAAAGTCCAGATCTCGGGAGAGGAGCAGGCGGCATAAGGATCGCGTTCAATGTTTGACACGCCTCTCACCTTGTGCAGGACGTGAGGAGCCTTGCCCTGGCTACTCTCAGCGATGTGTTGCGCCGCCTCTTTCTGCCACTTGTCCCCTTGCTGCATCCACATACAAAATGTGAGCCAGATGGAAGTGTTTTTGATGAGAGGGGGGGACGGGGAGAAGGGAGAGGAGGAGGAGGAGGAAGACAAGTAGAGGAGGAGGAGGAAAGGAGTTGCTCAAGGGGGAGATAGCTATGGAGGAATGGAAACGAGAGGACGAGGACGACGAGGAGGAGAAGGAGAGGGAGGAGATGGTGGTGGAGGACAAGGACGAGGACGAGGACGAGAAGGAGGAGAGGGTGGTGGTGGTGGTGGAAGTGGTGGTGGAGGACAGGAGGACGACGAAGAGGCTAGAATGAAGTGTGGAGGAGGACCTTCTCCCTAGCTCTCGCCAACTTCTTGATATAACTTTGCTTCCGCTCAACACTTGGGAATCCGCGTCATGGCTCGTGGGCATGTCACAAGGGCATGAAGTCACCTGTCCTTCCCGTCATCGGCCCTTCTCCTCTTCTTCTCAGGCTGTCAAGACAAGTCACAAGCTTCCTCCTCCTCTTGAGAGAGGGGATTATCCTTACTTTCATGGACATCGAGCTGTTGGGGATAGGGAAGGGCTGGGCTCCCGGAGCCATCACGATACCTCCCTGCTGCTCACCGTTGGCATTTACAGGCATCAGACACGGGACGAAGTAAGTGGCTTGTCCAGGAGGAACGCCTACCAGCTCGTGAGAAAAGGGGGGGAGGAGGAAGGAGCGAGGAAAGCTGGGAAGAGCAGAAAAGCCACAGCCGAGGAGAGGTAATCAGATGATGTGATGTGGAGGAGGAAAAAGATCGTAAGTAGAGAGGAGGAGGGGGTTTCAGGAGAGGAAGAGGAGGGAGGAGGAACAAGAGCAGATGGGGAGGAGCATGTACCAGGGAACTGAGGAGGGTATGCAGCACCACCCTTGCAAGAAGCGAATCAGCGTCCAAAGGAAACAGGAGCAAGTATGAAACCTGGGAGATCACAGTGCCGAAGCTTGAGTTCACAACTGAGCCATAGGGGACTGTGCTCATCGGGTACTGATTCCATGGTGCTGGGTATGCTGAGGACCAGGGCATCAGATTCTCCTCGCGCTGGTGAGTGGGAAAATTTGAAGGACGAGGGATAATGATCAGCTATTGGGCGATATGATCCTGCAAGGAAGAGAAAAGGAGAGTTGAGGAGGTGGACTTGGCGATGGTGGACGAGGAGGGGGAAGAGGAGGAGTGGAGGAGACTGCGAGGAGAAAACTTGAGGACATGAAGGTAAGAGAGATTGTGAGAAAAGGGAGTGGACGGCGAGCATTAGAGTTCGGATGACCTTGTCCAGCGCGGGTACTGGGCTAAATAGCACGTACACATGTCAGTTGTTGGAGATCAGCTCATTTCATCTAACCGTCTGAGTTTGTCCGCCTGCTGCGTGAGCAGCTGCTGCATATGAGTAAGAAAGTCGAAACAAGTAGTGATGGGGAGGGGTCGAAAGGGAGGAGGAGGAGGAGGAGGAGGAGGAGGAGGAGGAGGAGGAGGAGGAGGAGGAGGAGGAGGAGGAGGAGGAGGAGGAGGAGGAAGGAGGAGGAGGAGGAGGAGGAGGAGGAGGAGGTTTGACAACCAGGAGGAGCGTAGTACACGCCTTGGTCCACCCCAGCATTCGCCTTTTCACACAGTCAATGCACATTTTGAACTTAGACTATTCCAAGGGATGAAAAACATCCGCACAGCATGGTGTTTTAAGCTGAAAACAGTGACGATGCATCTTCCCAGATAAGAGACGAGATTTTCGCATCGCAAGACAATCACAACCATGAACGAACAGCAGCGCAAACATTCCGTCTGTGCGGGGACACACTCACATTTTGAGGGGCCCCATGCGCCCCTTCCTGCATCATCTGCGCAGGGACATTCTGTTGCAGACTTCGGTCAAGTGGTGACATTGGAGGAGTTCAACAACCTGCGAGGGAGGAGGAGGAACGTTGTTCATCTCCCAGCCGATCACCCTCCAACCTGCGAGTTGACATTTACAACGACAACAAAGTGCAGCCAGATTCATCAGGAGACGAAGAGAACTCAAGGTGATCAGATGTTGTATGTGAGCATGTCATTCAAACATCAAGGGCTGTTGACTGGCATCTGAACCTTCCCGCCTTATAGTGCACTCACTGCCCGTCATTCGAACAAGTAGCAAATTCCTTGCAACCAACTACAGCTCAGCAACGACGCCTCTTGTTCTGTCATGGCATGCGGCAACAGTGCTGATCGCTCTCACAACTTCCTTCATGTTCGTCTAGCCAGCATCATGCTGATCGCTCGGATACTCTCCCTGCCATCGACAAGCACTCCGACTACCATCACCCGCGACCATATTCTGTAAAAATCACAATTTAAAACAATATCAAAAGTTTAACATGTATTTTAGTTTGCTCTAAAAATCTGTGATTTGTACGATTTCACAAGGTTTAACAGATGTAACGGGTTGAATTAGATACAATATGATTTTTATCTTATAACTTCTAGAATCTCACTTGTTAAAAACTGGCATCGGACCCTTGAACGGCCGGCGGCGGTCCGATCACGGCAGCCAGTGGCGACTCAGCCTGAGCCTCGGAGCCTGGAGCCACCGACCGTCGGTCACTGGCCAGGCCGGCGGGCCCCGGGCGTCGCACACGGTGCCGCCAGGCGGCAGTGAGTGCCGCCGGCGCGGGCCGCCCGAGGCTCCGACTCATCGGACCGTCCGCCGGTACCCCGGGTCCGGCGCCGGGCCACCGGCGGCGTTCCGACTGAGCCGTTCAACTCCGCAACTGGTTAAAACCCTGCCAGGCTGTCAGTGTAGTACTTTTGAAACTATGAAACTCAGGCTCGCCATTTATACCGCACCGGGCATTTCGACTCCGGGGTCGGAGCCGTTTAGAGTCATATTCAACTGATTTATTGATCACATTAATGATTGGTTCCTTTCACCAATGCCCGGGTGACGCCGAGAATCGTGTTGGCAGATGAGTACAACTTGGCAAGCCTGTTTTAGGGGCTCTGACCGTGGATATAGTACCCTGGAAACCCGAAGTCCACGGCCTCAGATTGTGCTTGCTGGATTGTGTTGAAGTTGCAATTCGCCCAGCCTGCATTAGCTTGCCAGGAAAACTGGCCAGGGCTGTCAGCGAAGTCGTCGGGGATGATTGCAGGGATGTACAAGGACGTGTTCTGCTGCTTCACGTCTTGGACCGGCACGAAACTCGAGCTCGGCGGCTCAACCTTCCAGTCCCAATCGCTTCCAGCGCATGGAGGAGGAGACGGGGTAGAGTGGTCGCTCTCGAAGCTTGTGCGGCTCTCTCCTGGACTCTTAGACTCGGACCCGTCGCTCCAGGGGTTCGAGGGATAGAATGCCGGGCTGTGGATTCCGTCCTTGATTGATAGCTGGTCAGCCATCTGAATGATGTGAGCGAACTTCTGCTCAATCAGGACGGCAAGTCGGTCAAGAATCCTGCGGCCCTGCGCAGTCCTGCAGCCATAGTGAGCAACGAAGGCGGTATGCAGTGAAGTCATGTATCACTTCGCAAGCTGCGCGATGCTCTCTCGCTGCCCGATCCTGGTTCGAGGAGAAGCAAAGGGCAAGTCGAGTGAGTGGGACGAGAACTCCCAAGGCAAGACTTACTGCTCGTCATACAGAAGCTCCTGCCCGGTGGAGATAGAACCAAAGAGCGAGACTAGCAACGGGATGCACATGTCTGGGGCCTTATTGACAGCCTGGACATCAGCACAGTTACTCAACCATGCAGCATTCGCCATCCATCCAACACAAACCTGGTCGAACTCTTCCGCAGAGACCGGCGCGTAAGTCATCGAGATTCTAGAAATCCTCCCCAGAGCATCGAAGGTCTTCTTCGTCGTCTGCCTTAATAGTACGCCCTCCGTGTGCCCGGTTCTGAGAGCATGAGGCGTCAGCCCCATCCTTTATATCACAAACTCGGATTTACCTAAATACATTGGTGGAATATCGACAAAAGTTCGTGACAACTGGTTCTCTGATCCTGAAGACAAAGTTAGATTCACTGGATGAAAGCAAGAAGGGGAAAACTCTGTACCGAAGCATATCTTCCATGAATTGACACAAGAACCTCAGGTCAGTGGTGGGAATCCTCGCATCATTGCCCGCGATGCGAGCGAGACCCTCCTCTCTGTGCAGCCTGAAGAAACCGGCCATGGTTTGGTTGCAGTTGGCACTAGTCCGCTTGTTCTTGATGGGGTCCCACGTGAAGCATTGATACCCTATTGATGAGTTCTCCCAGATCGAGTGCTCAGCACTCGCCTGACAAATCGCAGGCTGGAAGTCCTGGTTGGTGTTTGAACTCATTGAGTGGTGAGCCAACATTTCCAAAGCCCCCAGAGCCCTGCCGAAGGAGCTCCGTAGAGCAGGCGTCATGGCCTTGAACATCTTATCAAGATCCTTCGCCACAAATCCCCATTCCCAGATCATTCTCAGTGCGCGAACTGGGAGCTTCTTGGATTCTTGATCACGGAATACCACGTCATCGTGTATCAGCATGATGCCATCCCTTAAGGTCATCAGCGGTCGGTCGATCGTGTCGATTGTGTGAACAATTGTCAGCTGTGAGCTCTGTGTGCTTGGAATATCACCGCACGGTAATCCTCGGCTGATACACCTTGTACAAGGACGAGTTTCTTGGCATTTGGCTTTTGCTTTCCTGCACGCTTCACAAGCACTTTTTGCTATGTGTCTGTTCGACGACAACCATCGGCGCATTTTATAGAGATCATTCTTCTGCAAGGAGCCTTCTAAGGCTGACTCCGCAGCATTCGACATCCTGACAAGCTCTGCTCAACTCAATATCTTTGGAAATTCCTGCAAAAGCTATTTCGATGTCAAGATACAGAATTTATTTAACAAGACCAATTCAGAGTCATGGTGAAAAAGATGCAAAGGAACATGTTTGAAGCAGTGATAAAGCGTGAAATCATCACTTAGCTCTTCAGATAGGGGAATTCATCATAGCGCACACAACAGAAAACACGCGCCCTTGCCTTCGCCTACTCTATGAGATGTGCCATTGAGCAAACACATTTGGGGGGGTGTGCAACCAGGGAGCGCGCATGGGAGGAAAGAGAAGAAGTCAGATGAGGATGATGCTAGGTGCACACCATGGTCATGAGTATCATAAGGAGAGCGCGCATGAAGTTTCTCCAGCCGCCTCCTCTCACCTGCTCCGCCATGCACCCAACAACTGCTTCATGCGGGAGCGGGTCATCGATCGGCACACCAAAGACCACCCCAGCTTCATGTTCGTATCTGCTTGCACCCCTCATTTACACCGGAATAGAACCCTGTTATCTCCCTGTAAGCACCCCTTTTTCTTCCACTACCCTATCTTATCGACTGGCACCCTACCCCCAAAAAATCCTCCCATTCTACCCCCCCCCCAATTACGACCAAAAAGTTGCACCGGCCCAACAACAAATCATACTTCCCAATTACAAATTCTCACAAAAATTCAACATTTTCGTTCTAATTTCAAAGTTTAAAAATATAAAACTGCTAAGAGCCAAGGGGGGTGCAAAAGGAACAGAGAGGGGAAGGGGTAGTTGCAACTCAATCAGGGGGTAGGGTAATTTTTCACAACAAAACCGGTCACGGTACCCTACGTTGGTCACGTTACCTGTCACGGTAAGGGACCCGGATCGAGCCGATGATGACGAGCCCGCCCCAATGCTTTCCGATTGTTCTGAGGCAGACCGGGTACATGGAAATTTGTGGTTTTAAACTTATTAGTCATTATTAAAAATTATAGAGAGACGCCGAAAATGCCGGGTTACCATACCTGCAAGGTAGGATGCCTTCCCCTCCCCTCCCTCCCCCTTCCAGCACCACCACCACCACCACCACCACCACCAGCGCCATCAGCACCACCAGCACAACCAGCAGCTCCAGCACCAGCTCCAGCTCCAGCTCCAGCACCAGCTCCAGCTCCAGCACCAGCACAGACATAGATATCGTCAGCAACATTACTGCCAACTCCTCCTGCTCCTTCCCCTCGTGTTCAGTGTGCCTGCTCTACTCCCCATTATCATTCTCCTCTCCCAACCCATGCTCCCACCCCTCTAAACCCCTGCTTCCTTTCTCCTGCCTAGAATGATCGTTGGTACCATATTCCTCACGTATTGCTTCCCCTCTCCAACAAACCCATACAGCCGTTGGGAAGATGCCTTCGATCCTCGTGATGATCCCTCTATGTTCGTCAACCTTGTTCCAACGCACACTCCCTCTGTCCCAATCCCCCCTCCCTCGCATTGGCAGTCTCTCCTGACGGTGAACGGCAGATCCATGGCAACGACGTTCCGATCGAGTTCGAGCATGCGGGGCTGGAGGAGCACTACCTGAAGATGAAGGAGATGAAGGCCTTCAATGACTGGTGCCGGGAGATGGACGAGGAGCTGGTTGTGTCCAAGGTGGTGGTGCAGTCCATCGACCTCTTCGGGCCGAGGATAGGCTTCCTCAAGTTCAAGGCGGAGGCGACGACGAGGGACGGGAAGCATGTGCCCGGCATCGTGTTCATGCGAGGAGGAGCCGTCGCGATCTTTATCGTCATCACGTGCAAGGAGAGCAAGAAGCAGTACACGCTCCTCACTGTGCAGCCGCGGGTGCCCGTGGGGAAGGCGGCATTGTACGAGCTGCCGGCGGGGATGCTGGACAACAGCGGGGACTTTGTGGGGATGGCGGCGAAGGAGCTGGAGGAGGAGACGAGCCTCAAGGTGCAGAAGAAAGATCTGATGGACTTGACAGAGAAGGCGTTCGGGAGCGGCTGCCCCGGCATCTACCCGTCAGCAGGAGGATGCGACGAGTACCTGCGGATCTTCCTGTACCGGACGACGATGAGCCCCGAGGAGATCAGCAGCCTGCACGATAAGTGCACGGGGGTGCTGGAGGAGGGGGAGACGATCAAGCTGAAAGTGATTCCGATCGATGACCTGTGGTGAGTAGAGGAGAGGGGGGGAGGGAGGAGGAGGGGAGGGAGGAAGGGACAAGAGGGAAAAATGAGCATGGGCAGGCTATGTGGGTTTGAGGAGATCAGGAGCAGAGGAGAAGGAGGGGGCCGGTAAAGGGTCAGAAAAGCAATGAGACGCGGAGTTGGGTCTTGAGGAGAATTTGGATACGAAGTTCAGAGTAGGAGGTGAAGGCAGTGGAAGAGGTAGAGAGAGTAAGAGGGGGAAGGGAAGAAGAGGAGGGGGAGGAAGTTACACTGTTTGTTATGATGGTTAACATGGTTTGCTGCTAGGAGGACGGCTCCGGACGTGAAGGCGTTGTCAGCCCTCTGCCTGTATGAGAACTTCCTTGCCAGACGAGAGATCCCCAGCGACTGATCCGTCTCTCTTTCGCTTCCTCCCCCTCCCCACTCTTCTTTCCCCCTCCTCCTCAACCTTGTTGGTTTTCTTTTGCTGTTTTTGTTTTGTTGGTGGGAGGACTTGAACGATGAGGAACGGAGGGAACAAAGATAAGGATAAATGAATTGAGCAGCGACTCGTTGTCATTTACAAGAAAGGTGAAGGAGCGTGTAATTTTTGTCGGTCAGAATGTCAGGAGGACAAGAAGCACGGGGACAGGGACGAGGCGATAGCAGTAGAGGGCGAGGGAGGGTGAGGGGGAACGAGGAGATCGAAGGACGAGGACAAGGCTAATGGGATGCGGCATGCGGTGACATGTTGATGTTTCTGATTCTGTTCACCTTGAAGAATTTAATTTACTGTGGCCATCAAGTTCTGACGTGACCTCATCGTTTCGCCTTTGCGTTTCTCTTGGGCTTCTTGCCCTTGTCTTTCTTCTGGCTCCCTGCCTTGGCCTGCGCACCATGTGAGTAGGAAGAGAGCTGGCGGTGAAGAGAGACGAGGAAGAAGTTAATGGGACGAGAGTCAGGAGCAGGAGCAGGAGCAGGAGCAGGAGCAGGAGCAGTGGGAGGAAGCCAAGGAGGCAGGGAGGTAGGGAGAAGGCAGGGTTTGAGAGCAGGGAGTCAATGAGGTTGAGAGGAGGAGACGAAGGAGTGGAGGGGCAGCAGAGGAGGAGGAGGAGTCAAGGGGACCTTCTTTGCCGGCCTGTCTGACGCCATGAAGGAACAGAACCCAACCCCTTGTTGGCAGCCTGAGACAGAACTTCAATGGCTGCTCTGATAGAGGGGGAGGAGGAGGAGGAGGAGGAGGAGGAGGAGGAGGAAGGGAACGGGTTGGAAGGAGAGACAGTGGGGGAGAGGACAAGAGGAGGAAGGCACAGGAAGAAGAGGGATCAAGAGGAGCAGGAGGCAGGAACCTTTTCGTGGTCAAGGGTCGCTCCCTCGACTGAGACGATCTTGCTCAGCAGCTCCAGGTTCCTCTTCTTCTCATTCTGAAGCGTCTCCTGCAAGTTCGCCAGTCATCCGGAGACACAGGTGGTGACCTTGTAGGAGGAGGAGGAGGAGGAGGAGGAGGAGGAGGAGGAGGTGGTGGTGGTGGTGGTGGTGGTGGAGGAGGAGGAGGACGACGACGACGATGATGACGATGACGAGGGCAAGGAGGAAAGAATTGGGTGAATCGAGGAGAACAAGGATACAGAGAAGTTATTCAGGGAGGACAAGGAGGTACCGGATCGAACTTGCGGTTGGGTGCAGATTTCAATTCTCCCTTGAGCTTCTTGTCAAACTTGCCGAGAGATCCAGTTGACTTCTGAGCGAGCTTGAGCTGAGCCTTCGTCTGCGGACGGACTGTGAGAGGTACACGGAGCTAAAGGAGAAGACGTGGGGAGGGGAGCAAGGAGAGGGAGCAAGGAGAGGGAGCAAGGAGAAGCAAACAAAAGGGCAGGGGCACGAGGCGCGAGGAGAAGGTCGTTGGTAAGGGCACGTTAGATACTGGTGGAAGGGAGAAGGAGATGGAACAGAAGAGACTTGAGAACGGAGGTAAAGATGTTAAGGCAGGAGATGACAATGAGGAGGACTAAGGGAACATGGAGAAAGGGAAGAACAAGGAGGAGGACGAGGAGAAAGAGGAAGAGAATGAGAAGGAGGAGGAGGGGCGCGGGAAGGGGGGAGGGGGAGGAGGAGGAGTGATTATTGACCTGGAGCTTCTGCTCCTGCTTGCTCGGGTTCTCCGAGAGCTGCAGGTGGGTCTTTCCATGGATCTCTTCGTCTGCGATAGCAAATGAGCCCAGTGGACAGAGAACGAGGAGCAGGAGCAGGAGCACGAGCACGAGCAGGAGCAGGAACAGGAGCAGGAGCAAGGGCAGGAAGGAGGAGTAGGAGCAAGAGCAGGGAAGAGGAGCAGGAGCAAGAGCAGGGAGGAGGAGCAGGTGCAAAAGCAGGAAGAAAGAGGAGGTCGTACGGTTTCGCTTTTCCCTGTTCTTCTGCTTTTGCAACGTTTCCTGCGATGAAGAATGAGAAAGAGGAAGAAACCAGTTGCTATGCAAGAATCGATAAAGACAGGAGCAGGAGCAAGAGCAGGAGAAGAAAAAGGAGCAGGAGCAGCTGAGTGTTCTGCACCTTCTTCTCCATCTCCTTCTTCGTGAACGGATCACTTGAACCATCATCCTGCGGTCCTGCTTCCATGATAGGTGGAAGATCTTTTTCCGCGTTACTCGCTCTGCCCACCAGCACGTGAGTTTGCTTACATACCATCCTTCTCCTCCCTCACCCCCCCCATTCCTCCTCCTCCTCCTCCTCCTCCTCCTCCTCCTCCTCCTCCTCCTCCTCCTCCTCCTCCTCCTCCTCCTCCTCCTCTCACTTCCCTTGAGTCAAAACCTTGTCAAGCACGTACTCTGGAGGCAAGTCGGAGACACTGTGGCCCTGGGCAGGAGCGACGAGGACAAAGGCGCTCTCTGCTGTGATGTAGTCCTGGACTGTGATGCCGGCGTTGGTGCTGAGCTGCGTGATGCTGCATTAGAGGGGCGAGGGAGGGAGTAGCGACTGTGTGCTCTTACCTTCCACTTCTTTGGCTTTGTGAACGAGATAACAACTGGCAGGATGCAAGTCAAACAAACGATGCAGGCAGAAAGACGAGAAATCGGCCAAGGAGGAGGACAAAGACGAAGACGAAGACGAAGACGAAGACGAGGCAGCGGAGGAAGGAGGACAAGGAACTACCTGGGTTCCCCTTGCCATTGACAACCTCAGTGCTGAACTCATCAGGCTGGGAAGCGAGAGGGTTTGCGAATCCTCCGTCCCACTGCACTCCGACCTTGTCTGAATCGCCCCATCCGATCTTGTCATCGAACAGGGCACTCGCTACTTGCGGCCAAGCAGCAACTCCAGCCATCACCTCCAGCGCCATGCGACGTCCTCCTCGTTTCATGCTCATGCATGGTGCGAACCTCTGAGTCTGCCGACCCCTTGCAGCCATGTTGCTGTTGCAGACGGCGGCGGATCGGGATACGAATGAGGCAGGAGCCAAAGAGGACAAACAAGTATGAGAGAAGCATAAGAGAGGAGGGAGGGAGGAGAGGAGGAGGTAAGAACCATGGCCTCAAGGGAAGAGGACATGGAGGAGGAGGAGGAGGAGGCGATGGAGGCGACAAGCACCAGCATCGTCAGCGTCGTCGCCATCGTAACCATCGTAATTCCGAAAACAACAAAGGATCCAGTGGGGTGGGGTTACTTAATTGGAGGGGTGGGGATAACTTTTGAGTACTGCTAAAAACGTTATAAGACTTTCAAAAGGGGGTAGGGGTATACAGAAATTGGGGTGGTATTGTACGGGGGTGGTTTTGGAAGGATGTGGTGGTTGTTGTAAACTGCAAAGCATTTCACTTGGGGGTACTCGATAAGGTAAAATGGTGGGGTATATGATAGTAAATTAGGGGGTAGGGGTTAAAAAGTAGGGGTGGGGTGATGTAATCCTTGGGTGTACCCACCCCCTTCGTGAAGGGAAAATGAGGGGTGAGGTAGGGGTGGAGAAGTTGGGGGATGAGGGTGCAAATGATGGGCGTCATGGAGGCCGCCATGGTGGAAGGCGGAGGGGAGGGGAGGAGGAGACGAAGACAATGGCGGCAACGACGACGGCGGCAACGACGACGACAATGATGATGACGAAGAGAACGACGATGATGACGATGATTACGATGATGACGATGATGACCATGTGGTTGTAGATAATGACGATGACGATGACGATGACGATGACGTTGGCAATGGCGATGGCAATGGTGGTGGTGGTGATAATCTTGGTGAAGATAATAATGACCAGAGTACAAGTAGAAGGGAAGATGAGCAGAGGAGAAGAGGAGGAGAGGAGACCAGAGTTTGAAGAGCACAAACACGAGCAATTTTTAGTTTGTCTGTGCGAAGACTGGGAAGGAGGCGAGCTTTGAGGAGATGAGAGATGAGGTATTCTTGAAGCAAAGCGATATGAGACAGGTTGGAAGGAAACATCAACAACATGTTGTTCAGATCAGAAGTAGGTAGGAGGAGCGAAGGAGGGTGGCGGAGTAGGTCCAAACCAAGCCGTGAGCCACTGAGTATGACGATGGTTGTGTTGTGAGGTCAGCTGCCTTATGAAGAGTAGGAGCAGTGTTGGGCGCTAGAAAACTGCATGCAGGAGAACGGGAAGCTCGATTAACAGCACAGGCAGACGATGATGTGTGGTTGGAAGCAGCTTGTGGTTGGAGGGAGGAGGTTGCGTTATTTGTGGTGGATGGGAATAGTGAAACAACACATGTCGAGACTAGATCACTCGAATACTGTCTGTCTTGTCAGTCGTGCCCTGTAGCGCAGTGAAAGTTCCTTCCCCGTGTTGCCTGCGGCACCTCCACCCTGATCTGTTGCATGTCTAACATGGAGTGAGCAGGGTAAAGACAAGAGGAGGAAAACAAACGCAATGACGAAAATCATGATGAGGATTTTCCTCGTCATGTGCTGCCTGCTCCTTCAGGCCCATAGCTTCCAAACCTTCACGACGTCATGGCATCGGTCGCGCACTGATCGCTCGTGCCTCTCCCGCTCCCTCCCCCACCTCCTCCCTGGAGCAGGCGCTCCCAAAGTCGCAGGACGCAGTCAGCTGAGGTCGGTCCGCATGGTCGGAGCGCTGGAGAGAAACTCTGCGACTGCTTCTCAGCTGTACTCCAGGTGAAGGAGCTGAGAGGAGTTTGCGGGTGGTCTGACGCCTACAGCAGGGACGAGCTGCCCGAGCTCTTCGACTCGCACGGGAGGCTGGACGCGAAGAAGTTTGTTGGGAAGTTGAGAAACGTTCACGGCCTGTGGGAGCAGATGACGAGGCTCTTCCCTGACCATGTTGCGCTCTCCGACCCCCTCCATGGCTTCGGGGACGACATGACGTACAGCCAGGCGTCGGCAGCGATCACGCGCATGGCTGGGTTCTTGCAAGAGCTCGGGGTGCAGAAGGGAGATAAGATAGCTCTCTTCTCGGAGAACAGCTACAGGTGGAGCCTCGTTGACTCGGCGATCCTTCAGGCTGGCGCTGTAGACGTTGTGCGAGGAGCGACTGCGCCTGTGGACGAGCTGAAGTTCATCTACTCGGACAGCGGGAGCAAGGCGTGCGTTGTGGAGAACGTGGAGCTGCTGGAGAAGCTGGTGAAGCAGGCGAAGCTCGGGACTGAGGTCGAGCCCGAGTTCGTGGTGGTGATGTACCCCAAGGACAAGAGCGGGGAGACGATCAAGAGAGAGGCTGGGCTGGGCTCAAGCTCGACCCGCGTCGTCACAGTTGACGAGATGCTACAGTCTTCCAGCTCTTACACGCCAGTGTCAGTGGAGGAGGAGGATACAGCGACGCTGCTGTACACTAGCGGAACGACAGGGCACCCGAAAGGAGTGGTCCTGACCCATGGGAACCTTCTACACCAGATGCTGGAGAACGTCTACAGCCCTTCCCTCCCCCTCGAGCCCCTCCCCGGCGACGTTTTCCTCTGCATCCTCCCGTGTTGGCACATCTTCGAGCGCTTTGCCGAGTACTACTCGCTGGTGAGAGGAGCCAAGTTGGTCTACAGCAGCGTCAAGACCTTCAAGTCAGACCTCCTCCGCCACCGCCCCCACATCCTCGTCGCCGTCCCCCGTCTATACGAGAACGTGTTCCAAGGCGTCCAGGCCAAGTTTGCAGCAGGGTCGTCACTGCAGCGCATGCTGGTAGCGTTCTTCACTGCGGTAGCAACCAAGAAGATGGAGGCAAAACGCTCCCTCCTCAACGCTGCTGCTATCGAGCCGCAGGATCAGCCCGCGTTCCTCCAGCGATCCCCTGCCAAGAAGCTGCTTGACCAGCTCGTCTCCATGCTCACTGTCTTCCTCCTCGCTCCTTTTGCTGCCATCGGTGACCGTCTCATCTGGTCTAAAGTGAGCTCCTCCTCCTCCTCCTCCTCCTCCTTCTGCTCCTCCTCCTCCGCCTCCGCCTCCTCCTTCTTCTGCTCCTCCCTCCTCCCCCGCCTCCTTCTAATCCCCCTCCTCCTCCTCCTCTCTCCTCTCCTTTGCTCCCGCTTCTCCTGCTTCGCAGCCTCTGCGAAGTTTCCCTCACGCTCTTTTATTCTTCCCTTTTTTATGTCTGCTCCTCCCTCCTATCCTCTTCCTCCTTATCCCATGCCTCTCCCCTCCTCTCCCCTCCTCTTCCCTCCTCTCCTCTCCTCTCCTCTCCTCTCCTCTCCTCTCCTCTCCTCCTCTCCTCACTCTACACGACGGCTGACGCAGCAGCAGGTGCGGGAGGGTCTGGGAGGGAGGATCAAGTGCCTCATCTCAGGGGGAAGCAAACTTCCGACGGCGCTTGACAACTTCT